GAAGTAGGTTAAAAACGCACAGCAAGCGATCAGAGTTCGATTTGACTTAGGGCTAGGGCTAAAATTCCATTTGACTTAGAAAAATCCAACTCCATTTGACTTAGAAAAATGAAAAATCCAACTCCATGAATTTAATTCATGGGCCTTTACTTGTTATATTAGAAAAGAACATCTTCGTTAATATAGTCGAAAGAGTTAGTCTTCAGAATAGCGTTCTTTATTCTATTGAAATAAAGTAGGACTAAGACTTTCGTAATAGCGACTTTCAGAAAATGAAAGGCCTCTTAATATGCTGGGGACCAATTAAATATAATCTCTTTTACGATGAGTTTTATTATAGATTTAACTATTCTAGAGAAGTCTCTAATAAACCGCTAGTAAAAATTGCAAAATTCGATAAAGGTCTATATCTCTTTAAGATTAATAGATATAATTTACTCGATAATAGTCTAAATTTTAATAGGGTTTATTTATAACCCGTCTATAGACATTAATAGATCTAAAAATTTAATTTTCTAGACGTGAAATTCGTACTTAAGGATATTTATCTAAAGGTTAATATCTCTTAATTTCTAAAGGATTTATCTAACGTATTAGATGTATTTCTTTTTTATCTTATTATAGATAAGTATATTATCGAGATAGACCTAATAGAAGTCATTTAGATACTCGAATAGAATATTATTTATATACTATTAATATATAACTAGATCGTTAGTTAGATCGAAGAGGAGAATCTAATACTTATATACTTTAAGAGAGATAATAAAAATAGTAAAATCCTCGCTATCGGAGTATATACGTAGTTTATTAAACGCGACTATAATATCCAATCGAGTAAGATATTTATATTCCTAGATTCTTGCTAAAATCTCATCTATTAATAGAATTAGATATCGGTTTCTTTTAATAATAGCGTTTAGCTTTCGATAGTCCACATAAAAATGTAACCCTCTATTCGGCTTTTTCGCGAATAGAATAGATGAGGCGAATAATACATAGCTTAGTATTATAAATCCCTTCTTTAAATATTCATCCAGATACTTCTTTATCTATTTTAGTTTATATCCCGATATTAAATAGATTCTACTTTTCGAAAGTTTCGTTTTATCGAAGCTATCGTTAAATTCCAGCTTATAATTATAAGAACGATATAAAGAAAATATATTCGCTTTAGCTCTATCGAAAATGTCGAGATAATCGTAATACTTTATAGATAGCTTATATTTCATCTTCTTAGAATTAATCTCGTCGATGCTATTAATCTAAATAGGGCAATTAGAATTATAACACCTTTTATATTTCTTTTCTAAGTTATAGAAATAGAGTTTATTAATCGATATATAAGAATCGTAAGATATTCGAGTAATAAAAGATATATGTAGTATTAACGAGTTATTATAGATCTTATTTACTATTAATATAAATAACTTATTATCTTTTTTATAGACTAGCTAATAGTAGACCGCTATATTAATCTCAGCGATGTTAATAAACTTAAACTTCTTATTATTCTCGTTCTTATTTAATAAGAAGATATTCGAATTAGTCTCGTTATCGCAAGTAGATAAGAAAGAGCTTTATCGTTTTAGTATAATAGATAGAGAAGTAGATGATATGAATAGCCGAAGCTCCGAAGTTAATAGAAAGAGAAGTTCGTTTATTATTAATATCTAATTATTATTATAGTTATATCGATCGAGTAGAAAGAGTATCTTATCCCGTAACATATTAAGGACTATTTCATATTTATTTATTTAAGATTTTTTAACTATTATATCGTATTTCAATAATATAATTAATATTAGATATATTTCTTTTCGATAGTCTTTTACTATTACTATTAGAAGTAAGTAGTATATAATTAATCGTTTTATAATTTAATCGTTATAATCTCTTAGCGATTTAGATCGTAATAGTAAAAGTAGTTCCAGATATAAGACTTTATATATCGCTGAGATTAAGAACTTATTTATAACTATATAAGCTTCGATATATCTACTATCTATAAGGGAGTTTTTAAGTAAGTAGATTCTCTCTTATAAAGAAAGCGTAACTTATATACGAAAAGAATAACGTGTTAGAGCGTTATTAAGAGCGTCTATTAGATATACTTTATAAGTATCTCTTATTATAACTTTGAAAGAGGCTATTCGTTTTTCGAATCTAAAAAAGAATCGTCGCTACCCGTAATATCAACGTTATCGATTTCGAATTCTTCGTTTATTTCTAACGCGTAAAGTCGTGCTTTCTCGAAGGCCTTTTTATCGACCTCGGTTTAGATAAGTATTATATAGTTCTTTCGATAGTAGTCTTTCTTATCGTAGTTATAGCACATTAATTCTCTTAGCTTTAAATTAATTATAATATTTAGAGGCGTAGTAATTATACTTAAACTAGATTCGATAACGAGTATAAGGCGTATATTAGTCGCGAGTACTATCGTCGAAGTTCGTATTATAGTTAACTTAATAGTAGTCTTTATAGACTTAGAATTCTTATAATTAACACGTTGTAAATTATCTAGTTTTCGAAGATATTCTTTTACAGCCTTTAAAATAATAAAATCTTCTACGACCTATTATATCTCCTTTAATTTCTTTCTTAATTTCTTAAAAAGATAGTTCTCTAGTATAAGAGTTTTATTATAGTTAAGAATAATATCTAGTTAAATAAAGTCTAAATAGAAGTCGATAAAGGATTAAATTTCTTATTATAGAGTATATATATTACGTAATATATTACTACGTCGATTTAAGTTCTCGTAGATATCGATTAACTTATTTATAATCTTAGTAAAAGACTAGTATAGATTAATAAAGTTTCGAAGTCTTCTATATATCGTATATTATATAGTCTTATCGCTAAGTCGTAAGACTATATAAACTATCTTAGAGTTCTTAGTAAGATAATAATCGCTGTTAATCTTAAATTTCTATTCTATTCTAAAGAATCAGTCGTTCTAGATAAGATTAATATCGTTAATAAATAGAGGTAGATCTAAAACCTTAATTAATTTATCTTTTAATCGTCTAGATATACGTTTCTTCTCGATCGAGGATAGCTATAAGTCTTTCATAGACTATAAATTAAGATTATTAACTTTTTGCTATAAAAAAGTTATATTCTTCTAAAAGTCTCGGGCTAGTTAATTTATCTTCTCGGTTATTCTATAAATCTAAAATAAGTCGTTTATAGTTAGATTCTTTTTTATTACGACGATATAATATCGAGTAATAATCTCTCGAAAATCGTCTCGCTTCTAACGAATCTTATTTAGTATAATCATAAATTCGTTAGATTAATACTTGATTTAATATTATAATTATAGAATATTAGTAATATTTTAAAATATTTCTATCGAGTTAAACTCGTTAACTATATTATCTAATAGAACTAATATTCTTTAAAACTTAGTTTACTTAAGTAAGATCTTAATTTAATTTATTCTTTCGATATTAAACTTTATTATAGAAAAGAGAAAAAGAAGATATGAAATAAGTGGAGAGGAGTTTAAATACTTCGAAAGAATAAGTATTAGAGATACTAGATATACTAGAGAGTAGCGAAGTTTCTCGAAAGCGCGTCGAAATTATTCGATATTAAGAATAAAAATTTTCACTATAAAGTCTAAGGTGAGGTTATTTCTTTATAGAAGCTTAATACACTTATTTCTTAATTATTTAAGGCGTTAAGAAGACTATAAGTACTTTAAATAATAGTCTTTTAAGTATACTTACTCCGCTTAGAGAGTCTCTTATCTCGTAGAGAAGTTATATATAAGAAAGTTTCGAAGAATAGTATTCTAGATTAGCTATAACTCGGCCGTTTTCCTGTTAGGACGCGGCGCGTTGTCAAGGATTTTAGATCCCAAGCCACCTACACGTCGGTGGCAGTGGTTATTCAGGCGAAAGAGGCTGGCTGAGGATTCCTGCAATGCCCAGAGCCGCAGACTCTTCGAAAGGATCCCGCAGCACAGTCTGCGGGGACAAGCAAAAGGACATTGCAAATCAAACGGAATGGAGATAGCATATGTTCGCGGACCTAGAGCCTTACATCCGCACATTCCAAGACTGTGCACTAGGTGTAAGCTCTTTTGGTCTGAATGGTATGGGCCGGCCACGAATCTTAGAAGCTCGTATTGATCCCTTCAAATAGGGATGCGGATGTGTCATATGACACGTGACGTCAGGTCAGACCTACTCGGTCATTTGACAGTCATATATAGCCAAATGACCGCACTGCAAAAGGCTTGTAGTAAGGTAAAGCGTGAGATTCGAGGGAAACGGTAGGACTCAGAGGTTGTTAGGGCTGAAATCCAGTATCACCAGTAATACCATACCAAGCTAGGGATTAATAACGCCAAGCCTCTATTTACTACGCCCGACTTTGTTAGCCTTATATATCTTTCACGGTTAGACACCTACTGGATACGGTTAGCGCTGTCATTTGTTAGGTCAAACGGCCTGTCACCGTATAACCGTTACATGACTGTCATAGGGGTCAAATTAGTCATTACGCATCCCTACTTATAGACGTTTTTTCTTTTATTCGTTTTTTCGGGGGTGAAAACTCCGAGTAGCGACCCTGGACTAGCCCTAAGGTACTCTAGGGGCGGGAGCCGCCCGTAAAATTGAAATTGTAGGCCGCGGAACATCGTACTTCTGGCAATAATAAGCAGATACTCGTAACTCCACTCTTTATGAATAGCTTGCAAACGGCTATAAGAATCTATCGCTGTTTCTAGCTTGAGAAGAGAAGTATAGGTTGCAGACTTTTGGGATAGCCGTTCTGACGCTCGTCTTCAGATAGTATTAGTGCTAGTGAAATGGTAGCCGCTCTCGGCAACCTGCTCCCCACCCCGCCATACCCCCAACTTGTATCTGTTGAAGGACTAGCCGTTGGAGGAGGGTATAACTAGGTGTCGGCATTAAAATATATGATGAACTTTTTATCTTTTTTTCCCAAAGATTAAGGGTGAAAGGACTCCAAAAAAGAACTGACCGGGGCGAGGTTCGAACTCGCGATCTATAGATCACATATCGTGGCATATGAGACTATCGCTCTAATTTAGATCAATGTTAGATATTCCTTACCGTGATATCAGACTTTGCGACCTTACCTAACCAGCTAAGCCACCCAGTCGCGATTTTTGATTATTCTAAGATTCTATATATAATGTTAAAAGCCAGGAGCTGCTGTTAATCTTACAGGCCACACAACCATGATGGAGGGCATTTGCCTGCAGCACACCAAAAGCCTTCCTGTTTGTTTCTCTCCCACTGAGGCCGTATCAATGGACTCAATGGGAACCCCCACCCCTCCCCTCCCGTCTCGACAATCGCGTATTAGCTTTCCCCATGGTGGCTGCCGCTGAACGAATATTATCAGTACTCTCGAGTCGCGAAATGAAATAATAGGCGAAAGGTAGTATCGTTATACTTGAGACTTTGAGAGGTTCCGTCGGGGATTATAGGAGGTGCCTCTAGAGAAAAATTAGGTACTGTTGTAGGATATTAGGTATAGTTCAGGGAGCAGCTTTTAGCGGTAACAGGGAGGCTTCAGGGTTAGTTGATTGTATCATATATGGTTGGTGGATAATTTTAGGGGCTCTTGGGGCGCATCGGTCCCATGAAGAGGTAAACAATCCAAGTGGATAGCCGCGCTCCTGCGTATGATTTGCCTTTATCTTGCATCTTCTGCCATAACTCATGCTTATTAACCAACTTTGTCTCAGCCACTTCTACAGTTCCCTCCTCAAGCTCTGACTAAGGACTTCGCACGTTCCTCTTCGCCGCCTAGTCATCCCCATGATTTGGACGTCGTTGCACGAAAATGTCCGAAGATGAATATTCTATGAGAAACAATAGCGAAAGTTAAGGTAGGCATGAGTGGCAAATAGCTATTAGGCTGTGGCACTAGTACCTGGGTTGGCTCGGTTGGCTGCAGAGCGGGGAAATTCCGCCCAAAGAAAGTCTCTTGCATGAGGCCATTCTTTTTCTCCAGATCCTGCTCAGTAGCATGTTGACAACGCGACGATGCGCTTGTTTACAACGCTTCGCAACGGCCAAACGATGTCAATTATGGCGTGTGCTACGATATCAAAGCACCGTCCCATCCCCTACCTCCACGATTTCGCCAGCCTTGTTAGGCAGAGCTCAAGCTCTTGCAGCTGAACATGCTGAGCTCTCGAAGCAGCTTAACAGCGAATATGATACTCGGATAGCAAAGAAAGCCGGGTCTCTTTCCGCTGTGGTTACGGCCTTGAACGGCTGGGAGTTGACCAGCAACGTTCGTCCCCAACCTGCAAGGCAGATGCATGGTCACTGATAGACAAATAGTCTTTGCCAGAGCTCCAGCAACTTATCAAAGACCCCTCAACGGACCCAGAGCTACGATCCCTTGCAGAAGAAGAGCTGCAGACAACCACAGAGAAGCTCTCATCACTGTCTAGCGACCTCCAGAAAAGCTTGATCCCAGAGCATCCATTTGCTCAAATGCAATGTCTAATTGAGATTCGACCTGGAGCTGGTGGAGATGAGGCTGGCATATTTGCTGGGAATCTGTTACAGATGTACCAGGGGTACTGCAGGCGGCAAGGTCTCCGAGTGAACATTCTCAAATTTGATGCTACAAAAACCCAGGGCCTTGAAAATTCAATCCAAGAGGCGGTCTTAGAAATTGAAACTCCAGGAGCATATGACATGCTCAGATGCGAGGCTGGAGTACACAGGGTACAAAGGGTTCCAGCTACTGAAGTCAAGGGTAGGACACACACGAGTGCTGTGTCCGTCCTGGTGTTGCCCAATTTTCCCAGCCAAGGAGAAGACGAGCTTGGGGAAAGTAACTTTGAGGACCCGTCAAACGACTACTACGTAGACCCTACAGATGTCCGAACAGATGTCATGCGTGCCAAGGGCGCGGGTGGCCAGCACGTCAATACTACGGACTCTGCAGTCCGCTTGACCCATTTGCCTACTAATACTGTCGTTGCTATACAAGACTCGAGATCTCAGCAGCAAAACCGTGCAAAGGCGTGGCAAATCCTACGAGCGAAGCTTGCTCAAGCACGGCGTGATGCCAGAGAAGAAGAGATGGCACAGCTACGCCTCAGCATCGTTGGAGTCTCCAAGATGGGTCGCGGTGACAAAGTTCGGACGTACAACTGGGGTCAGCAAAGAGTCACAGATCATCGAAGTGGAATCACGTTGCACCATCTTGATGACATTTTAGAGGGAGGAGAATCGCTTGACAAGGTGATGGCTAGTGTGAGAGAATGGCTGAAGATGCAAGACCTTCAATTGCTCGTCGCCGATGAGGAAGCTGCAAGAGCAAAAGCTGATATTTAGATCCAAAAACTTCGCCATGATAGCTGAGAAAGTAATCTGTGCTTCCACCGAACTATGCGCCAGGCATGAGAAAACACTGGAGGTGATCGCCCATGCTTGCCCGGACTTTGATTTCGGAGTCAGTGTTGCCTATTCGACGGATTCTATCAGACCTTGGAACACGTCTTGAGAGTAAAGACTCTCATGACTCAGGATTTGCTCAAAAAGGAGTCATATGGGCTCCGACAACAAACACACATGCTGCGTTGTGAAAGTGGTACTCAGTTGGAAGTCGGTGGGTTTCTCAAGCGTATGCCAGATTGTGTGCGAGGATGCAGGATGGGAACGAGGAGACGGCTCTTCATAAGCCGAGCAAGTCTCGGAAGAATGGAGAGACCGTTCATGAGATTGGTATGCTTTGTTCATGTCTTCGTAGGTAATCCTGCTTCCGAGCTTGTGGCCTGTTTTATTAATAATCTGTTGGCAGGAACATCCCATTCATGAGGCAGTTTTGGACTTTGTACTGGGGATGTCTTCGGGTCGTAAAGCCCCAACTGCCGTACAGTGTGAACGCTATTTGTTTTCACTTTATCTGCGTCACAAATTTGCTTCAACTGCTCTTGTACTGATCTATCTCTACTAAATATCTATTACCATCCTCGCATCGAAACCCCTATGCCGATTCTCGCTTTGGAAGCACCCGTCATTTGCCTGACCTCGCTCTCTCAGCCACAGTCGCTTTGCGGAAGCCATTTACCCAGATTGTATCTGCGCCGTCCTCCACATTCTGTGCTGGGACCCGAGATATCATTCTTTGGTGTCTGGATCGATGCATAGTGCTTTCCGGATGCCAGTAACCCTCGCGCCTAATGTCGTCCCCCACTTTCTGTCTAAGAATCCGGACTTTCTTCCCTAAATGTTCGCCTCAGAGATGACGCTAGTAGCACGTACGGCAACCTTCAGCATCAGTCTTCCTGAAATGAGAGACGTGAGGGACTGTCGAAGGCTTGAGAGACTTGTGGATGAGGATGGTCAAGACTATTGCATTTCTTTGCAACGTTGGTTGCGTAGGTAGTCTCTCCAGAGATCTCTTCCAGACTGATTGCATCCGCAGTGGATAGTAGTGGTTTTTTAAGGCACATGTGGACTTCGGAAAGAGTGCAGGGTTTGATTGGAAGCGGATAGTTCTTTGGACAGGATGCGTGGTTGAGCTCGGGAAACCTTTGTGTTTTCGTGACGTGCCTCATCTCTAATCTTTTCGCCATGAACGATCCGTGAAGAGGAAGTTCTTACGCTCAAAGTCACGACTTCAGGCTAATGCATGACACTACTCACGGCTTAGTGTGCCAGCAAATGTGTTCTCCGGCCCTTCGCACACCTTGCTGTCCTTTCAAGTCTGCCGCCCATACCTGTTTGAGTCTGAGATGTCGGCAACTGTCTCCCTGTACCTAAGCCCTTTTCGACTTCGTGGTTACTAGGAAGTTTTAGCGGTGCCAATAGAAGTCCTCGTGCTTGCTACGTCCTATCCCGAAGTCCTTGCCAAGGTACTAGTACAAAGACGGACGTAAGGAATTATGAAGCAAAGCTTCTGACATGTTGGGGCCCACAGATCTTGTCGTTGATGGAATGTAACAGCACACTCCCTCAACCAGCCACCACTTCTAGAGAAAGGCGAAGCCTCAGAATGCTCAAACTCCTTAGGCAGAGAGATGCTCGATTATAACTGATTGGCCCTCGAGGTATTGAGAGTAATGAGAATACGACGCTGCACACGTGCCGAATAGTTGATATCACACGTACCTCGGCGGTTAGAAGGCCTTTGGAGCGGCGGGTTTTCCTCTTCAGCCAACCATGAAACGACCCCTCGTTGAGACTTCTGATCTTGACACCATCAACGCTTCGCCTTTCTGGGGGCAGTTCTTCCGAATAGGCTGCCATCCACCACCTGATGATTGCCCTCAGGTAGCATTAGATAACATTTACATTCTCATTTCCGTCTCCATGCTGAGCACGTGGCTATGGTCGCTGCTACGCTACAGCTTGATTTTCGCGCATGAGCATTGTGGTGGCTGCTAAATTATGGAAAGATGGTGTCGTGAGATAACTTACATTCCTTGGGAGACACAAACGCCCTAGTGCTTTCAGACCATCAAACACCACCCACCACTATCTCTCACCGCTCTGTAAGGTCCGCACCCCCTTTCGCAATGCCCTTGATCACAAGCCTTGTCTCGTATGAGTCGAACCTCCCACCAACAGCACCACTGACCTCCAAATGCAGAACGAAGCAGCCTATCATGCCAGGCTTGGCCTCCACACGATTTAACGATCCTTGCCGCTACTGGGATCTCTGGCACCACCCAGAGGACCTCGACTCTATCATTGCGTGCCTCATGTGGCGGGACAAACATCGTTTACGTGCTATGGACATCGCAGCTGCTCTGGCATTCGTCCAGCCAGCAGCGTACTGGGGCATGATTGGGGAAGACGTCATTAACGTATACTGCTACCTCCAGAGACACCAAAACATCCCAGAAAATCCATTCGCCGATTGGCAAAGCATGCGGGACATGAGAACGCACCCCCACTGGCGATACTATGTCATCTGGGCATCTTCCTGCAACGTTCGGCGAATGCAGGACTTGCTGGACGAGTCACTCTTACCTACGCACAAGCAACCAGATATGAGCAGGTAGGATCGATCATCCTTCAGAAACTGCAATCTTCACTGAACACCCTCGGCTTTCTACTCACCAAACGTTCTCAGCTGTCTTTTGAGCTTCAAGCTACCAACAACCTCCTCTCAATGTTTCCAAAGACAAGCCTATCGACACAGAAGCCTTCAGCCAGCCAGTCGCTAGCACCCCGTCCCCGAAAGGTTGTCTGCCCGACACTCCCTATACTTTACTCCTCAGCGAACCTCCTCCCTCGGCCTTCACGATGCCCAGCATCCACTCGATCCGCCCCGAGGACGACGTCTGCGGGAAATGGCCCGGTCTCTGGTCACAAGGACACCTCATGGACTCTCTCATCTGCTGCATGATGTTCCGAGACCTCCATCACATGGACGAGGACAGCATCGCCTACGTGCTCGGGATCAGCTACACAGGATGTGCAGGGATGACGGGGCGAGACGTCGTGGAGCTTTATGGATTCTTGCAAGCCAATCCGACCCTGCACAGCAACCCGATCAAGTACTGGCTGGACAACTTGAATCGAAACGTGGAGAAACCCGACGGTCGGCGTTTGGTGACCTTGGCGATCCTGAGGTTCGGCCGCAGAAGTCGTCCAAGGGAACGGTGAGGAGGGGTTTTCTCGCCTGCGGAGCGGTTTGTTGTGCAGTGTTGCACCAGCATTGGACTATAACACTTACTCTGTATCATAATTCAACCAATACCACTTATCTTTGACGTTCTCCTCCGCATCCACGATATCATTGAAGACGCCTGACGCCCGATAGGGCATCAGTCGGTGCCGGATATTAAATGACCTCGGCTTCAACCTGCCTAGCCAGTCCGATCTCTCGCAATTTCTGGTAATCTCACGGACGGTCGCATGCACATCAAACACCAATGGATGGACCCGAAACCTTCTCAGGCAGGGGGGCTGTTTTGAAGTTCCGATGTCCTTCCGTGATACGAAATATAAAGCATCACCCAAACCTCACCTCTCCTACAACCATTCCCTTCAAACCTCACCTCTCCCACAACCTATTCCCTCCAAACCTCTTCCACAACCCACATCTATCACTCACAAGCCTTCACCACATCCGGCCCTCATCATGCCGCCACAAATGCCAGGTCTACACCCCCGTTCCCCCACATGAAGCGATCCAAGACCGCTAACCCAGCAACCGCAGACTGCCCCCGGCAGTCCCCCGCCTCGATCGACCCCGCCACCGACATGTGCCGGAAATGGACCCTCTGGGGCCGAGGCGACTACCTCGACTCCGTCATCTGCTGCAAGGTGTTCCCCGACCGGCACTCGATGGACGACGCCGACGTCGCGCGCGCCCTCTCGATCCTGCACAAACAGTGCGCCAACATGACGGGGCCGGACGCCGCGGAGCTCTGGCGCTTCCTCGAAACGCACCCGGACCTGCACACGAACGGGCTCGTCGGCTGGCGCAAGATCAAGGACGGCGGTCCGATGGACAAGGTTGAGGAGGCCAAGGTTAACCAGGCCATCAACCGGTTCAAGAACCAGGTTCCTTCTGCGGGCAAACCTTGAGTGCGGAAGGGGGCTTGGGGCTTGGGGCCCGTCCTGGAGGGCTTGCTGGTGAGCTGGGTAGCTGCTCATTTGATAGAAGTCATCTCAAAATCATACATGACTCTTCTGTCCCTCAAAACCCCCACACTGAAAGACCAAAAGCCGTCGTACATATCTTCAAAAATCTGCATGCATCGGAGACATCGCTCTGGCCTATATGTAGTTCGCCATGGGGGAGAAACCCCGCGTATGATCTCGTCGCCTCTAGGCTGCAATACGCGTCCAATGACGCTTCCCCCAACCACTGAGCAGACTTCAGGAGATCCCTTCTGGATAGAGGCCAAACCCTCTCTAATCGGCTCTTTGTAGCCGTGAAGGGGTATCTACTCAGACATTTTTCGCCCCCAGGCCACGACCGAGGTGCAATCCGGCTTCACTCCAGCGGGTCTCTCAGCAACTTCCGGAATGTCACTCATAAATCCGCCTCTCGACCGCGGATCCTACACCTAGAGACATCACCTAATCAGGTATTACCATCATTCACCACCAGAAACCGATTCTTACCCCGATACGAATAAGAGGCTGCATCATTGAACTGATCATCTTCAAACGTTCCCCTATCCTCCCAAAACATCAGCACACTTTCCGATGAGTACTCCACCGCCACACACTACACACTTACCAACGGTACTTGTCTCCCTCCCTCAAAAATATGTCCCATATCTAATACCCATACTTCAAACCCTACCAAGAGCACAACGCAGACCTAAACATGCCCGGCCGCACCAAAGGCCCAATCTACAAACGGCGCCTCTGGTACAACCTAATTGGCCTCGACTCGCTGATGTCTGTTTGACTTAATTCTCCACTCACGACGCGACATTGCTCCCACCCTCGCCTACCACAACCCCCACTGCCATCAAGGCCCCACCGCACTCGACGTGAAGCACCGTGCACCACTACCTCGACGCAAAAGCGACAGTTCCTACTTTGAAATCGCTACGATCGGATTCGAGAACGGAAGGACATCAAAGCGACAAAGACGGTCGATGCGCATCATCGGAATTTTGTTTCGGCGCACATTGGGAAGATCAAGAGGTTGTATCGGGAGTAGTAGCCGGAGTTGTTCTCTTGGGTGCGGAGAAGTAAGGTTGGAGGCTGCGGATGTGTCGAAGAAGCTCACTGGTATAGCGAAAAGAGGTGAATCGGAGAAGGATGAGATTAGATTGGCCTAGTCGAGCTGATCGAGAATCGAATCGAATCGTCTCTCCCATGAACACCTACCTTGTGACTGGTCCAGCCGCTTCCATCCTACCCCGCTGTCATTGGCATTCGGTGGCCGTATGTCTTTTGCGCCTTGTATGGGTATCATGACGGCCTTGCAATATCTGCGAGCATGCTTGATATGTCTTTGGTATGTGGCCGTATTTATTTGTGGCATTATTTCTGGGTAAGAGGGTAGATGGAAAGGATCAAGCGTGATTGCCGGAGCTCGGCCGTAGCGCTTGCGAAGAGGCTGATGATAGTCTCTGGGTATGTCTTGCGAGAGAGCGCTGGCCGTTATCAATTTGTCAATCCCTCAAGATAATCTTTTGTAGATACAGGTGTTGTTCCCAACAGTCATGCGCATAGTCCAGGCAAGTTGTTAAAGTAATGGCAGTCTTGGACGTGGACCTTGTTGTATATTTGGTAAATCATCGATTGAAATAGTCAAGTAGGCAAAGAAGTAGCTAAAAGAGCGTATTGGACGGGCGAGGAAATTTTATTTGGCACCAACGTCTTTAACTTTTTGAGACTTTCCAACGCTTCCTCTGCCATTCTCCCTAACTGAACCACAAGTCTTGTCCCTTCCATGTCTCATTTTCCCCACGCCTTTTGCCGAGCTGCAGAGTGCTATCGTTTGCTGTATCGCATGGTCGCTAAGGTGAAAATGGCCTCTCTCCGACGACCTTCTTGGTAGTGGGCTTCACAGGTAGCTAAAGAGGTAATTGTCAGTCACGCTTTTAACTTTGGCTTGTGGATAGTGCTACTTATTAGCAACACAGATGGCAACAGAGACTTAACAGGCCAGTCTTTTTGATAGTTAGGAACAAGGGATGAGAGTGGAAAGCTTGAATCACGGACCGCACAAGCCAGAGCTAACGATATTGTATGACCCCCGAGTCATACTTGGTGGGTTCAAGTCGCCAGGAGTCGTTAGCCGGAGTTCACAGTGAGCTTGGTAGTCGTCGCAGGGAGACACCAGATAGAAGTTGAAATGTCCACACGCTTTCTCGTAGACCGTCCACACGCACATGATGTTCGCTGACTTTGCAATCGATTAATGCTTGTTGCTTGCGACTTTGCATTCCACATGCTCTGAAGTGAATCTTCCGTGTCAAGAATAAAGCAAAGAGCAAGAGGACGATAACGGTATAGGACGACTGAGGATCCTTAAGAGACAGCCTTGCATCGGAAGATGAAGGCTACGCATGACAGCGTACACAGAAACAGCGAACGGTCTTCCGTAAGGGGTTGCCTCTCATTTGTCGCCCACAGTGGCACGAGACCTCCTCCCTAAGGTGCTGACGTAGAGCTCTTCACTGATCGCAGGCCGTAGACATGAGGTAATATGCTCCAGCGTTTCCAGTAGAGGCGTGGTATGCTACTCGCAGACCGAAGACCATTGGTCATGCCGCTTGTATGTTTCTGGAGAGGGCGTGTTGTGCTGGTCCCAGTCCTCAGAAGTTAACGTAGTCTCGCTCTCGTGTCTCTGGAAGGCAGTTGTTCGATTAGCGCCAGACCTGGCATGGTTGGTGAATGCTCAAAAATGTCACAGAAAGGCGTATTTCCCTAGTTCATTTGCCACGACTTTCATTAGCCGTGCTCGCAGATATGTCGAGAAGAAGTCATCCACTGGTCCTAGTCCAAGCAAAACCGAGCCAATGGTGAGCGATGGTATAAGACAGACGTTTTTTCTGTTCGTCCCGGGCCAAAGGATTCGGGTTCATTGTGCTTGGATGCGGTTGGATATGCACCTGCATGATGACTTGGAGCAGAATAACAGGGGGGAGTCAGTTCGAAGTATTGAAAGATCGTCCAGTGAAGCAACAACATACGTGCAGAATCGGATTACCGTCACTTGAATGGTTTAGGTAGAGAGAAGCGAAGAAGCCATGAAAGAGCGTCCAGGGAAACCAAAGGTCGCAAGCTCTTGGCGCTGACCATCCTCCGTGATTTCCCACCCTTGAAACGGCCATCACTGACCCCGCTTCACAAGCTGGAAAATGGTACGGCACCCTTATGGAAATCTAGAGATGGGCGTCGTTGCTTTGTTTCCATCAAAATGTGTCGTAGTCAATGTGCTTAGCTGGAACGTCTTCATTCACCTTCATGCCTCTCCTCCTCTCCAATTGGAGCATTTGTGAATTATACTCCTACTCACATTCTCCACAATGGCTTCTAGAGAACCTACCCCCTGCTTGGGAGGCCCGTGCTTCCCGTTCCTGGGTTACGGTGGCAATGTCCCGTGGCCATGAAAGCTTTTGCACAATTGGCCGATAAAACGTGGCTCCTGGTCTTCGTGCAGTAAGAAGTCATTGGCTTACAGCGACGCCGATCTTTTGCGTTTTCTTGGCCTTCTCATGCGCCGTTCGGAAGGTAAAACCAGGGAGACTGAATGCCATACTGCAGGAAGCATTCAACCATTCGGATGAGTGATGGAAATTCCTTGCCAGAGAGCTGATCTTCGAATCAAAACGAGCAACAAGTGGTCATGCACTAGGTTCAGGACGAGTGATAAGCTAGGATGGCTCGCTGTCTGTCTGTAATGTTTCCGAAAACGTGAGTCTCATCGTTGAGTCCAATAATACGCTGTCTATGCGCTCGCTGCAAATGTTCGCCACTACCCTGCGGCTTGTTGGCACTCATCCGAAGCGGTTGCCTGCGAAAGTGTTTACACTCATGACTCTTCGTAGGTCCAGCAAGAGAAGATTCGTGGACAGGAGCCACGGGCCATTCTCTGGTTGGACCTCAATCGGCAACAAAGGCTCGGATGGCGTGTCCTATAGTCTTGATGGTTGGTCTCAGAGAAGGAGCAATGAAGGATGTTTGCCCCTTGATAGACTAAGTCACCTGGCATGCGAGCGTCGGGTCCCAATCGTTTCTCCAGGAAAGCCCAAAACACATTGGATTCTGGGTAAAGGCGGTGCGTTACCGTTCACCTAGGCAGACGAGCGATAAGAGGAGGAGATTACTTAAGAAGAGCCACTTCCTTCCAGGTTCCCATCCATCTAGCAGCTTCACAGAGCTAGGAGGTTCCATTCGATCATCTCTCGCTTAGTTGACACAGCTGCATAAGCTTCGCTTTCCGCTGAACACCCAAGCCATGGCCGACCGGAGAGAAGACCGGCAGAGGGACAACCAGGGCAGGAGGGGCCCAGACGTGGCTTTCCAACCGCACTTTTTCGAGTATCACCGTCATATTCATTATGATGACCACACTCATAGACACACCCATAACCATTATGGGGAAGCTCAGGGACCTCCTCGTCGATCTCGGTCCCGCCGCCCACGAGACGTAGAACCCCCCGCTCGTGATTATCCTCGTCGTCCGCAAGATCAGCCTTTTCGTCCGAGACATCAGTCATCTCGACGTCTTCCTTCCCGGTCCCCTCCACGACGTCTTCCTTCCCGGCCCCCTCCACGACGTCTTCCTTCCCGGCCCCCTCCACGACGTCTTCCTTCCCGGCCCCCTCCACGACGTCTTCCTTCCCGGGCCCCTCCACGACGTCTTCCTTCCCGGCCCCCTCCACGACGTCAATCACCTCCCCCTCGCAGGTCATCTTCCCGCCGTCAACGGGGGCCCCCTCATCCACCCCCTGGTCACTCGGGCCGTCAGGGTCACTCTGAAAACCGTGGCCGCTCTCGTGATCACGGTCATTCGGGACGACATGGTTCTTCCGGCCGCTCAGACTCCAGACACGGGGGTGGGGACCATTTTTCGGAGACTTATGAGCGCAGCTACAGGCGTACCGAGGAGCCTGTCAGGCGCAGAGGGATCTGGGGTTGGTTTGATTGATCAGAGATGCGAGTGGACACTCATTATTCTGCTAGCGATCGCGGAATGACATAACTGTAGCAGGGGCTCCACGCCGCTGGCCCAAGAGGATGCCACCATGGCCGAGGCTCCCAATAATTATGGAAACATTGAGGTGGCTGACAATCCGCAAAGGATTTAATATGGGGGTGTGGAGGGATATGATGGTGTCAAATTGATGGCTGAAGTTCTCAGATTGTTGCTGGCGTCCGATTGTCTCGGTGCTGCACACAGTGGTTTCTTGTTTGATTGTGGCTTCGACTGTCGGCCTTGCATGGTCAAGTATTCTAGCAGCCCATTCCATTCTCTATCCCCGGGTAGCACCTTCCATAAACAATTCCCCAAAACCTCACAACCCCCTCCCTCCCAGTGCAAAAGTCCAGCTCATATCCCTTGCCCAAGCAAACTCTCATTCGTCGATCCCAGAGCGCCCGTTCCCCAACTCAGACCCCTTAACCACAACAAAAGCGCAGCCCACCCCACCTTCATCGCTCAAATACACCACCCAACGAGAACCCTTGGCATGAAAGAAACGAACGCTCTCCCTCCACCAACCCCCCAAGGCGTCTCACCGACCACTCATCCACCGTCCCAATCCTCCCCCCACAGCGCCCCAAACGTTCCAACACGCCGCACCACCAAGAACCTTCCTTCCACTCACAGCTTCCCCCCCCCCACCCAACTCTCTACCTTCAGAAATACCCTCCCACCACACAACGGGATAAAAACCGTCACCCGATGTCATCGTCGTCGCTTCAAAAACCCGATTTGCAAAGAACGAACGAAACGCCCGCCCTTCCCCTTCGGAGGAAACCTGTACACGGAAAAGTGCTGCAGACTTGCGACACGACATGCTAAGTTTCCCTCGCGGCACCATCCTTCTTCACACATATCTGCCGTCCAGGATTCTAGTTGCGGATTCGGGGATTTCTTGCCTACAGTGGGGGGTTCCGCAGTCTCGAATGCAGGATGGAAGTTGCGCTTGGACGATGATGCCAAGGCTGTTTGATACGCTTAGTCAGATATTGGTCAGCGTTATGGGCATTCTCGGCCGATGACGGCGTTGTGATGCAGCATATGAGAAGATGGATCCGGGTTTGGGAGACCGAGAGGAAAAGCAGTCTTGGCCTGGTCACTGAGGGGGCCATACCTATACAAGCGCATCCAAACGGGCCAGCATGCATTATTCTATGTACATATCACTTCGACAAACACTCCACACCACCTACATGCTCTAGCATGTCCCATTCTCGCACAAAGTGGTGTAATTCGTAGTTCCATCCCCATTAGTACACGCCGTGTCAGTCGTAAAGCAGCCCTGTTCCGTGACGCTATCGATCCTCCCCAGCATGAACTCTACCAAACGATAAGACGCACTAGGCGCATATTGAGGAATCATGTGCCCGCTGAGACTGACCTCGACGAAAGTCAAACCTCGCTCAGTATGCGTCGTGCCAAAGACACCAGCACCCGCTAAAGTGCTTGGGTTATCCTGCGTGTGGTAAGGCACGAAGAACTCATCTGACGGCTTGCTCGAGAAACCCTGGGCGCCATTCCAGGTCATGTTCTGGATCATCAGCAAGGTACCGTTGGCAATGAGGATATAGTCAAGAGCACCGTGGGCGATGATGGTTTTATTTAGCTTCTCGATAACACCAGGTAAGATGGACAGCCCGCTCGGAGGAGAGGAATCTGACCCATCCCCAGCGAAGACGTTGTTATTGGTGCACTCCATCCATTGCTCTACTGGCGCATTAATAGCCTTTTGCACATCCGTGCGATTGAAGTAGACGGTCGCTCCTGCGGGGGTGTAATCGAAAGAGCCGGGAAATCCCAGGACGTCCCATAGAAGCGGGCAAGTGGTGGCGATTTGGTAGATGTCAAAGCAAGGATTGATGAGTAGTTCGGCGTAGAAGATAGCATCCCACAAGTCGCATTCGCCGGAGGTATCGTTGGACATTGGAGGGTTTGGAAGGGGCCCAGCGGGAGGATAGACGAGGTATTCGTTGAGAAAGGATGTGTAGCCGCAGGAGTCGGCTTGCTCGTGAAGAAAGCTCATAAACGATGCATTTAGGGAGAAGAGAGGCGCCCAGTAATCGACGTAGGCTACCGCAGGGACTGGAATCTTATAAGTATTTTTTCCTTGGAAATTGCATGAGGGTTTCGCTTACTCTGCTCCTGCACAGCTTCTGTGCTCGTACTCGGATCGTGGATCAAGATGGACTCAACGTCGTAGTATGTCGTGTCATTGCTATTCAGCATCGCATCCGCAATATATGGCACATAGTATCCCGCATAACTCTCCCCGGAGATATAGACTTTGCGATTCTGCAATCCAAAGGTGTCCACGAAGTTCTTCCAGAAGCCCAAGAACTCCGAAGCAACCCCGGTCTCATCCGTAACATCCGGCGTCCCTTGCGAGAAGCCAGTCCCGACCGGCTGCTCTACCCAAACCATGTTGGTGAGGTTCACCCATGTCCATGGGTTCGGGACTGGCGCAAAAGTTCCATACTGCCAAAGAAAAGGTCCATTCTCTTGCAATAGACCTTCAAGAGAGCTACATCCCGGTCCGCCATTGAGCCAAATAGTGATTTCGTCCTCGGCAAGCGGATTCGTTGACGGGAAGTACCAGAAGTAGAGTTCTCGGGTCTCGTTGATCTTGGAGGATATGGGCAAGAGTCCTGCGTACGATTCCCCAATGTCAAAATCGACATCCGGGATAGCAGATCCGTTGACGGCAAATTCTACTCCCATTAGTGCCAAGGCAAATGACGTGTGCATTGAAGGCTCACTGCTTGTAGTGTTCACATATTGTCGCTTATTGTACTGAGGGGGTAATGAACGTCTTGGAAAAACCTGGGCGACCTAGGTGCGCGCTCTGGCAGCGATTTCCCAACATGCTGTGCATTTCTAGCTGCAACGATACCGATAGTGGCCAACAGGCTAATGTAAGTAGAAACACGCATTTTGCAAGGCGGGTGTAAGTAGAATACACAAAGGTAAAAGGCTGAGGAACGAAGAGCTTCCTGCTGCGGGGACTCGAATTTCTATTATAAGTACCAATTGCCACAACGGACAGCTATCGATGAAGAACTAGGCTATGTCTAGGTGATGCAAGGCACCGCGATGTGCTTGAAACGGCGATCATGTGGCTAGGAAGCTTCATTGCTTCCCGAGTCGATTCTACTGGGTCAACAACGGATAAGAGACCCCACTCAGGCCTTCTCCGCACGCAAATCGCAGTACCTGCCATTTCCGTGACGACCTCGCTTCTGCTCACCCGTAGCGCTGACAACGACCTGATGCGGAAGGTGAGGAAGTGTCGTTGACGTTGCCACGCATTGAAGCTTGGCGCTAGAACGTCCGGGCCGGCACTGTCAAAATCCTTTTCCGACCCCCTGTTTTATTACAAGGGGGGAGGCTTTCAACCATGTCCGTTCTTGAGGCTATTTTCGCAACAGGGTATTTGCGTAGCTTTTAGCGAGTTGCTATGCATCTCGAGACTCACAATAAGGTATAAATAGGTACTTGTATAAATAGGTATAAAACACCGATGGGCTCATGTTAGAAAGCAAGTTTCATTTTTCAATACTGATCCTGAAAAGGGCTTTACAAGTAGAGTACATTAGTGTTAGATTCGCCCCCCGGAGATAAGGTAAGTATCCCTGCAAATTAGATACCGGCTTTCCTCGCTCGATGCGTAAGGTTATACCTTAAGGGCCCGAAACATAAATGGGACTACCGGCACCCGGGTCATGCACTCCGCCGGCCCGATTATGCTAGCCCGTAAGCCTCCAGGGCAAGCTGAAGCATGTCTGTTTGGAAGCGATATGGATGCTATCGAGATGATTACTTTCCCAGCCCGAACTGTTTCATCATATCACTTTAGAGGACGCGGTTGCCAGCGATCAGAAGGCAATAGCAGAAATGGTATCCAAACGACCGCCAAAGAAATCATCAAGCGCTCTCCTGCACCTAGACACTAGGTTTGCGACCCCAGACGACATATCTTCGAGCGACAGCGTCAGCGAGACCTTCTGGGATTTGTTCGCTGAGATAAACGGGATCTTACATGTCGTTTTGCGCGTGGATGTTTCTGCTCTCCAAATCCTTCCTGACTTTACTCAGTAGAACTTGTACCTCATCTGCAGACCAGCCAAGAATGCGAGTGTACAATACAAGTGAGAAGCCTTCGAGTCCCTCTTTGAGTTGCACTAGGTTGAAAGCCCCGACCTCTTTCTATATGCGTGAGTAGATCATCAGCTGCGGCTCTTCTGACAGTCTTGGCTGGTGTTCAGAAGTGTTGCTTGCCATTTGTCTGTCCTTTGGCCATAGGCCTATAGGGAGCCTGATCTTTTCACGATGGACATCTTCAAAGCCTGCCGCGCGAACCCAGTCCTCTAGGTGAGGTCCAGGACGTAAGGTACGTCCACCCATTCTTGCTGCTTTTTCGAAATCTACGTTCCACTTCTCCAACCAGGAATCTTTGATCGATCCATCTTCAGAGTAGAGAAGGAAGTCTCCATCCTGAAACTCAGCGATGCCGCCTGGGGTTAGATTATCGTAGCAAGTCTGCACAAGCTTTGGCCAATCTGCTATTGAGCCGGCCATGAAACGGGAGTGGATGTAGTCGAATTTGGTGGGATGCGTCCACGGTGCCTCAACATCGTCCACTTCAAATTTGACGTTTCGAGGTACCATGTTAGGTTGGACGGGGCTGAAATCGTTCCCGATCACTTCCGCGTCAGGGTAAATATCGCCCATCTCGATGCACCAGATACCTGTGCCGGTTCCAAGGTCTAAGATACGTCTCGGATTAGTCAAGGGTGCCAGATGGAGTTTACCACCGCATGCTTTCAAAATCATCTCATGATGTATGTCCATACGATCTTGCTCCGATTCATCGTTCGGAAAGACGTAAGTGCCTTCCCTGAAGGCATGATAACGGCGGCCATTTTCCGTGGGAAAGTTTAGCACACTTGATGTGAGAGATGCGGTGTAGGTGGAACTGGATAAGCTTGAGCGGCCAAACGACAATGTCTACGGGTTTCCAGGGTTGACTTACAGATCATCACTGTACGCAGAATTGCTGTCGTCGATGGCAATATCACCTGCCGCTTGTACTGGTGCTCTTTTTTGTGCTGCTTGAGGTTGTGCTGCTTGAGGTTGTGCTGCTTGAGGTTGTGCTGCTTGAGGTTGTGCCTGAGGTTCTGCTTGAGCAATTTGCGCTGGCGCCTGGGTCGCTAGATGTGTGGTTTCGCTTGTCTGGTTTTGTTCTTCAGCGGGGGTAGGGGCAGACATGGTTGCGGGGCGTTTAAAGGGATGGGATGGCAGATGTGTCAATGGCAAGCGTCGAAAGCATACACTTTAAGTTCAGTGGGGGTTGAGCTTCTCGGCTAGAAGCCTCGAAGCTTTCCGACCGATCATGCCCGGCGCCGTTCCTGGAACGAATCTGCGAGATATTGGGTAGCTATAAATGCGGATGTAACTCAGCCGGGTAAAGCGTGTGAATATTCAATCATCGTATATGGTGCCGCTTAGAAACTCGGTGGAGGGGAAGAAAAGCTTGGGTCTGAGTGGGGTCACTTATTAACACTTGGGAGTCTGGTTGTGAGAGGGGAAGGCTGTTGGGAACGAGACTAGAGCGTCACTACCGTAATTGCTAACTCCACTACGGGAGCTACCGGGCAAAAAAGTGAGGTAGTCCCTAAAGTAACCGGGAAGATCCCTTATTCCTGGTGCCAGCGCGAGCCTAGGATATGCAATCTCCGATAAATCCGAGTCAACAACACTGCAAGCATAAAAACGCATGAATGGCTTCATACAAGGAGAGTACGGAGCAGATCACACGTAGATAAATCTCCAGAAATGCAATGCTGCGGCTTTCCTTCTCTTTGCTCAGCTTGTAACAACATTCCGCAGATCTGGAAGTGCTTACCTGGTAGTAGTCAACAGAACCAGTCTATCTTGTAGACATACCGGCAACAATAGAAATCAAAACGCAAAGACACGACGACACATACCATCCTAAAATTCTGTTCATCCTCAACTACAGATCAGCATGATAATACACCGTCTTGGTGTATTGTATCATCCTAACGTATAGGTAATTGCAATGGAAATCAAGATATGAACATGACATGTGCTATAAGTCTGCTAAAGGCGGTCTTCACTCTTCAGAGTATGATTTGAGGCCGTAGCAAATTAGCAACCAAGTACCGCGCGCTTGCTTTGGCGCCATTGCTGTGCGTCCAGGTAGGGGATAATCCTCACATCCTAAAGTACCTCCCGTATAACAACATACTAGCAAACCAGTAAAATTATTCATTCTCTGCAACGGACTTTTCATGATCATAGAATTGCATCCTTCGAGATGAACTGAACGGCCTATCAATCATTTTCTTGTCCGGAGCTCGGTATGGCCGTTGCCAATGGCCGATTTTCAGCCCTATCAGCTTTTCGATGAGTGACATCATCAGCGTTTCAATTCCACCACAAATTTCCATGTAATTCTTCTGGCTACGTGAACAACCGCCAACAAACTCATAACCACTCCAAAGTCAGCGATACAACATCTTTCACCATGTCTAAAGAATACGAAGGCCAAGACCCCATGGCTATCGCCCGCCAAGCAGAGCGTGACCTCAATTCCCACCAAGCCAAACACGGCGTGAGCACCGCAGACTCAAGTATGCACCTCCCTTCCTTACCCCACCACTCAACTAAGCCCTCCTAGCCACCGAGTCCGGCGTCGACACCAGCGTCACCGACAGGTTCCCCGGCAGCACCATCAAAGTCGGCTCCGCCGCATCAGGCGCCGGCGACAACCGCGAAATCCCCGTCGATGAAGGAGGCGATCTGATCTCCAAGCCTGGCGAGAAGGGCGGATCGGGCCAGTAAGTCGGATCACCAGCCCACCCATGAAAACGCTTTGGGACAGAACCGACTGACCCCTTCGCCAGTCCAACCAAAGCACGAGACTTCGAGGGGCCGGGGGGACCAGAGACCAAGCAGGCGATCTACGAGGAGGCAAACCCGGGGAACGATGATGTGAGGAACAATGTCAGGCAGGGAACCGACACGATCAGGCCGTCAGGGTAGATACGAGGTGGCGGATGAGCATGCGCAAGAGAGTGGAAATATTCGAAGCCGGTGATGAATGAAGGAACCTGAGCAAAGCCAAAGGTCATGACGTGGTTTATCTCCACAATCAATGATTTCCATACCAATACAAAGGGCCGCTGTTGCTGTTGCCGTTGCCATGCTGCCTGCCTCAATCGCGAATCTTAACAACTGAGCCACTAACCTACCACACGATAACCTCTACTGGAATCTCGAAACCCAAACCTCCGCTTCGCCACCCCAGACAAGCACCCTCCGCCCTCGTCTCATTCCTCAGCCATCCAACCATCCCGTCCCCAATCTCCCCTCCGAACCTCCCTCAAAAAGCGCATCCCTTCCCTTCCCTTCCCCTCCCTTCATCCTCCATCTTCCCGGCCCCCATCCACCACACCGCGACCTCGAGGAACCCCCAAACACGGCTCTCGAGCCCTCCCGATCATTAGATCCCCTCAAACGTCCACCCACCAGCCGAAAGCATCCAGGAACCCCCCTCAACCCACACCTGGACAACGTCAAGACCAGCACGACGGCGGGTGCCGCTGCATCGATTCGCCTCTGCGGCACCCAAGTGACCAGCAAGAGGATGGGGCTCGATCTACTGACCAGCAAGAGGACGGGGCTCGATCTACTACTTTACTGACAGGTCACCTAGTTCTACGCTCCGTGGGCCCGAGAAGCCGGAATCGGGCCGGCCTGAACGGGACACGGTTGGTGGGCGATTGGGGATCTTGTCCGTTAGGTGTGGCGGTGAAGAAGGGCTTCTCACGGACAAGGCGGACGGGGAAGGGATGACGGGGTGTTGGCATCTCCGTCGTAGGATCGCGGTTTTTCGTCGGTTGCGCTATGTATTGATGTGTGTCATCAGATCTAGGTTTACACAGCGAACAGGCAGCGAGACGTAGGAGGTAGGATACGACTGGGCTTGTCCCAGGTCTGGTCGCGCTGGGCACGGAAACAGACGTTAGGTGTCCAGAGCATGGGCGAAACTTGAAGCTTGGGCATCATTGATCGATCTATCTATCTGCGAAAACTTTCGCACTCTATTATATATCTGAAGGCTCTTGCCAACCCCCTTGCCAATCCTGTTGAAATAAAGAGAGATCTGATCAACTTCAAGATGCGATGAAATTGCGAACACGTGGGATTGATGGGAACATGCTGACGGGAGGAAGAGAAACACACGCATGCTGGATCTCTCAGGCTCCTCAAACCCCTCAGACCTACCGCATGTGTGCAATAGGTATGAAGAGCTATTACCGCCGCAAAGGTAGCCCTCCGCGTAAAGGTGTCACCGTCTGACCCGCGAGTCTCTGACCTGTAATGTAGAAAAGAGTGTTTGCATACGAATGCCGTCGAAGACTCCCGAATCTCTCAGAAGGATCCATCCTCTCAGTAGCTCCACAAGCACCATCCCTTGATCATTGTCTGTAGGGAGGTTGAGCCACATAAAGTCCAGCCATTTTATTCTCCTTTCCAAGTCTGATGCCGTTCGTCTGTCTCGATACCACTTGGCCTTTCATAGTAGCGTGCTGACTAGGAGTAAAATTCGAATCAGGTTGGCCCGACTGCTGTAAGACCTGAGCTGCCTTCGCTTCTTCCTCCAATTTTCTCTTATGTTTGATAGATCCAATGAGACCCGTGAGTTTCCTCCTGGCTAATTCTTTGAGCTCCGGAGTCTCGGGACTATGCTTGATGGCATCTTGCATGGACTGAAGTTGAGTTACTGAGTTGATGTGAGGGCATGTCCTGCCCCGACCGAAATGAGCGATTCCACACAGGGGGCAGAATTCAACTCCAGCGCGCTTGAGAGGACAGCGTCCTGTTGGATGGTGGTGTTCACATGCAACACACTTAGCCGGAGGACTGTTCGCTCCATCCATCCCAGGGATTTGGCGTGGCATTAGAGGACTGGGAGACATGAGTGGCACCTCTGCGCGTCTGAAAACGGGAACTAAGAAAGGGTTAGCATGACTTATGGATCACCTTAAACCAGAATGAGCTTACCAATGTTCCTGGGTGGAGATGAAAGTGAGCCGTGCACACTGCGAGGGCGACGAGCGTCGGATTGCAGTTCATGAGGAGGAGTGACCTGGACGCCTTCTTCTTCGCTCTCCGGTTCCTCCTCACTCCCATCTCGCTCTTGGAAGTCGGTATCACTATCTGACTCTTGAGGTTTCCGCCCATTCTTGCTACCCATTGGGGATGACTCAAAATATCGCGCAGTCTGCTTGGAGTAATCAACAGCCTATGGAATGTCAGCCAAAGCCGTTCAGGAGGAGCCCATCATCACCCAGTGATGTATGGTTGCCTCAAATCCCAGATGACCAACTTACTTGACGCTTGCGTCTTCCTCGTCCAAAATCCTCAGCACGTGCAGCGGCCTCGGCAGCTGCTTCACGCTCACGTTCCTTGAGAATGTTCTCCCAAATGGAAGGATTTACTTCCTCAGGGGCTTCCGCATTACCTAAGTTGTCTTCCAAAACACCTTTTTCATTAGCCCAGACTCGAGCAAAGCTGAATTGCGACTCCGCGGAGTCATCCTTCCCGGCTTTGGTGTCCTCAATCTGGCTACGATCCAGGAGTCTGTCAACAGAGGAAGAATCATAGTGTATGTCCTGCGTATCGTCGTCTTTGAAAAGAGCCTCGGTGCCATATTTCAGTATCGATTCGAGATCCATGCCTGCATCGTCTTCGGCATCCATTTGTTCGATAAGCACATGATCGAGAGCCATCTTCTTCTTTCCAATCTGCATGATCTTTTCTTCGGCGGTATTGCGAGTAGTCAACTGGAATACGAGAACCTTCTTCTTTTGTCCTATCCTATGTGCGCGCGAGAGCGCTTGGATATCCTGGTGTGGATTAAAGTCGGGGTCGAGTATTATGACGGTGTCAGCAGTGGCAAGATTGATTCCCACGCCTCCAGCACGAGTAGAAAGCAGAAAAGCAAACAAGGGCGACTCCGGAGCATTGAACTCGTCTATCCGTTTCTGTTTCTGGAGAGAGCCTATGCTGCCGTCGAGACGCTGGTAGAACAGACCGAGGCCCGCGAGAAAATCCTCAACCATGTCGAGCATATCCAGGAATTGGCTGAAGATCAAGACTCGATGACCTCGTTCCTGCAATTTTGGTAGCATGATCTCTAACAACTGTAACTTCGATGATGCTTCGACCAGGTTCCGATGTGAAACGACGTGGTTGCTACTTCTCTCCTCGATGTCCTTGCTGTAAACGAATGGATGAGCCAAACATTTCCGTAGTTGCATCAGGATGTTGTTCAGATTGGCGCGTTCGGTTTTCCCGAGAGCTCGCTTGCTTGGCCCGACGATAGATTTAATCAATTCGGGGTTCTTGGCTAGGATCGACTTGTAGAGCTTTTTCTGCACTATTGACATTGTGACTGGGAGAATGATTTGCGCCATGGACGGGAGGAATTTCAGAACTCCGGCCTTGGTCCGCCTGAGGAAGTATTGGCGTAGTTGGTCGTGCAACTGAGCGACATTCTCTTTTGTCAGTGTGGTGTATTCTTCTTCTAAAGCCTCGGCATCAATTGAAGGGTCTAGAAACTGCAGGAGATTGAATAATTCCCGAGCGTTGTTTTGTAAAGGTGTGCCTGCATTCCGTCAGTATGGAAGGACGATGATTGTTGGGGGCTGCTTACCAGTCAAGAGAAGTTTAAAGGGAGGCTTCAGAGCGTTCAGCGCACCATAAAGAATATTCTTGTCGTTCTTCAACCGTTGACCTTCATCCACAATTAAACCTTGCCAGGAGATTCCCTTGAACTTTGAGCGAAACTCGATATCTTGTGCGGCCTCGTAAGAAGTCACCACAACGTGACATCTTAGATCTTTCCCGCCTTCTGGAAAGAGCTCATGATCCAGGGCTAGCTTCCTTGCTCTAGCCGAACCATAGTATGTCACCACTCTCAACGAAGGGGCCCATTGCTTGATCTCGCGTCTCCAATTCGGACAGGTCGAGTTTGGGACAACGACAAGAAAGGGCCAACAACCGTGGAGCTGCTTGAGAGCCGCTAAGAAACCGATCACCTGGATTGTCTTCCCAAGACCCATCTCATCCGCGAGTATAGCATTCCTCCTTTTGAACCACTGGTAATAAAGCCAGTTCAGGCCCTCGAGCTGGTACGCCATGAGTTCGCCTCCAGTCAAGCTTGCCGGTTGGCTCTTCATCGCTAGGTCGTTACCAAAGTCTTGAGCTCGGACCTTGTTTAGATGAGTATTGAGGGTAGATCTTGTAGGAAGTCGAGTGTATGACCCCATAACCCAATCCTCGTAAGCGGCTTTGAAGTCGGTCCACCGCTCAGCATCTTCTGGTGAGGGTGGCTCTGTCCAGACCGCGTCTTCGTATCCTAGACCCTTGAACTTGACATACACTTTTCTGATCTCTTTGATACGGGCTTTAGCAATCTTCTCCGAGGGAGCATTCACAATGTTGGTGTATTCCACGTCAAATACGATGTCTACACGAAGGTAGTCTTCAGGGACGGCTTCTTTGGTGCTCATCTTCGGTGTGTTGGTTATATTATCTTTCTTGGCGAAGGCTTTGAGGGTCGCGGAGGCTGCAACACCCCAGACCCAAGCACCGGGCATCCACTGGACCTTGAAATATGACATTTTCTTCCATTTCACAAGATACTCTTTGGCGTCTTCTTCAATGACGTCCGTAGTTTGCCCAGGCTCATAACGGTCTATGCTTGTAGGGCGCCAAGCTACGAGAGTTTCGACTTCTCCGGGAGCCTCAACACAATCCTTACACTGCCAATCTTGAGTGTACTCATGAAAGAGAGCCTCGGCTGTCTCCTGTTCTTTCCTGTCTTTGAAGCTCTGGCCTCTCGGCGGTAGATGATGCATGTGACATGCTCGATAGCATTTAGTGCAACGAAAGAGAATATGATTCGGATTGTTGATCAAGTCAGTGAGCACATCGGTAGTTGGATCTTCTCCACCGTTGTCTTCCCGTTCTTTCTGCTCGTCTTTGGCTGTTTGGCGCTCCCGAAAGGCTGTGGTTGATGAACCTGGCTCATGGCAGGAGAGACATAATCCTTGGTCTGGAGCGAGAGGGTCTTTGTGTCTAGCAATGCCGACACATCGTCGACATTGAAGAACGAAGTCTTTCGGTGCGATCTTGGTGACGAGATGCTCACGAGCTGTTCGTGGACCAAGGCATTTTTGGTGGAAGGCCGATGTACATCCTTGACAAAAGACGAGCATGCCTTTCACCTCGTCGTCGTCTTCTTCTCTGCATACATCACACATCTGAAAGTGGCGAAGGCGAAAATCATCGTCGGATGAAAGCTCCTTGAAAGCCTCTTTTGCCACAGCGTACCTGGCAATACTATTGGCCGTAGCTGTCTCAGGGATGTCCTCCTCCCCGACCTCGCGCATGTCTCGGCTTCTTCCCGTGTTGCGACCAGATCTCCGAGAAACTTTCACAGCCTCAGGGTCAGGTCTTCTGGGTCCGCGAATCAATCTCCTAGTCTTGTTTGAACCCGATCGGCTTGACGATGATCGCTTGCGTTTCCCAAGCTGAATTGGGTCATCTTCACTCTCATCCTCAAGTGCAAGCAAATCAGAGTAATTTACCCTCTTCTGGGCTGTAGTCCGCGTAGCTCTCTCACCACGGAATCGAGCAGCGGCACGCCGCTTCTCGTTTCCGACATACTCGCCACCCTCGGATTGCGAGGACATCGACATTAAGCTCAGCTGTGACTGCGACTTGCGTTGTCGCGATGTTCTGCTTGACAAAGTGGTCTTGGAGCCTTTGTTTTGACGACGGCCTCGTGTCTTTGGCTTTGAGGGTCTCGCCATGGACAGCTCGTCGTCTGAAAGTAGAATTGATTCAGTTGAGTCGGAGTCGCCAGTCAGTTGATAGGCGAAGTTGGCTATGAGACTAGGTCCGTTTGGAAGCTTCCTCAATTCGTCAAATGAGATCTGTAGATGCGGAATGATTAATCAGCAACGTTACTCTATTGCCACGCTTCCAATTAGGAGAATGGGTTTGGGGTTGGCGATGTAAAAAGGTGCGGAATAAGAATGGATTGTAGAGTGTGTGGATGAAAGTGTATGGCAGGCCGCGTTGATAGGTATCTAGACGACCACGTCCAGAGAGGGTGCGTTGGATGGCATGTAGATGATTGCGTCGAAGGGCAGGTAGAATAATGGAAAAGGAAGCATGTAATGATGTAAAAGGAATCAAGCATTAGAATTGACGGTGAGCGTGGAGGTAGCCGAGGTAGCATGTGTTGAAGAAAAGGTAGGCCAGAAAATGAACTCACTACGTCCTCACTACCATCCGAAAATAGCACAAGGTACTCGACAAAACCAGCATCGTCATATTCCTCCAAGATCTCATCCACTTCTTCTTCATCTTTAAACACCTTATATTCCCAGCGATTTTGCACCGGAGGAACAATGACTGCGAGGCCATTCTTCTTTACAGCCTTTTCGTGTAATACTTCGCCAAGAGCTGAGAAAGGAACTGAACCCTCCTGTGATGAAATAGAGGGCGGGTCGAATCGCATAGTCATTGAGTCTGGATCAATCTCGCCGTTCGCTCTGTCTGCAGAGGCTACAATAAGCTCGACCTCTGAAGTAGATCCACCCTGGGCATCATCCGCATCCTCAACATTATCATGCGCGCGCATCTCGACGTCTACGGATGCGGACTGCGCGAGCATGTCGACCTCTATGGACGCGTCCTCATCCGCCATATTGATTGCAAGCTCTTCCTCTGTGTGAACTTCGCGTCAAGAGCGGACCAAGTCTTGGAAGTCCTTGGGCGCTCAATGATAGGCGCGCCGGCCTGGAAAAGTGCAATGATATCAGGAAGGAAAGAAGGCTTGGGGAACGGGCAGACTGTCCTAGGCAGGAGCTGGCGGTTTCGATTAATTAAAGGGAATGAATGTATCTCCAGCTGTTGAGGTTGATGAACAGCCCACTACAGCTATATGTCGGGGTCTTGGTACCCTACGCCTCCTATAGTGGGTATAAGAGAGAGATTGACAGCGTAACGTAAAGTATGGATCGAAAATAATTGTAAGTGAAAGCAAGAGCTGCTGCTAAAGCTCTCTCACGTCGTTTCACGCGGATCCCTGTCGTGGCGGAACCTCGGTTAATCTAAATTGATTGCCCCTGGTAGCCTCGGGTGCTCCCATGTCATGCCCTTTCTCAAAGCCTATCAACAGCACCGTGGATATAGAGTCAATTGCTTGATCAGACGCCATGGCAACTCCAAACCCAATGGCTAATACGTACCCTATACCTCCCTTACCGGTTTCGAAGAAGACAGTCTGCATTGCGGGCATCATTACGACAGTGTACGGTCTTGACGAATTAGATGCAAAAGTCCAAGATGTGGCATGCTTGTGGCTCCTCCATCCGCGGCTACAAACACAAGAATGCATGGCGCCCGTGGCTGCCTCGACCGTCAATGCTTGGAGAGAAGAAAAGCAAAAGCCGAAGAAAGGGAAGGCGTTGGGTCTCATATGCGTTTCATTTGACCAGAGGAATCACGGCTCGAGAGAAGTGGATGCTCTCTCGAATGAAGCTTGGAGGAGTGGGAACAAGACGCATGCTCAGGACATGTTTGCAAGCTATCGTACGTATCAAGGAAGAGTAATCAAACGAGCACTAACCACCTAAAGACGGGACTGCAATTGATACATTTCATCTTATGAACTATATCACCTCCTACGTATTCCCGACATCACAGCATGTGATTGTAAACCATTTGGTGTTGGGAGTGAGCCTTGGTGGCCATGCTGCATGGCATTGCATAACACATGATCCTCGAATCACCACTGCAGTTGTCATCATTGGTTGTCCTGACTACGTCCGCCTGATGTCTGATCGAGCTCGGCTCTCAAAGCTTGCAACGTGGACGGACAGTGACCCTCCAGGATCGTCATTCTTAGGATCAACGGATTTTCCGAAAGGCCTTGTGGAAGCCGTGGAGAGGTATGATCCTGCGGGATTGCTTTTGGGTGAGATTGTGTCTCGCGATGACGATGTATACGATTGGGTTCCTACTGCCTCAGAGCAACAGAGACTACTGCCATTGATGAAAAGGTCTTTGCAAGGGAAACGGATATTAAATATGGCGGGTGGTGATGATAAGTTGGTACGTGCACTTCTTGAAGCGAGGCCTCCCGACAATCTATACTATGTCTGAGTTACAAACCATGTGTTGGGTGCAAACTGCTCACCATGCTCCCCAAACTTGTCTTAAAACCCGTTCGTTGCCTTAAAGAAGTAATACTAACTCCGAAATATACAGGTCCCATACAAGTGTGGAGAGCCGTTTCTACGATGGCTCAAAAAAGCCACTGCTTCTGATGGATGGTTTAATGAAGGCGGAGTCGTGTTCGAAGATATCGTCTTCGACGGTGTAAGCCACGATATGAACCCAAGCATGGTCAGAGAAGCGCATCGATTTATTATAGAAGCATTGGAACAGACGCCTACAGAAATCGCGGGACGCGCGTCAAAGATATGAATTTGTCACTCTCCACTATGAAAGGGAGAAAAACTGTCTATCCTGGACTGCCAACTGGGGACCTCGGACCGTGTAACCCTCGGGGCATCTCTAAGCAGGGAGGGTTGATAATGGAAGCCATTCCACCAGGACTGAGCATGCAGGTCTGTATCCCAGTGTCTTGTCTCCAAGTGGGCCACCATCTGACTAAAACGCAGTCATCTCAAGACTCGCTAAGGCCAGGAAGTGTAAAGGGATAGCACCAAAGGCATCCAAATACATCTGATAGTAGACTTTCTGTATCGAGTAGATTGACAGTAGCACTTGATAGAAGCCCACAATCGCGCCAATATACGTCAGCCTCTTTAACATGAGCACCGACTCCTCCCAGGGGAGAAAATTCGTAAGGCGTCCTATGAGAAATCGGTTGTCGCAGCCTTGCATGGTGTATGTCCGTCAATATTAAAGTGCTCACCCTCCACCATCACCTGCAGCGGCAATTTATGCTTCTTTGACTGCCGAGATTCATCTGATCCTCAATCACATCACCCGAGGGACCTGACAATCTTTCTTATTAAATGCTTTTGCACATCAATAAATTTGTCCATATGCCGTTGTATGTTTTGGGCCTTATGCACAAAGAAAAGGCAGAGAGACGTGGTCGAGACACGGGGTAGCTCGGGCACCTCAAATCTATAATGTTGTACTTGTAAGCGCCGCCACCACCAGAACGTCATCGGCGTGACTGCATGTCACACGTTTTCAACATGAGGCGATACCTGTATCAAAGTTGGTTAACAAGAAAGGCAGGAGATCGAATGATCGTCTCGAACAAAGGAGCTGAGGAAGTCGAACAAAGTCGTTTGACCACGAAGGTGGGGTGGCGATGGCGGTACGCGCAAATCATTGAGTTAGCAACGAGGCTGGCCATGCCCACTGCCGCAGAGCTGCATCATTCATGGCCATTTCTATCTTTGTCCCTGCCAGGTCCAAAAACAGGGTTCACCCCCCCCCCCCAAACCCTTCCTTCGGGAAATATACGCAAGCAGCCTACTGGCCTATTGCAACCAGTGCCGTAGGATAATCACCGACCATTAGCGCCATCCATGGTGTCTGCCTGTCGATCCAACACCACTAACAGGAATTTGAACAAGCAAAAGCACCCTCTCAGCCACTGAGAGTGGTCTGTTGACATCATGCCCTCGCGGTCCGAGGCGTACACCCTTCGGAAAAACCTTCACGGGCAGGCGCGAGCAGTGTGTGGTAGGTAGCTTAGGCGGCCAGGACCCCGAAAGTGAAACAAACAGGTCATTACGGTAGCTGCGTCCTTGTCAGCTGTGCAGAACCTCTCTTATATTTGGACAAGCATCTTCCTTCATCCTTCATCCTTCATCCTTCTCTAAACCACATTCCACATTCCTACAACCTTACACCGCCAGAAACATTTCTACTTTCCTAGAAATACTCAGCTCTCCTCTACTATTTTCACATACTACCATCTTTTCCCCTTCTGCACATCGTACCTCGGTCCTTCAAGTCGCTCAAACCCCGTTTCTTAAGAAGCAAACCCAGATCTCCAGACACTATGGCAACCAAACTCCAGAGAGTCAAGCTTATTCAGAACAAGAACTACCAACGTTCTGGTCCCAAGTCTTATGTCTCCCTCCTCCACAAGTACAAATTCACACCTACATTGGACGGCCCATACACCGTCATCAACAAAGCCCACCACCAAGGCAAACATGGTGAACACAAAGCCGTCGGTGGCAAGACCCATATGCAGAAGGTCCTCCAGAAAAAGGCTCCGACCAGCGACCAGACCGGCGATGTCCCCGCCGAAGACTCACAGAACGATTCTGAGTATCTTTGTCCTGTCACCATCGGTACTCCAGGCAAGACCTTCACTCTAGACTTCGACACTGGATCAGCCGATCTCTGGGTAAGTATCATGCGTCGTTTTCTGCTTTCTAACACCCAGCCCTAATAGTCTTACAGCTTTGGTCCACAGAGCTGCCTGCAGCCACCACATCAGGCACCAGCCATACCATCTTCGACCCCACCCAGTCGAGCACGTTCAAGAACTCCTCTGGTTCGTCCTGGAAGATTTCCTACGGAGATAACTCCTCTGCCTCCGGCACAGTGGGAACCGACGTCGTCAATGTGGGCGGTCTCATCATCCAAAACCAAGCTATCGAATTGGCTCAAACCCTCTCGACCCAATTCCAGCAAGACAGTAGCGACGGGCTCCTCGGTCTCGCCTGGGGATCCATCAATACCGTCACTCCCAACCCGGTGCAGACTCCCGTTGAGAACATGATTTCCCAAAACGACATCCCAAAGACTTCCGAGCTCTTCACCGCCAATCTCGGCTCCGTCAAAGACGCGAATGATCCAGACAAAGGCGAATCATTCTACACCTTCGGTTATATCGATCAAGACGCCCTTGGCGGCCAAACCCCTTACTACACGCCCGTGGACAACTCTCAGGGCTTCTGGATGTTTGACAGCACCTCTGCAGTCGTAGCCGGCAAGACTATCACACGTTCCGGCAACACCGCCATCGCTGATACCGGAACAACCCTCGCTCTGGTTGACGACACCACCTGCGAAGCTATCTACAAGGCGATTCCAGGAGGCAAATATGATTCTACGCAGCAGGGATACATTTACCCTTCCAACACCGCTCTCAACAAGCTCCCTGTTGTGAGCTTCGCTGTCGGGGGACAGCAATTCGCCCTGCAGAAAGAGGATCTAGGTTTTGCTGACGCAGGCAATGGCATGACCTACGGAGGCATTCAGTCTCGTGGAACTATGACCTTTGATATCTTGGGTGATGTGTTCTTGAAGAGCATTTACGCCGTGAGTCATTTATCTTTCGGAGTATCATCTTATACGAGGCTGACAATACTTCAGATCTTCGACCAAGGCAACACCCGCTTCGGCGCCGTCTCCCGGTCGGAGCCCACGCAAAACACCACCATCCCCGCTGCATCTAGCTCTTAGGAAGGATTACAACTGCGCGGTGGTGGGCGAAATCACCGGATGCGCAGAGCGAGTCGGAAAGTGCTGCGGAGAATAGATAAGATGGTGCAATACATGAAGTCGATATGAACGTATCGTCGTGGATGGATGCGTAGACTGCCTCGTGCATCCCCTTTGGCCTTGATCGGTTATTAGCTTGCTTCTTGTCTTGTTGAGTTTGTATGTTTTTGCTGTGATGGACATGGTCAACTTTGAACGGTGCGAATGGTAAGATCGAGTACGGTTTACGGCTTTGAAGAGGGAATAACAATCGTTCAGAATTGGATCATGACCATGAGACAAACCCGAAGAAAACAAACAAATAGATTAACTCCCAGTTGTATTCGTCGATCAATCACATGCAGAGAGCGTGACTCCATGTAATTGAGTTGATTCGTTTCCTACTGGACTACATCCATTCAGTTGAGCAAGTATCGCGAGCAGCCTTATCCTAACAAAACACCAAAAGAAAGAAGATTGATCTCTTGTGTGTCATCATGATTTGCAATTTCGCCCTCTTTCGCCATCAGCATATCCGTCTTTCTTGATGAGCCACATCCACAATCCCAAGACATCTCCTCACACGTAGTAGGCTTGCTTTGGGCTTGTCTACTTCTTCCCATTTTTCGCCGTCTCCATCTCGTCATCGGAAGCAATAAGCTCATACTCCTCATCAGTCAAGAACGCCTCATCGCTCTCAGTGTCCTCGTCATCAAGCTCAAGGCTCTCGACGTCCTCCAATGGATCCTTGACGCTCACTGGGGCAGGTGGTACTGCGGCAGGAGTAGTAGTAGCCTCAGCCCCATAAGTGCTAGAGACAGGAGATTCCTTGTCGAGCTTGGGAAAGATCATCTTGCTCTCGGTCTGCTGTTCCTCTTCTTCATCTTTCACTGAGGCGTGCTTGGCAATATCTTCGATATGCTCGGTCTTGGCTATCTCAATCTCGACAACAGGCTCAGGTGCCTTAACGTCGACGTCGCACCAGAGCTTGTGACCAAATGGTAGACCAGTGGTGTCCTTGAGACGCCAGTAGGAGATAGCCTTACCCTGGCGCTCAGGGGCACGCATCTTGACTGTGAAGTCAACTTCCTCCCCAACTTCGACAACGCGATCAATGACGTTGCTCTTGGTCGCTTTGTAGATTTGCGTTACGTGCGATGGGTGGTTGGGGTCAACGTCTAGCATGCCGTCGCCGCCGATGAAGCAGACGGTGCAGCCTGCGGGCCAAGCGTGTGGGCCGGGATTGCGAAGAGTCCAAGTTTGCTCGAATTGCTTGCTTGGTGGCATGGAAGAACCGTCGACGACGGAGTCACGAATGAAGTGAGCTTGAAGCTCGGGGGCAGCGATGGGCTTGGTGGCCACGACCTTGGGCTCTTCCTCAATTAACTCGGTAGGCATGACTTCCGCGACAGTTTGGACCTGGGTAGCAGCGTTGGCCGACGGTGCAGCTGGAGTAGTCTCCGTGGACTTAGAGCTTGTCTGTGGAGACTGGTCGCCCATGGTACGCATTTGCTCTCCATTACCTTTTTCGCCCAAGGTGGTGACCGAGACATTGCGAACAGGAGTCTTGAACTTGATCAAGGGGTGAGTGCGGTTATGGATCAGCTTAGGCAGAGCCTCGCAGTTCGCACAGAAGTCGGTGTCGTGGCAAACAGCACATTTGTATCGGTCTCCCACAATGTATTCACCTTTGTCGGCGCATAGAGGGCCATCACAGAAGATACCGGTGTGATGCTGGTAGCTTCGGGGCTTCTGTGACACTGGCTCATATAGCGGGACTAGACGATGTCCTGGGTGAGTCTTGTGAGCTTTCTTGATGCATGTCGAGCAGTAGTCGAAGTCTGGGCAGGTCATGCACTTGTGACGGACGCCACAGATGTCCTATTCTTGTCAGCATGTATCATTGAGACCAACGTCGAGGAACGTACCTCGTCGCAGCCATCGCAGATTGCACCATGACGCATGTTGCGGCCAGGAGGGCAGAGCTTGTCAGCTAAACTGGTAAGAACTGTGTCCTTCGAAGCAGGTTCAAACGCGTGGCTAGGATGATGACCATGCTTCAAGCCAACGTGGCATGGCATGCAAAGGTCGTAGTCTTCGCAGACGGTACATGTAACAAAGGTTGCCTCAAGGAACACTGTAAAGATCAGCAATGATGTGGAATGACAAGCAAGACGTGATCTCACCTCCAACGCAAGAGTTGCAAGTTCGGCTGAGATCGAGAGCTTCGTGGACGTTCTCTTTCTTGGTATCCGAAGTGAAAGCACCCGGGACTGCCTTTTCCTCAACCTTGATAGCCTTCTTTGGGGCAATGGTTTCGGTCGTGCTATTGATGACCTTCCCTCCCTTAACGAACCGCTTGATCAACCAGTGGTCCTCGCTGTCACAAAGGCAGCCCTTCTCAACACAGTCTTGGCACAGATCAAAGTCACCACGTTCACAAATGCTGCAATGCCAGTGGGCATCTGGGATTGGCTTATCGCAATTGTTGCAGCAGATGGTGAAAGAGTTGCTTGGAACCAAGCAGTCTCTAGCGCTGGCTTGTCGCATTGACTCCAGCGCCTCGGTAATATTCGAATGGTCATCGACAGCTGTAAAGTCATTCTTAGTGGAGAAGAAGCGAGGCACGGACTCCGCGTCTTCGAAATCGTTCTCGGCAAGCGTTTCTTTTGCTGCTGCAGGGGATACATCCTTCTTCTGGAAAGCTGTCTTTGTGGCGTCAGAGAAACCGCCATCCTCTGAGATTGGCCAGTAGTAAGGTTTAGAAGGCTTTAAGGTTGTATCTTCAGCTTCCTCATGCTGCGACTCTGAGCTGGACTTGACGGAGGGCACAAGTGTCGCAGCTGATGGATAGTTCCTTCGGACGTACGCATCGATTCTTGATTCCTCCAGCAAGTCATTCTCAGCCTTGACAGGATCCGAGATATAGGGATGAACGTAGCATCGAGTAGGAAGACGGTCAGGGACGACCGAGTCTGACTTTGGCATCTCGATCGGCTTGGTAACTGGCTTTTCAGTGATGGTGACTCGGATCTTGAGCTTCTGCTTGGCTTTCGCAGCACGGTACAGTTGCTTGTAGACAGATGGAATACTGCTATCTAGGGTGATGAACGAAGACGAGCTGTCGGAATAGCGCTCAAAGACAGTGGTCTGACTTGAAGGAATGTTGAGCAAAGTGCGAAGCTATAAAAATTATGAGCATCAGCGGAGGTCAACACCCGAAGAAAGTTCATGATGTAGAGGTGTAGGTGTATGAGTTGCTGTGAAGGCGAGGCTGACGGAGTTATGTACCTTGTTGGGCAGCGAATTGGCACCAAGATCCCTCAGAGGAAGCTTGAACTTTCGATTTTCATCCTTGCCGCTTATGATGATCTTGATAGTGATAGGCATGTCTGGAGACGATGCCGTGGCGTTGGTAGCCATTGTCAGCTCTGACTCGGAGGAGCTCTTCTGATGACGAAAGCTGGTATCGGGCAGTGGAGACAAGGGTCTGTCAGAAGAATAAGATAAAGAAGCTGTGTAGCTTCTTAGTGATAGATACTTATTAAGCGTAGCTTACACTTGTTATCAGAAAAAATTTGATGAGTGTTGGTGAAGGAGGAGGAGTCGTGAGGTAAGGTAGGATCTGAGGAACAAGAGTGGGGGAAGTGAGAGGACATCGCTGCCTGGATTACATTTAGCGTCTGCAAAATATATGGCAATGCTTGGCACTGAGATGGATCTGGATTACGAAGGCTTCTCTTATTTCTCAAGTCCTAGATACTCCGAAAATTGTAATTCACAACTGAATCTTTTGTATACAACTGCTCTTACCATTCAAGCCCCGCTGAGGTTTCCACAGTCCGACCAAAATTGATAATTTGGATCAGGGGAGGGAGGGGGAAAATATTTCAGTGCCAAGTATTACAATGGATTTTGGGTATGCTAAAACACATAATAATGAACACTTTGTCTGCCACGAATTTCATAACCTATTTCGGAGGTTGCGTTAATAACACTCTTTGAATGTCAGTGTTTCGACTATAGGTCAAACATATACTGCCGGTGAAGCCGAGACAACTGTCATGTTGACCAGCTAGAGAATTTTAGGTGAAGTGTAGAATGCAACCATATCTATGCAAGGGATTCGATTGAGGTGGCATCCACCAGCAATTCTTACGTATCTTACACAAGGGTCTAGAGGAACATATGCTTGAATGTTTCGACAAGCTTCGAACAAGCCAAACAGCTCAGACCATGAACGGTCTCTCTCCATCGAGATCCGAAGATTATTTGCTCACGCACTGAGAAACGCAACGAGAGTAGAATGGAACTATCAAGTACACCAAGAACTCAATTAAAAAAAATAGTTACTTATTGAAAAGTGCACGCTGGAAATGCATCACGGACACGCTGAATAACTTGGACGAAGAACATTCAAAGCTAGTAAAGCCACCATGTCGAAGATCAGCCGGCTTTTATTGTGGTGGGTAGTAACCTGGAGGCGGCGCATAAAAGATAGGAGGTGTCATCATCCCACCCATGCCCATCACTCCACCTGATGGCGGCATTGCATATCCTGCTGGAGGGTAAGGCGGCGTACTTTCTACAGGCGTAGGTAGTTGTGTAGAGTCATAGTAGTAGACCATTCCGTTGCTCTCGTGAGCGACAGTGCCTGCTTGTGTGGTTGGCTCGGTCGGCGGTGGCGGTGGCGGGGCTGGTGCAAGTGGAATAGGATAAGGATAAGGTTGACCAGGCACGAAAGCTGGAGCTGCGGCCGAGGGAGCTCCGCCAGCTTGGTCTGGAGGAGGATAGAAGTAGACCGGCGGAGGGAAATGTGGTGGGTAGAAGCCCTGCGGTTGCTGATAAGGGTAGGGTTGGAACGGTTGAGCGTGGATAGCTCTCTCGGGTATTTGAGGCAAAGGTGTACCACCAGATGCTTGACTGGGGTGAGATGGATGTCGAGAATGGGGATGCTGGAAATCTTGCGTGTATGCCTGACCGGTTATCTGTGTGGGTACTTGCTGGTGGAACGGCAGCTGCTGTTGTTGCTGCGGTGGGTTGAACTCAAGAGTGGCAGGAGAGTCTATGTCTGCAACTTGCAGTGTCCTTTCAGGCTTCGGATGGTGCATCGGTAGGGCTGCGGGGCGGTTCTCGCGGAATGTAGGCTTCTGAGGGAGTGGGTAGGCTGACGGCTGAGGAAGATTGACCGTGGGAGCCATGCTCATGTTAGTCGCAGGCTGTTGACCCGTTACCTGAATCTGCTCGGCTGCCGGAGGTAATCGGACTACTGGCGCAGGTCGCGGTGGAGCTGCACCTGCTGGCGAAATGATACCTTCCACCGCCACTTCTCGTGCAAGTGACGACCTCCTACTCAAGGCCACACTTGGTGAATAAGCGCTTCCAGCATAGGCACTCGTCCTCCTGCTGGAAAGTCCACCGAAGGCACTATATCCTCCACCAAAGCTTCCTCTTCCCCGTATTCTACCAAAGCCTTGCTGATTGGGTCGCATGGCTCGAGGAATGAATATGAAGGACCGGTCCAGCGATGGAAAGACATACCGGATGGGCATCTCCGGTAAGGAGATCTTGACAGGTTTGTCTCGGCGAAGTGGTGGGCGGTGGTGAGGAAGGCGAGTATGTTGATTCACGGGCACCGCAGGGAATGTTATTGCATCTGACATGCCGCTGAGTAACACTCTGATCTGAACGTTTCCAATCATTGTCGTTTTCGAAAATGATCGATTAGGTGGTTGTGACTTCGCAGGAGGCGACCTTCCATTTTGTCGGTCGTGTGTGCTGGGATCGAAGGGTATTTCGTGGTCATGTGCAGTCTGCGTACTGGGCTGGGTGACAGTCTCATGGAGATCGTGAGCCCAAGGGGCATCGGCTGGTCCCAAAGGCTGCGAGTCTCTGCTTGCTAGTGAGCAAATTCTATCTTCAGATAGACGACATGGTTTATTCAAACATACCTGAATGACGGGTAAGGGCCTGCCATGGGCCCTCGCCCTCTTCCCCGGCCTCTGCCGAAAGGTCTGAAGCCATTCTGGCCTGGCGCAGCAGATCGGTGATCATGCATAAAGAATACGCCTCTGTTGGGAACAAACGCTGGATCCGCATCCCTCTTCTTCTTGTACTCTTCATGCTCCCGTCGCCTTCGTTCTCCTACGCTGTCTGCTGTAAGCAGTTCAGCTGGTCCTTGGTGTGCGACGCCCTGCTGCGGTTCCCCTTCTAGCTGTTTGCCCAGGTCTTCGAAATTTGTCCCTTCAACATCTACCTCGCCCGAGACCTTCAGTCCATTCATCATTGCTTCTGTATCATTAACTGTGGTGGCAAGAGGAGATTTTGATGGGGCTGATCTGGACGGTGGTGCAGCGTTTGAAAGACGTTCCCGATGTCCATTCGCTACCGCATCTACTTTCGAATTTGTCCGAGGAGGCGACGTATCACTGCCATCACTCCCTTCAGCATCTGCGTCGTCATCCGCGTCGCTTATGGCAGATCCTTCGCTCAAAGAATCCTCCTCCACACCGGCGGCCACAGAACCCTCTTCCTCCTCCCCATCATCCTCGATTCTTCTCCTGCTCTTAATGAGATTCTTCTGCCGTGGAGCCCCCATGGTTGGTTACCGGAGCGCAAGCGGTCCTTGTAAGAAACCACTCGTAAAGGAGCGTATCAAAGAAAATGAGAGTCGTGGCGCTAGATCAGGCACCGATGCCGGAGGAGAAAAATGCGGACATGCGTCGAAGGTCGTTGGGGAACTTGCCTGGACATCGACGGTCATTAGATGGCCGGCATCAAAAGATGCGTCAGTTCAAAAGAAAGGTAGGCAACCCGGCGGCATGTGCAGGATTGATGACATCTTTCCCGGTCTTCAAGATTCTTTTTCGGCACCGGGGCTTAGCATACGACTAAGCCTGATTAGTCCTCGATATCTCTTGGCGTTTCTCCCCTCGGAGCCTTTCTTCAATGTATTTTCTTTCTTTTTCCTCGGTGATGGTAGCCAGCTTTACGAGTTTATCAAGCTCCATTCGAATGTTCCAAATAGAGTATAATACAGTGTTGCAAAGTTAACTTGCATCCAACGGTTAAGTTGCCGAAGAGGGATCAAAAGTGGAGAATTAGCTACAAGAGACTCAATAGCTCATGGTGATAGAGTAATCCTCTATTTACAAGAAAGGCATCACCAGAATTCGCGGTTTTCGTACATATTGCTATCATCGCATCGGACCGCCAATATTAGCCCCCATACCCTGCTATAAAAAAACTCAGGTCAGCATTCGTTCTTGGAGGCAAAATCCAGAGCAATGAGACAGCCCGAACGGATTTCCAGAGCCTTGTGCTCCCGCAACATGTGTCGCGACTCATAGAGCGGGCCAGGGGGGATTTATCCCGGGAATGTACATACCAGTCGGCCTGCAAGCTGAGGATATTTCTCCTGAACCTCTAGTTGTGTTCTCGTGGCCTCGGCGTATGACAAGGCATTGACAATCTCGCCCTCTGTCCTTGAGAGCTCTGCGGCTCTTTCGAAATATTTGAGCGCCTCCGTAACCTTGCCTTGTTGCAGGAGCAGCTGAGCCATTGTGGCCACAGCGATATCGCACTCAGGATCGACTTTAATTTGTATCAGCTGAGACCACCAGCGGAGAAAATAGAAGGAAGCATACTAATGAGTGCTTTCTGGCACAGCTTTTCTGCTTCTTGGAAGTCTTGCTTCCACTGGAACAGAGCGAGTGCTTTGTTGATCAGTGGCAGCACATTCATGCCAAGGGGCTTCGTCTGCTTCTCCATCTCCACAGCTGTGTCGAATTTCTCCACAGCTTCTTGGTACTTTTGTTGGTCCAAAAGTAGCTCTCCGTAGTAGTTATAAACGTCAGGCACTTTGTCAAAGTTCTTGATGCACCGTCTGAACGTCGCCATCGAGGAGGCAATTGAGCCCATTTTGTACTGGGTCACTCCCAGCTGGATGTGAGAGAAGATGAAGTCCCGGTCCAGGTCGATCGATCTTTGGTAGTCCTTGGCCGCATCCGCAAACTCGCTAAGGATGAAATGGAGTTGAGCTCGGTGATAGTAGATATCAGGGTCCTCTTTCTGTTGCTCCATTGCTTGCTCAAAGTCACTCGCAGCAGCTTCTCGGTTTCCTGCTGCAGTCAGTATATGAGCCCCAGCTTGCTAGCTCGTCAGCGCTTGGACTTACCAAGTTCCAAATGCATGCTTGCCCTCTTGATATAGCTCTGGGTCAAAGTCGGCTGGAGCTCTACACTTCGTGTGAGATCTTCAAGCGCATCTTTGTTCTCGCCTCGTAAATATCGGAACGTCCCACGCATGTTGTATGCGAATGCCTCATGTTCGCCGAGATCGCCGAGCTCAAGAGCTTTGTCAAAAGCCGCGGATGCCGCTTCATAGCCTTCGCCAGTCTTCTTGTCCATAGCCATCAGCCCCGCTCTTAGTCGGCCCTTGCCACTCTCGTCATCCAATTCCGCGGTCTCTTCTAGACCTTGTGGTGGTGGCCGTGGCCTGAAGCTCTGTAGGTAGTTTGTGACGAATGTTGGGCTCGGTAACTTCTTCTCCTTCCCATCAAGGATGGCCTTGCCCTTGGCTTCGGCCACTTTCTTCAGCAACCGCTCTACGCTTTGCGCGCTCTGGTCGTTCTTGAATCCGTCTATTATGCAGCTCGCCGTGTAGTCCAGGAGAGCTTCGCTGTACTTCTCGAGGTGCTCGTATGCATTCGCCCTCCTGTTCAGTGCCTTGACGTATTCGTTATCCAAATTGATCGCAGCTGTAGTGTCTTCCACGACCTTTTCCCAACTTCCAAGCGCATTGTAGCAAGCGGCTCGATTCGAATAGAATATGGGATCTGGTTTGCACAGGACAGCCTTCCCGTATAGCTCGATCGCGTCATTGTAGCTCTTGTCGCCATACGCCTTGTTGCCGGCGACTTTCAATTTCGTGGCATATTCTTTTCGCTCCTGATCACGGTCAACCCCACACCCATGAAAGTCTGGGAAGGGCGCTTGCTACCTGTTCCGACAAAGTATCGACATTGTTCTCATCTATTTGGGGTATACCTTGTAACGGATCTGACTCCACAGTGGGAGGCTTCGCTTGTGCTTGCACAAAGTTAACAACCTCTGGGCGCCATGTTCAATAATTGCTACTCACACTGCTCTTTAGGCTTTTCTTGTGCTGCTTCAGCTTCTGGCGCGCTCTTCTCCTTCTCCTTTTCTTGCTTTGCCTTCCTTCTTTCCTTTTTGCTTAATCGTTTCTTCTCTTCCGCCGCTACATCTTTCGACCCTTTCCTCGAATCCGAGAGGTAGTATGCCACGCCCGCCCCAGAGACTACCACGGCAACACCTGCGATTGTGTATACGACAACTTTGTTCTCGGATGCCCATGTCGATAGACGATCCCAAAAAGGCAGCGATGACGCATCAGAGGAGAGGGAGGAGGTGCCAAGGTTGGTGTTAGACGGAGGTATTGGTACACCTTCGGAGGACATGATGCTTCTGGCTGGATGCTACTTAAGGAAAGAACGGCCAGACAGTGCTTAAATGCCTTTCATGTAGTGGAAAAGGTGCTCTCGTGCCCTATTCGCAATGCGAGAATAAGATATAGCCCGGTGGACGATATGGACAAGCTTGGGCAACCTGGTCTCGAAATTTTGGCGAGGCGAAACAAAGCTCCGCTAGCGTCCAAGATACGTCAACAGTCCACCACCACACGGCTTCACCTCTTAGTTACTAGGAAATATCCCTGATGCAAATTTCATGGTCATTTGGCTGGTCCGACACTATATATCTTGAGTTCGTCTTATTGCCCGGATTGGTACTAGATTTCATATGATGCAGTCGATACCCGCACGCTTTCTGTATGGCTCTTTCCCTTCAGAAATTGCCAGTGGTTGGGAAGGTTCCTCTCGCACTGCGCCCAAGACGATGGGTAGCATCTCGTCCTCATCATTTTGTTGGCAACTTAAATTGTCATAACGCACCGAAAGCATGGATAGCCCCCCCACCTCCGATGGATTCGACATCATATCCTCAATCCGCAGTGACGCGATCTTGCTCTACAGCTGGCAAAATACCTGGGTCAATGCGGAAATCAGTGGCACGGCAGCCAGATCACCGGCTCAGTTCTACATGCTTAGCTATCACCTAGACCGCATGCTGAATGCAGCTGAGGAGTTTGGCTGGGATACCTCTCCACTCGAGGGGCCTAAAGCCTTTGCAGAGCTCCTAGAGAAGCTGCATGACCACCTTGAACGCGAGCATAACGACCGAAATCATGCTGCACCTCTCAAGGTATGATGGAACTGATCCTCGAACAACCGGCACTTCTGACACGATGTCCCAGCTTCGTATTGCACTTTCCGCCAACGGCAAATTCACCATTACATCCGACGGGCCCCATCCTGGGCCTGCTACCATAGAAGGACCTCTTCGCCTAATTGGGGATAACCCCATATCTCAGCTCTATCCTGGCTCCTTATCCTCTGTTGCCGATCCCATTCTTGGGGCTGCATACCTACGCTGGCGCGTCTTTGTCTCGCCCAACAAGGTCACACCAACTAAATTCACGATGCATAAGACCTCAAATCGCGGGGTATACGATGAAGCTCTAGCCCCTGCTCAACCACTGGGCCTCGGACTCAACAATCATAAGTTGCAGACAGAGGTTCTCATCGTCAATGACAGCGAGGAAGTTATGGAGGGCTGTAAGTGTACACCGTACTTCCTGCGCGACAACGAGTGGATCACCCCGAAAGGGAGCTGTGGAGGGAACTTTGGGACCACTAGGCGATGGGCGGTGGAGAAGGGGCTATGTAAACTCGGGGTGGTCATGTTTAACAGCGTCAAGTGTGGTGAGATAATTGTGCTGAGCAATGGCGCGAGAGGATTTCAGTCTGGAATTGTGGAACCTTGGAAGTCATTGTTGGAAGATGATACAAAGCAGTAGAGAGTTCTGCATATATCATGCTCTTGGTTGGGGTGGTTCAAGGAAAGTGACCTAAGGCCTTGAAGACCGACTATCAAGCATTGGACCCCGTTGTGCGAAAATGCATGTTACGAGTAAGCATTTTTATAGCACGTTCAAGCACTAGCCTTTCTTCCAATTAAATCACAGGTTTCGGTCGAACAGAGCAACTAGCGACAAGGAACATCATCCCCAAAAGGGTTGGGGGTACAGACACCCTCTTCGTGTCGACATTTTAATTGCTCTAGGGATTTAGAGCTCTGCAAACCCCAATGTTCCTGGCATCACGTCCCATCCCTTACGTGAACGTGGTCTTCTTCCCCTGACTCTCAACAATCCCTCCAGTCAACCGCGGAGCCGCTGCAAGAGCTGCACCAGGCTTGACCGTTCTCGCATCCAACCTTCTTGGGGGTCTCTTGGCCGAAGATGTTGGGTCTTTAAAGGCAGGCTGTGCCATCGACTCTGGCTCCGGATCCACCACCTTCACTCCATCTTTGCTGGCACTACCATCCTTGCCATATCGTTTTTTATATCTCACATCTTTCCCTTCGGCAAACTCCAATTTCAATGGCCGTCCATGTAGCTTATTGACCCACCACTTCCTCAACTTGGGCTTCTTCTTCGGCTTTACATCAGCCTCCCCAGCCAACGCCTCTGCAATCTCTTCGTCTTCGTCTCCACTATCGGCTTTCTGCTCGAAGTTTACCCACCCTCTCATTGCAGCCTCTCCGGCTTCCAATTCTGCAAATTCGACCCACGCGTACCCCTTACATTTCCCTGTATCCTCGAAAGTTGCGATATGCACATCTAGCATCTCTCCACATCTTGTAAATTGGTTTTCGAGATCCTGTTTTGTAGTCTCAAATGCCAGATTTCCCACGAAGATACGCTTGCTGGGTGGTTTCCCGCTGTTCACAATCGCGGTTTCCTGCTCTTTCGTCCTATCTGGCCTCCCCTCAAAGCTCTTCGAGTCCTTGATCAGCACCCTCCTCCCCGTAAGTAGCCTTTCACTAAGTGCCAGCGCCTCTGTCAACGCTTCTTCGGTAGAGAAATCGATGTAGGCGAATCCCTTATTCTGGGGCTTGATTCTCTGCTTTGAGTTTGTAACTATACCCTGCCTAGGCGCGGGGAGATGTAGCCTTGTAATCATGTTTTCTGATATTCCTGTGTCTTTGGTAAGGAAATTGCGTAGATCTGCTTTAGTTGCGGTCCAGGGTAGATTGCCAATCCAAATGCCATACTCCGAGCGCTTTGATGTTGCCGAAATATCTGCTGAAGCATCTTCGTCTAGTACAGAGCCTGCTTGCACGCCAATACTTTTGCTCTCTGCCTTTGAGGCATCGGGGGTCGCCTTGCCTTTCTTGGCCTTGCGAAGAGCCTTCTTGGAGGGTGGTTCTGGGGCGGTCACGTCAACTTCAATTTCTTCGGCGGTAATTTCTTCTCGCTTTCGCTTGCTGGACGGAGACAGTGGTGGTGTGAGAGTTGTGGTGTCAATTGCTGTAGAATGGCGGCCCATCGCCACTCTTAGCTGTTTTGCTGCTTGATTTTGAGTGAAGTTGAGAAAATGGATGGGACTGGATTTTAACCCCGGCAAAATCACGGCAACGTGCTTTGACAGTGAGTCGCGATGCGAACGGAGATCATTCCACCTTGCTGGTTTAGACCGCGTTTTCGGAATATTATTCCCCTCTTCGAACCTACACCCACTCCATACGAGACTGTCAGTTAGTAGTCATGTCTTTTGCTACTGTGAACAACCAGGATGCTCCGCCCTTGCCCAATGAGGAGCCCAGCAGACTGAGCTATAAGTCATACAAGTACGGAGCTCAGTCCAGCTGATTCAGGAGGCTCATACTGACTAGGCCCGCAGGAAGAAGTTTCTAAAATTGAGGCATAACTTCAAAGACAAGATGAGAGATAGCAACAGATTTTTCGACGAGGAGCAGCATTCCATGAGACTAGCCCGACGTCTCCAGGAGCAGAACGAGTACTACTCATCCCCGAGGGCAGTCAGTGGGAACTCAATTACTAAACCTCATATCTCGCAGTCAACTTCTCGACCTCCTTCTCGATGTCAACGAATCCACCAAAGTCCTGCCCCATCTTCGCTACGACCTCCGCTCCCCAACCCCAGATGCCTCCGCTGTCCCAGCACTTGAACCCGACCTCTCCCCATACGGCCCCTCCGAGATCGAAAGCACTCGCGCCGCCCTTGAAGAAGCAAAACAAGACCTCTACACCGGCCAGATCACGCCGGCCGCATTTAAGACCATGGAAGCTGAATTTCATGCCATCTTGAACCGCACGAACTCCCTCTCTAATCTGTCGAGAGTCCAGCATACGACCCTCAATATCGTCAGTACAGAAGAAATGCCCAAGGATTTGCTGCAAGAAGCACCAATAGGCTACATGACACCCAGCCATGAAGATGAATTCCTTTCTGCACTTGATACCTATCTCGCAAACCTGCCTCCAGAAGCCCCACTAATGCTCCCTCGTCCCTTCAGACCCACGGACCGCGAGCGTGAGAAAGATGCGCAGCTACGCAACCCCGTCTCCGTCTACAACTGGCTCCGTGAACACAGACCCAAAGTGTTCCTACAGGATCCTCGGCCAGAAGAGAAAGAGTCCGCACCGGAGAAAGTGTCTAGCGTTTCGGAGTCCGCAGGTCATAAAGCCTCCCCAAAACCTCCTTCCTCAGGCACTGCGAAGAGGCGGTCTGCTGCCGTGCCGAAACAAGAGGTAGAGCCCGAGCCGGAAGTTTTGGATGATGAAGGAAATGTGATTGGGGGTGCCGGGATTGACCCACCTGCACCAAAGACTAAAAGGAAGAGGGATGATGACGCATATAGGCCTAAGGGCGGGAGTAGTAAGCCGAGGAAAAGGGGCAAAGGGAGTAGCGGTGCAGTAGTGAGGAAGACGGAGGGTGAGGAGGAGGGTCCTTGAACGGGCTTGCTATCTCTGCTCTACAGGGATTCATTGTCTAAGAGCATCAGGCGGAAACTCGATGATGGGAAGCGTATGAAAGAAGGATTACAATCAAATGAAACAGTAGTCTCTGGACCCTCCCGCCCGAGATCCCTCATGTCGTTCTATGGGCTTTCAACATCGTTACAAGCCACAATAGAGAATTACACTCGCAGTTATCAGACCAGGTTCAGGAACAGCAAGATATATAGTTGACGTTCAACACACGCGGATTGGGGTATCATGATTTTGAGCGTGTGATTGCTACCAGTACTACAAGCACCGAAGATGTCTAAATTGCTAAGCCCCACTGCCCTGCAACCGCTCCATCTCACCATCGATTAAGGCCAGCTCCTTTTGCAAGGCTTTTTTACGGTCTTCTAGCATAGCCGCTTGCTCCTTTTCAGAGGGCATGCTCCTGAAAATCAACTGTCTCGGTCTCATGAACTCTTCTCTGATTTCGGGGGTAACGGCTTTCCGCCGCTCGCGAAACGCAGCCACGTAGGTCTGGAGCTCCTTGGTCGCCGCAGCTTTCATTTCTCCACTCTGCATGAGTCCCTTCTCGTATCGTTCTCTCAAGGACCCTAATTCCTTATCTGATTCGAGGAAGAATGTCAAGTACTGGAATGGCACATCCACCGCCGTCCTACCGCCTATCTGTTCTTGAAGTTCGCGGGTATCTTGACCGCCCGAGAACGCCTTTCCAACCTTCTTTTTGATTTGATTGTCGGTATCGCTGAGGTAGATGCTCGATTCTGTGTCCGATGCTGACATCTTAGACTCGCTTCCGCGTAGGGAGGGAAGGAAGACTGTGTGGATCAATGCCGGTTTTACTAGGCCTAGTCGTGGTGCGTTGTCACGGCATTGGCGGAAATATGGGTCTTGGTCTATTGCACAGGGGATAAGACAGGGTATTTTGGAGACTGTTTTGGGGTTCGAGCCGAAGATGAAGGGGAATGAGGTGGCGAAAGAAGTAGCTGATTGGGTTGCTGGGAAAGCGAACTCGAGTATGTTGTTGCTGTTGAAATTTTAAGCAACGGATCGCATGACGTTCTACTAGGCATCGTGCCGTGGAAACGACATACGTATCATTGAAGCCAAATGTCCCTTTGATCTGATTGTTGGTTGTCTTCTTGCCAATTTCAAGTATATTTTGACCAAATGCCGCCCCATGGCCCCCATATATGAAGTCGGTGTCCGCGAATATAAACGTTTTGGCCGGGTCGAAGCCGATTGCTATTATGTCCAATGCATTTTCTAGAGCGAACTTCCGGCAGTCTTTGAGGGAGAGTTTTGGCGAGTGGAGGAATTTCTCGTCATCGGTAAGCATAATGATTAGTGGTACGTTAAATGCATCTTGCAGATATCTACCATTGGAGTGGTCAGCGGCCATCTGTTGAGTACATATTGGAGGGAGTGTGCCTACGAACTTTGTAAATTCGAAGGGTACTGAGTGTCCCACATGCATGCTACCGCTGGACGGACCCCTCCCAGTGTACAAAAAGAACGGAATGCCTTTTTCGTATTTGTCCAGTATCAGGTTGAGGTCCCTATGACTGAACACCAAACCCCTGCGTAACAGCCTGTGTGGTGGTTTTCCAGTAAGTCTTTCGAACCGCTCAAGCATCGATTTATCAATTCTTTGCGACCCGAAATGGTCAATCAGCTTATCATAGTCTATAGCAACGGCTTTCCCGTGTTCGTCAACTCCTCCCGAGACATCGAACGGAGTGATTATTTGCTCCTTGATTTTTGATTCTTGGGAGATTTCTGCTAATGAGAGGGCGGTCAGTGCTGGCGGCTGACCAGGCTCATCAGGCACATCTGATACTGTTGCCATTGCGAACGAACAGACGTAAAAGAGGACAGACCCAACATGCGAGCAATGTTTGTGGACTGGGAGTCATCGGAGTTTGCGGACGCCGCTTCCCCGCACTAGCGCAGTCTCTACCCGCTTCTGCTTCGACAAGTTGACATGGATAGCATCATGATTTGCCATGAATAATCATCCATCATCAAATAACCATCTAGATCATGGTCAAATTCTACGAAAGCTCTTTCAACTATGACTACCCTTTGCCAGCCGTGAGCCTTGCCTACTTTCTCCGTTACCCGAACCCTTACGCAACTCACGTGCTCTCCACCGATGTCATCGACCGCCATTTCGACCCAGCTACACAACGACTCAGTACTACGCGATTGCACCTTAAAAAATCAAAACTGCCTCCCACGGTGCTGAAGTTGTTACCAAAAGGCATATTGGGTTCAAGCGCGGACGCTGGACAGAGCTACATTCTCGAGAAAAGTGTGATTGATGTCAAAGAGGGATGGATGAAGACAGAATCGAGGAATCTAGAGTGGACTGGCATATTGAGTGTGATTGAGAAGCAAGTTTATAGGCGGCCGTCTTCGGGGACCGCCACGCCAGAAATTCCCAGACTAGATTTGGTGGAGAGCACGAAAGGCGAGGGAACGGATGTAACGACCACGGTCACCCTCCTGTCACGCTTTGGACAAGCGAAAACACTGAGGAAGAAAGGAGAAGTTGGCGCAACCATTCCATTACCGGCATCGGATTCAGAGGAGGAACTTCCGCCAAAGAAGGGCTTCTTCTCTTCATGGTCTACCTCGTCACTTCAGCGCAGCATCGAGATGATCGGGTTGAGAAGGACCAGGGAAGCAACAGGGAAGAGTAACGAAGGCATGAAAGTTGTCCTAGAACGGCTTCGTGGTGGTGGCCTCGGTCGGGTCCTTGAAGGCATGCAGGAAGATCGGCAAAGGGCATTCGGACAAGACCCTGGGTCATCTTTCAAGCGGGCATGGCGACAGGAACAAGACTCGAGCAGCGAGAGTTAGTCTAGACCGAGGAGACTCGGTACAAGAGACTGTTTGTCAACGATGCACAGCGGCGCGGGCAAGCGAGGAGTTGGGCACTTGGGGAAATGCTCGGACTTTACTTTCAGGATTTGTCGTTAAAACTGTAGAGTATTAGGTAGTTAGCAAACATAGCACATGGCCGTCTCATGAGCTCCGTAACATTGGGTTATGGAACCAAGTTCAAAAAAGAAAGTGTCGATCGTTTTATATGTAATAGGGAAGTCATCAAGATGTTGATGTGACCCTCCTCTTGACTATCGGGGTTGGTGAACTCAAAGAGCATCTGTTGCCGAGGATTGATCCTACCCTCCCAGCCCTCAAGGCTCAAAATTTTCGAGCCGAACTACAATTGGACAACCCGCCTTCAAGCCTCTGTAATTACTCGGATTCGAAGAGGCTGATGAACAAGATCTCGAATCCCTCGTGACAGACATTCTCACATCCGAGGCAGCAATAATACCGTAGCCACCTTCGATTCGCCCGTCAGCGCTGATTATGCGGCCAATAAGCGAAGCCAATAATCGTGGTTCTCTAGCCGCTGTTGGCCGCCCTTGCAACTTTCCAACAAAGCATACGCGCGGAACATCGCGAACCCTCAATGGGCCGGATCGACGACGTGACAGTAGCTGCATACAGTAGGAAAGTTGGCTCCTGACCCATGCTACGCTACCTAATCCAATAAAGGATCTCGAAGAATGGTGCTATGTATGGGCCGTCCTCCCCGTTGGCCTTCCGTTTTGAGCCTCGCCCTCGACGACTTCCGTGAAGCGTGGACCCTTTTCCAACGTTTCGCTACTATGTACTACTTTTGCTGAACCGCAAACACTTTATCTGTGAATGATTCTGGATCCACTTCGTTCCTTGGCGGCCCGGAAATAGAAATACATGAGGGGAAATCCACCGTCTTGCAGGCTTTCAACGCACGCGGGATTGGAATGCCTGCACTATCGAACGCAAGCGCTGGATCATGGAGCGGGTTAGTTTCATGAGGTTGGTTTCAAGGTACATGAGTACATAAGTTGCATATGATCCCACGTTGCCTGCACGGTCAGTGTTTCTTTAGCTTTTTGTGTGCGTTTTCGTGTTTGACTGGGGGCAGCTACGGAGCATATAATCTCTTTTGCATTTACCGGGTATATTCCCTTTTCGCGAGGCTCTGTGTCACCTAAGACCCTACAACACCTCTACATTACATCCTTCTTCTTCCTCGCGACTCCCATTGCGTGAATCTCTTTGTCGCCACAAGTGTCATCTGACATCCATCAACATGGTCGCTTCTTGTCTTCGGTGCCTCGCATCTTCAATAGTATTCTTCCTTGCTCTAGCCTTGACTATCGAAGCTCGTCCATCCAAACGCAGTGTCTTGCCAAACATACCACGGAATTGGCCAAGTGGTGGAAATGGTCTCTCGGGCTACAATGTACCTCTCTCGGATGGTAAGTACAGACCCATCCCGTCCAGAACCTTACGAATTAGCCTGCTGCAATTGAGGCTCCGCAAATGCTGTCTCTTCACGGAGTCACTCACATCAATGTGACTCACATGCTCATTCTGTTCTCTATTCAGGCACCCAGTCTCTCCCGGCCCCAAACAGTACCCTCAAATTCATAACCATCGGCCGCGGCACCCAGAACTACACTTGTACCTCGACCTCCCCTAGCCCTGTCCTCGTTGGCGCCAAAGCCGTCCTCCTTGACGCTTCTCCGCTCCTTCCTTTGCTCCCGCCAGGCGAAGGAACCGCGGTCCTAGACCTCCTACCCAGATACGTCATCGACTTTGATTTCGCCGCGATTGAAGCATCACAAATCCCAAAGCTCGGCATACACTACTTCGATTCCAACGGGGTCCCAACCTTCGATCTTGGTAACAATGGGCTGTTGAAGGGAAAGGGCCTTGCAGATATTCCCGCACCGGCGAATGCGAGTGTCGGCTCCTTCGATCAGGGATATGGAGCTGTGGATTGGAAGACGCTGACCGATGCTGGGGGTAGTGTGGGGTTGAAAGAGGTCTATCGCGTTGAGACTGCTGGAGGAAAGGCACCTCCAAGCTGTGCTGGCGCGACCAAGCCGATTTGCATCGATTATTCGGCTCTTTATTGGTTTTATGATTGATGAGGTGCATTGGAGAGGTTCTTGGTATGTATAGCAGAGTAAGCTATGCGCATTCTCTACATGAGTATGATGTTAGACGTCTCATTAGGTGCATTCCCGCTTAAAGGGAAAGCTCTCCTTCGAAGCGCGGACAACCTGCATCGGCGTTTGTGGCTTGGATATCTTCGGAGTTTTCTGCAAGCACCATGCTTTGCATAACATAACTGTACATATTTGGAAAAATCATACCCGAGGACCCTACGTTACTGCATGGACACTGGCCGAATTGAACGAAATTAACGAATCCTGCAACTAAGTTTACCGAAATCTGTCACTATTGCAATGCCATTACCGTTATCTGTTCTCAGTGTTCTGACTTTGAGGACTTCCTGGGCATATAAAGACCCGCATACGATACGTAGAACTGTGTGCATTGTCGCTCTTACCAGACGCAATGGAGAGACCACAAGTGGTCTTTTCAGCAGACAGGTGGCCGAGCAACATGGATTCATTACTTCCACTTCTCGGATGCTCACTTCATGTGCTGACTCTTGAGAGCCGATCTCGCAGGCGCTAGTGAACAGCCGTGCGAACCCGGCAAAATATTTTCTGCTTCGAACGATTCTCACCGCGCTCTGACTCCAATAGACAATAGCAGTGTACACAACAAAATCAGATTTTTCGTGTCTCCAAATTGCCTGCATCTATTAATCATGGCTTCGCGCAGCTTCAGTCGCGCTCTGCGATCTCCCCTCTCTCGCCAGTTAACCTCGCCAGCCGTGCAACGACGAACCCTCATCTCAGCTTCACAGTACGCCCGATCGAGTATTACTGCACAACTGAAACCTGCTGTCGGCAGTGCCCTACAGCAATCGAGAGGACTGAAGACTATTGACTTTGCTGGGACCAAAGAAACTGTCTATGGTAAATGCATTCTGGGAAAATTGCGCAGCAGCACAGAGCTAACAGGCCTCCAGAGCGTGAAGATTGGCCAAGGGAAAAGCTTTTGGTAAGTCAGACTTGAACGATGCTTGAAGCCGCCGCTCATGGACACGCTGTTCAGTGGAGGTCGTCTGACAGCGATGACAGGACTACTTCAAGAACGACACCCTCGCACTCATCGGCTACGGATCACAAGGACACGGACAAGGGCTTAACCTACGTGACAACGGTCTCAATGTTATCATTGGTGTTCGGAAGAACGGCGCATCCTGGAATGAAGCTCAGCAGGATGGCTGGATCCCAGAAACAAACTTATTCGATGTGGACGAAGCTATTTCAAAAGGCACAATTGTGATGAACCTGTTGAGCGATGCAGCTCAGAGTGAGACTTGGCCTGCAATCAAGCCCCAATTGACAAAGGGCAAGGTAAATCAAACAGCTGTCACGCAAAGGCTCGACCCATGCTAATTGCGTCTCAGACGCTATATTTCTCTCATGGTTTCTCCCCAGTCTTCAAGGACCTGACCAAAGTCGACGTACCTACCGACATCGGTACGTACATTTCGGAGCAGATTCTTCCTATATGGTATTGAAATTGAGCCGCAAGAGGACCTCTCTACTCCCGAGACCTGTCTTGCAGCTCCATTACCTACCTCGAATAAGCAATGCTGACTCCGAAATCTGCGTAAGACGTCATCCTCGTTGCCCCCAAAGGCTCCGGTCGAACTGTCCGCACACTTTTCCGCGAGGGTCGTGGCATCAATTCCTCGATTGCTGTTTACCAGGATGTCACTGGCAAGGCTGAAGAGAAAGCCATTGCTTTGGGCGTTGCTGTTGGCAGTGGATACCTCTACAAGACGACATTTGAGAAGGAAGTCTACTCGGATCTCTACGGTGAGCGAGGATGTCTGATGGGCGGTATCCACGGCATGTTTCTTGCACAATACGAGGTTCTACGCGAGCGCGGTCACAGCCCCAGTGAGGCTTTCAATGAGACTGTTGAGGAAGCCACACAGAGTCTCTACCCGCTGATCGGTGCCAATGGAATGGACTGGATGTACGCAGCTTGCTCAACTACGGCAAGACGAGGTGCAATCGATTGGAGTGGGAGATTCAAGGACACTTTGAAACCCGTCTTCAATGACCTTTATGATAGCGTCAAGAATGGCACGGAGACTCAGAGGTCGCTAGACTTCAACTCGCAGGCCGACTACCGCGAGAGATATGAGAAGGAGATGCAGGAGATCAGGAATTTGGAGATATGGCGTGCAGGGAAGGCTGTCAGGTAAGCTTGCCGTCTGCTGTGCATTCGCTCAGGATTCACTGACTTGTGGTGCAGGACTCTTCGTCCAGAGAATCAAATATAGATTTTTCTGGTCTGTCAAGCATCAAGCGTTTGATCTCTTTGTATGATACCAAGACCACGTTCGAGGCAGGGCCGGGAAAAGTTGCCTCTAGCGGGCCCGCCGAAGATCGGCGCGGACATTCACAAAAGTTGAAGCGATTTAATCGATCATCCTGCAACCCAGTTTCACGCTGACTGCGTGTACTGATTCATGTTATCAAGTGTTACTGAAACTAAAGACACGCGATATAAGTGATCTACTAGGTCCGACAATCCTAACAAACCATTCCCACCTCGACACACTACCATGGCCGACCTCTCCAGGACCCTGCCCTTGAAGCGCTCCTCCGTCCAGTCCGCCCATGAACGCATAAAAGACCACATCCAACTCACGCCTGTTTTAACGTCAACGACCCTCTCGAACCTTGCATCTGTACGTTACACTTTCCGACGCAGTTCTTCCCCATTCATGCTGTCTTATGAGTCGTCAGACGTGTACAAAGAGTCCTATGCTCCTAAGACATGCCTCGCGACTTAGAGTCCCTCCCGAAAGAGTGATGCTGACTCCAAAATCATCAAGACCCCGCAGACCCCAGAAGCCCTAGTCGGTACTCCCTTCGAGGGGCAGAGACCAGCTCGCCCTAGAATAAATTTCTTCTTCAAATGTGAAAATTACCAGCGCACTGGCTCATTCAAGATCCGCGGAGCCTTCCATGCATTGTCTCGGTTAAGCGAGGAGGAATTAGCGAAGGGAGTGGTGACACACAGCTCTGGTAAGGCAGCTTCCCACGGATAAGCTGGCTAAATCTGAGTGCGGCATTCCAGGCAACCATGCACAGGCACTCGCGCTGGCCGCACGGACACATGGCATACCTGCCCACATAGTCATGCCTACGATATCTACGCCTTCGAAGATTGCAGCTACACAGGGTTACGGGGCGAACGTCTACTTCAGTGGTAGTACATCTGATGAGCGGGAAGCCGTCGTGAAGGATGTCATTAGAGATACTGGTGCAGTCCTCGTGCCGCCGTACGATCATCCAGACATCATACTTGGGCAAGGCACAATGGCATTGGAGCTTGAGGAGCAAGCAAGAGAATGGGTAAGGAAGGATCCAGCCTTGAGTGTGCACCATAAGGGACAACAAGATGTTACGAATGGGCACAGGAATACCAGCCACACGAACGGTATACATGCGTCCTCATTGGTGTCAGAACCTGGGCACCTCGACGCAGTCATAGCCCCAATCGGCGGCGGCGGGATGCTCTCAGGAATCGCCACTGCTCTCCACGGTACAGGGACTTACGTTTTCGGCGCTGAACCATCCTTTGAAGGCGCCGATGACGCTCGGCGCGGCCTGGCAGCTAAAAAACGCGTCACCACCGTCAGAACACTCACCATAGCCGATGGACTGCGAACTCCCGTGGGCGAAATCCCCTGGACCATCATCTCGGACAAAACAAAAATGCGCGGTATACATGCAGTCACAGAAGAGCAGATCTTACAAGCGATGAGACTGGTGCTGGAGAGGATGAAGCTGTTTGTGGAACCGAGTGCCGTCGTGGGGTTGGCGGTTGCTTTGTATGACGAGGAGTTTAGAAGCTTGGTGGAGAAAGAGGGTGGTGAGGAGGGGTGGGATGTTGGGGTGGTATTGAGTGGCGGGAATACGACTGTGGAGGCTATTTCGAAGATGTTTGCTGTGTCTGAGGGGAAAGGTGAGAGGATGGAGGGGAAACTGGGAGGGCAAGGAGAGAGGATTGCGGAGAATGTTGCTGGATAGTACCACCAGGTACGGTAAGGACTCCGAACAATACCAATACAGCTGAACCATAGAATTAGGTATAGTAGCTAGTACCTCTTTCTCCCCACATGCATTCTGAAAATCGCCTGCCAATATCTCTATGAAACCACATCTACAAGGCCAGTCCCAACAATGTTCACTCTGAGCTCCAAGCTCTTTCTTCCAACAATGCTTCTTCTCCAAGACCCGGCACCAGGCCGCAGTCTCGATGAAAAACTATCATCAGCATCAGCATCAGCATCAGCATCAAGCGGCGGCAGTGTTCGGCCAGCGACACAACGCAATGCGCTCCCTCCAAGCAAGCCTGAAGGAAACCATCGCAGGTGTGAAAAAAAAATTGGTATGATCTGTACGATCGGTGAACGCGTGGAACACCTTTCAGCGACCAGACTGAAAAGAACAGATACTACACTTGATCTAAGCCGGAGTGGCAAAGGAAGCTGGAGAGAAGAAAGGAAAAGGGGTTTGGATGGTGGGCAGAAGGGGGGTTTATATAGGGTCTGGAGGAACGAAGTAAATGGTGTGACAGCTGGAGTGGTTTGAGTCATTCGCTAGGCTACGATGTCGTCGTCGCCTACTATCGTGGCCTCAGGCATCACCATCGAAAGGCCTCACCCGAGCTTTGCGCGGACGATGTCTCGCAACTCCAAACGTCAACGCCGTCCATACAGTGTCCACACCAACCGCAGTCTTTGTCGCAGAGCGCGTGATTCACATCCTCCAGCGATGTCTCATACTGCCGATTTCCGTACCGCCGGTCGTCGGGGACTACGCATCCCTCGAACCCGGAAAACAGATGATCGGGTGGGTACGGCATTCCGATTTGGCGGATTCCAGGCACTGCTGCTTGTCTCTTCCTGCCATTCGTGCCCGCGGCAGGGTTTTTCTGTCGAGGTTTGGCTTCGATGGGAAAGCTTTCTGTTTGGGGGTTCCTCGTGGTGACAGTCGTCGCTCCGGAGGGTCTTCTGCTTGGCTGTCCCGGTTGGACGAGGGGCAGTCCGCTTCACACGTGCGATGTGCTGTTTGCCTGCCAAGTGGTCCTCCTTCTGATGTTCTTGCATCTCCCGGCCACATGTGATGCATGTCCATTTCGAGTGAACCGTGTCAGGATATAGAGTAGGGCCTGTTCTCCTGTGCGATTCTCCCTCTAGCTCGTTTTTGCTTCTAGATGGGAGATCAATCTTGGATAGTGGGCGTTCAAGCTCCGCAGTAATTTCGGGAGCCGTTTGTGTAGCTTTCAAAGCTGTTAATCTCGCTGACCGCCTTAGACCTGGCTCTTCTACTGACCGTTGAGAGTGTGGTTTTGCGGCTGGCTGCGTTGCTGCTGTTTTCTTTGCTGCTTTTGTCACAGCTTTTTGTGCAACAGTGGTCATTGTCTTCCTCCCGGGATCTCTCGCCCTAGTGTCGCTGGGACCATCAGGGCGGTTACCTCCCCCAGATTTGGCAGATTTGGCCCATGGACTCCGGCTTTTGTTCTTGCCATGAGGCTCATACGATGCCGTCTGCGACTCACGCACCCTTTCGCTTGTTGCATCTTGTACTTTTCTCATCCACTTTGTGGAGATCTTTCGAGTGAACATCTTCCACAATACAGGAAGATACACCACATCTTGCGTACAGTAATGGATGATGTCTTGAAGCATCGGCCGGACATTGAACACTTCATATGAACCACCACGTTCTGGCGCGAAATATAACAGCCCCTTTTGCTTGGTAGCTTTCCACGCCCCTAAAGCTTCGACCGTGAGCTGTGCGTCATTTTCGATGCACCTGGCGAGCCCGCTCAGCCTTTCCTTCGGATAAGACCGAGTCGCAACCTCCAAGAGCTGGATGTCATGGATCCCTTGCATTGAGATCTGGAAATGCGCAAAGAGAGCATCGGAGTCGTTACGGACGTCGAAGAACACTTTCGGCACCTGCGCCGATTCGAAAATCGATCGCAGGTCTATCCCGGAACGATTAGAAGTACAGAACGCCTTTTCTTGTAGAATGAATATGTCAATCAAAAAGACGTGATTTCTGGGAAAGACGAAAAGCTGAAGGATAGAAATTGAACCATGCCGGGAGAGCTTCACGCCCTCGATGTCCAGGTAGAGGGACGGTGGTTGGGTCGGAAGATGGTCGAGATAATCAACTAGAGCTACTACCGAAGGCTCAGAGTCAACAATAGTCACCTCCATGTTACCGACTTTGGATCTTGGACTAGGCCTTCAATGTAGATATGATTGCGAGAAAACTATCAAGAACGGAACGATTATTAGCTGATTTTACTGGAAGTGGGGCAAATATCGTCTCATGCAAGTGAGCAGAACCTTGGACCTCTATTGGCTTTCTCAGAGCAGTTGATGCATGCAAGGCTGCCGTTGCAACCGCCGGAAGCCTACACTTTCCCCGAAAACCTGCAGGACAGCGGTGAACAACTTTATCCTGTAGCGAAAGAGAAGCCTCAAAGGATAGAGTATAAAGATAGAGTGCCTCATGCATGCTCTCGACCAACCGAACAGCCTCCAATTTGATGCGTAATGATAAACGCTCACGCGCTGGGCTCGTTCTCGGCATGGTCAAATTTTGCATGGTTCATAGGCATTATTGTATCATAGTGATGTAGATTGAGTGAGGCTCGGCACTTATAAAAATACAGTACCCCAGGACACACTCCTCTTCACCAGCAATGGCATCAATGATTTTCGTTGACAAGCTTGACTTGCTTTTCTGCCAATTCTTCCAAAAGACGAGTGTATCGCAAAGTTCCGGGTCTGTACCTTACGACCGTGCGAACCGCATTGAGCGCAGTGCTCCATTCGTCTCTCTCGTCATTTCTGATGGGAGATCCGGGATCAATGTTGAGTCTTCGCAGAGTAGACGGTCGTAGAACATGTGGACTTCGCAGGACAGAATCCCACAAATGTGGTAATCTAGTTCGCTGACTTTCGTTGAAGGAGTCTGCGCAGTTCAACAAAGTCTCTCTGTGAAAATCTAAATTCTCAAAGGCAACTAGAGCTCGTGACAGATGCACCTCTGACTCTTCCTGGTTGCCGGCAACGTCGTGTGCTTCCCCTACCAGAAAGTGTGCATGTGCACGAAGGCTGTTTAGTGATTTCTCGTTATGGAAAAATGAATCTTCTACCAGTGTTTCACTGTGAAGCAATGAATTGATCCCCTCGATGACCTCTTCACCGGTCTGAACCGAGCCTCGATAATCTCTTGTATGGAAAAGAAAACGAGACTTCAAGTACATTATGTTCAGCATTGAAGCTGCCCCAAACCCAGGCGCACTATGTTCTCCTACCGCTTGATCCAACAACTCGGTAGCTTCAATGACTTTCTGCTCACGCGCATAGATTTCAACAATTGCACTTACGACACATAGGTCGTAGAAAGTCCATTGGGGGGTGCGAGGTGTAGTACAACTTTTCAAAGCGGCTTTAGCAGACTGGAGACTCCTGAGCTGCTGCTCCGCAGGCTCCAAGCAACGATGCGCATTGGCAAAATCACGATAGCGCTGTGACAGCACTATGCGGAGATTGACTGCTTTCAATATCTCGACTTCCGTTTCTGAGCATGGTAGCTCATCTAGTCGGCGACGCCCAGCTTCTAGTAGAGACTGCGCCTTGTCGAATTGCTGTTGATCGGTGAGGTAGGCTCCAAGGCGTATCAATGTAAATACATCCCAGCCAGCTCGACTGGGGTCGCAGCCTAGTAGGAAGACACATCGCTCTGCGTGAATCCGAGACTTGCTTGTCAGAGCATAGTTTTTCATCCTCTTGAAGACCTCCGCATCCAGAAGGCCCTCGTCAACGAAGTCACAAATAATCAGATTTGCAGCCATCTCTAAGAAGTGCTTTCGTGTCTCGATTGGATATAGTGAAAGAGTCCACTGATGAACTACCGGATGAATCGATACGCTGTTTGACTCAGCATCCCGTCGAACAAAGGACAACGATATCAATGAGTCGATTGCATCGTCGTATCTCTCCTGGTCAGAACATAAGTTTGCGAACCAATCGGAAGATAGCTCTGGGATCCATTCGCATTTCGCGACACGTGTGACCGAAAGAGCGCTATTGGGATTGAATGCCACATGGAAAAATCCCCACGAGATCTCAGAGTTATCTAGGCATCCGCAGAAGCTCAAAAGTGCTGCTGCAACAGTATCTTTTGCTTTCAAAGCTTCGTAAGACAGCCCGAGGGCCGTATTGACGGATCCATGATGATACTCTTTATGGCTGAGCTTCTGGTTGAAATACCGCTTAAATCTAGTGTCATATAGCTCGAGATACTTCGTAAAGCTTATCTGTGTCTCTTGTATGTATCGTCCGGCTTGACTGAGCGCCAAAGGGTAGCATCCCAATCTCCTCACAATCTCCTCACGAGAGCTTCTGCGCCAGATGGCTTCGGATTCAAGCCGGACAATTGACAGATAAGGTCGAGGCTTTCAGGAATTGTCATTTCGTCAATGGCGTACCCGGTGCCACCGAGCTGACGAGCGAGACAAGATAGGCGGCTTGTAACTAGGACGCTTCCGTGACAAGCCGAGGGTATGTACCCACCTAAGTCAAATATGTCTTCATTTTGAGTCGTCTGTCCCGTGTCTTCATCGTTGGCGTCTGAGGGCGTTTGGCTGTCCATGCTGTCGAATACCACCAACCAATTAGTATTGTGGTCTTCGTCGAACCATTTCCGAGCCACTGAGATAGCTGTGGCAATGCTTTGATCAGCTGTTCTGAGTAGTCCAGTGTCTTCCTCTTCCAAGCCGAGACGGCGCGCTATTCCCGCAAAGTCGCTTTTCAAAGAACTTTCAGACTTGGCATTGACCCAGAAGATGGCAGTATATTCATTCTGGTGTTTCTTCGCGTATTCTCTTGCCATCTGAGACTTACCCATTCCTCCCATACCTGATAGTACTAGGATGGTCTGCTGGTCTTTCGAGACGGGTAGCAATCTCTGCTCCATCGCATCCATGATACTAGGACGTTGTACAAACACTGGAGCTAGTGGAGCGCCTATCAACTTGAAGGGCTGCACGAGGAATCGCATCTCAGTAGACCGTGGCTCAGGTGATGAGACAAATTTCTCTTTTTTGTACTTGAAGAAGACCTTCGATTCTCTGGAGCAGGTCGGTTTGTTCGACATCGTTAGCTGACATGCGGATCTGTAAATCCGTCGCCAATATGGCCTGTTGTTCAACCTTTTCCTCGGCCTTGCGGTTCGATGATATAAATTGAGAGAGATTGATTGTCCCAATGAGCAAATTGAGAGACGCGATCCTTTTGCCGAACGCTTCTCTGAACTTGCGGACATCATTTTCGTGGCCCAGCGCCCATTTCACTTTTCGAAATTGGTCTTTAAGACTAGATGATCCACCAGATGAGAGTGACCGGTATGTCTCGAGCGGCTTCAAGAATTTATCGATACATGACTGACATTCGTCGATCGCTTGCCTGAGCACACCATGTTCGGGGTGCAATGGACTATCATCCAGCCCCAACTCCTTGATGGTGATAAGAACTCTCTCAAGGCCATAGATTTCCTTCATCAGCTCTTGGTAGTCGGCTTTAGCACCTGCGCTCTCATCCAGGGCTTCAATGACGCTTTTCAGTACCCCTATTGCACTTAGGAGGTCACCGATCGACCAGCCAAGAGGAATCATGTCTCAAGTTCGCAAAAGATTGTCTGCCCCACGGGCAGGAACCCTCGGAGAGCCGCCGGAGGGACGTTGAGTAGATATGTGAATCACTGCTTCGCGGAAGATTGTTGTTCCCCCACTCGTCGCTGGCGCTCCTCGCAGGGGGAACAGGGTATTTTGAAGGCTCCATCCCATCTGGATCCGTCCAAGACGATTGGGCCGCCGGGCTGGGGCCAGGTGCAGTTCCGAAGCACCTCGTGGCTCACTATTGTCCAACCGAGATCTTGGCGCAGAAGTCTTGGCGTCCAGGACTTTTGGTCCTACCTCCGAGCCACCGTAATGTAATCTACTCTACTCTTATTCGTCTGATTTGTTTTGTTATCTCTTTAACGACACCAGCGAAAGCAATGCATTTGTTATCGCAATGGCTTTGCGCTCCATGTGATATGCTTCCACTATGAGCTGCCATTTCTCCATATGTATTCCATCATGAAAGGATGTAAGTATTGTTTTCAAGCCGATATCTGAGCTTTTGTTACGCCAGTCATCGGGCGACCCGTTGGGAAAATCTCGCAAGCAACCATCTGTTCACACTCCAAATATATTTGCTGTTTATTCAAGCACAGCATCTAAGACGATAAGAGACGCTTCTGAAAAGCCCACGCGCGAACTCGTAGAATAGTGGTGAGCGCGATATATTACGCCTATGAGATAGTATCCGAATTTCATGCATGTTGCCAAATCGCCAGCCGAAGGGATAGTCTTATCCTCAAAAGATCCCCTTTTAATAGGGCACATGGACGATGCGAAATGGAAGGGGCGAAGCTGTCGAGGGAGCTCCGAGTCAGCGCGTAGTGACCGATTTTCTCGCCTCACGTCTCGAGAAGTAAATCACTGTTACTCCTACAATACCTCTTCATTCATCTCTATCTTCTCTCTCCTGTCTTCGCCTCGTCCATTCTGCCTAACAGACAGCACGTCTCCGCAGCGCGCGTCTTCCACAAAGGCCTTGCTTCTCTCTCTCTCTCTTCTACTCAATCCACCTAGTCTCCCCTCAAAACACTCCTTCCTCTCCCCCCAAACCCCCCCCCCCAAACCCCGCTTCCCTATCCAAACATCGTCGATGGCAGCGCGCAACTCGTCCCCTACAACGACACGATCAGGGCGTCTTGGGCATCTATACCAGACGACCAAACGGCAACCCTGCAAATACAATGATGATACCGCAATACTACGGCCCCCACGAAGTGTGTACCAAACGCTAGACTGACCACCTGAGGTTACTTGCTATCAGGAGCTGAAAGAAATCGGCTGCAGGGGTCAATACCTATCCTGATCTTTTCTCCAATATTACCACGCTCCAACGTATGTCGACGTCCCGCTCATATCCTACAGAGCATACGATCCCTGCTGCTTCATCCGCCGTGGGAATCAGAGCTTTATTGGGGGTGGTTACTTTGGTATCAACGACACCGTTGGAAAAGGGGAGCGGGTGTGGTCAGTCGACAACCCGGCACCGATGGGTATTGAAACGGCGAGCTTGCAGGTGAGCACGGCCACCGCGGGATTCTCGACAGGGGCGGCGTGGCTTGTGGCATGCATGGGTGCTATCACGGTAGGACTAGCAGTGTAGTAACATACATCTGTATACTGATGGGCTATCTGCACTGTGGAAAACTACTTGAACTGGTCCCAAGGGACATCATTATTATTGCACTCGTCGAGCTCACACCGCCAGTTGGGTGTATTGACGCGCTATTTACACGCTGTGAAATATCACTTGAATTGGTCCTCTGTAACACCCTTACCCATTGCACTCGTCGAGCTCACACCGCCAGTTAGCATCTTGAGCATATTGTCGATATAGTTGGCACCCGACCATTTCTGATGAGTCACTACATCAATCTTGCCTTCCATTTCTGGTTCCTGAACAAGCTCTCCATAGGCACGCATTCCTTGCTTAGCATATGCTTTGGAGAATTGGTCAGAGATGAGAGCTGTTGTGTGCAGGCCGGCAAGCGTGATGAACTGCCAGCAGTATCCAAGCTTAGCTAGGCGCTTGATGTAAGTTTCCTGCTCATCACGCGGCATAGCTGCTTTCCAATTGAAGGATGGGGAGAGATTGTAGGCGAGTCTGATGATGTTGTCAGCTTTGCGAAAACATTAGGGATCTTCAAGAGGGAACAAACTTTTGCTCGGGCCAGACAGCGTGCACTCCATTAGCGAATTCTTCTGCCTGCTTGTAATCTGGCTTTTTGCTCTCCATCCATATCATGTCTGAATACGGAGCGTAAGCAATGGCTCTGTTTACAGCACATCCGCAGCCGCCTTGATAACGGTAGAACCCTTCTCTTGTCCGTGGCGAGTCCCAATCCCAGTGGATGTCGACGCCAGTCAAACCCTTAGCGATGGCTCTCGACTCAGAGTTGCTCTTGCCCCTGACCACTGATCGGTACTCTTTGACCAAGCCCGCTTTATTGACGTGCACACCAGCGTTGATCATGTCTTCAACTGCGTCATCAAAGAGCTTGAGACCCGCTTGGGCCATCCATTGGTCCTCGATCGCTTGCAGTTGCTCCCCAGTCTTTCCCGCTTGCTCGGCTGCTACCATCAGGTCGTTCAGAGGCTGGAGAGCTGGATTCGTCATGCCTAGGATGAAACCGTGATCCCGCGGATCAATTGTGGAAGCTATGAGCGTAGCGGCTTCGGAGTCCGTGCGGGCGACAGCCAAAAGATCGGTGCCCATGATGTCTGCTTGGGCTCTGATAGCCACCAGACGGTTGATGTGCTCGCTAATCGGTACCAGAACCTTCCCTGCCATGTGGCCGCATTTCTTCGTCCCAGGCGCTTGGTCTTCGATGTGAATGCCTGCTGCCCCCTTCTCAATGAAAAGCTTTGTGAGCTTCATGATTGCTGTAAGACCTCCATGACCGGTGTCTGCATCTGCAATAATAGGCCTTAGGAAGTCAGTGTTTGCAACATTGCCACGGTTCGCCTTGGGAGTAGTAATTCGTTCTTCTCTTTGCTTGCGGTCGTGGAAAAGCTGAGCCATGAAGAGATGCTGGACTTTGTTGGGGACAGTGTTCTACAAAGTGTCAGTACCAAGGGGTATCATTTATTGGATAATGTGTCTCACCATTGGATAATCTGCCAGATCCGGCGAGGGTTCGTCGGTAGAGGACGCAGTTGACGAGCATTGCCAGCCGGAAACATAGACGGTATCAAGGTATTTCGCCATCTGCGTGAGCATTGTTGGCTCCATGCAGCCATACGTGTAGCTAGCATCGCCATCCTGGACATCAAATCAGCCCGCCTGACGGTTTCTAGACAAGTTGTCCAAAATCTACCTTGAACCTGCCTTCAACGATACGCCACAATTTCTTGCTCATAACATTGCTCGGGTATTCAATTTTGAGGTTCCCTCTCTTAGCAACAATCTGTTCAGCCGTGAAAGGCCGTTTAGTGTACCTCCATCTAGAGTCCGTCCACCATTTCTTCACGGCGTTGACGTCCGCTTCATAAAGTTGGTCCTCATGGTCTACTGAAGACATTGGGACGGCGAACAGGAATGGTACCTGATCCGCCAGAATTGCGGCTTTGAAGGAGAATCTTCCTCTGGGGCTGCCGGGTCCGTGCTTTGGGTATAATCGAGCAGAAGAGGAAGGAAATTGCGTTGAAATCGGCGTTGTCGAATGGGATGGATAATTGGGGAAAGAGGATCCCAAGACCTGGGAATGGTTGTGTAAAGGACGGACGGGTTCGGCTTGTTGGCTTCATAATGGCGGCCGAGGCTTTCATGGTGGAGCTCTGTTGTTTGGCTGGCCCGGTCCAAGGGAGCATGTTCGAAGTTTGTTGAGAGTACGACTTGTGGGTAAGCCGAATATTCTCCGTAGCAGACTTTGCATTATTGCCTCGACGATATTATACCATTTGCATTAAGATATCATTACGCTTCCGATACTTGCGTGTGAGCTTCATGTTCAATATTGCTATTTGAAATTGGCGTGGGATGCTGAATACACAGCTTCTGGAGGCTCGGAGGATTGCACTTTTGCCTCGGCTCGGTATACTTTCCTCCGCTAAAAGTTTCCTTTTCATCCTGTACCTGTGTCTCTGCCAAGCCTTTGCCTTTTGAAACATCAGAGCTGTGTACCTCGATCGTCAACTCAACTAAGCGTATGATGGAGGATCTGCAAAGGAAACATCGCCAGGAACAAAAGGATCTTCAGTCAAGAACAACGCAAAAGAAAAAGTCGACTACCAAGAAGACTCGCAAAGGGGTCAACGATGAATGTACAGAGCTTGAGAGACAGCTCAAAGAGAAGCACGATGCTGAGGTAGCTGCTTTGAATTCTCGTGACCCACCGCAAACGGAGAACGGTGAAAGTGTCTCTGTCAACGGTGATGATGAGCCCGTCACTCTCGAGAAGCCGAAAGACATCAGCGAGTCAATGAATGCGATGTCCGTCTCCGTAACTCCAGCGACCAACGGCCATGCAAAAAAGCCGAATCGCCAAAAGGCCAGGCTAGCTCGTCGAGCTGCTGAACAGGAAGCTGTAGCTGATGAAGCCGAGAAGGAAGCTGCCGATCTACCAAACCTCCGGGAAAAGGAGAGGAAAGCCATGCGAGAGGCTTACATTTCGAGAAGTCTGAAAGAGCATGAGATCCGTTCAGATGGTCATTGTCTGTATGCCGCTGTGGCAGATCAGCTGCAGCATTCAGAAGTTGGCCTGAAACCAAGAATTCAAATTAACTTTACGAATGACGAGTCTGCAATTGCTGGCTACAAGATAACAAGGCGAGTGGCCGCTGCATATATCTCACAAAACCCCGAAGACTTCTCGCCTTTCCTTGAGGAACCTCTTGATCAGTACGTGACGACAATCAGAGACACCGGAGAATGGGGTGGGCATCTCGAGATTGTTGCACTGGCAAAGGCTTATGAAGTCGACATCAATGTGCTGCAAGGCGACGGAAAAGTCGAAAAGATCGAATGTGGAATCGACAATGGACCGAGGACGCTGTGGCTTGCGTACTACCACCACAGCTTTGGACTCGGGGAGCATTACAATTCTTTGCGCAAAGCACACTGATACGCGGCTTTTGAATGAACACACCATATCGGAAGAAATATCGGTGTATTTTGTGGACTTGGACTATATGTAGCTGGAAGTACGAGCTAATACCGCCATATGCTCACCCAATCCTGCCCTTTACCGATCTCGTGTGTGCGCCTTGGCCGCCAATGAGCCACTCTAGTCAGCGCAACAGGACTTTTAGGCCCAGATACTCCTTCTTTGACGTGCCCCTTATCATCATACGGAAGCTCCTTTCCTGGGTGGGCGAGATGCTCGGTGTACACTTGAGGTGGCAAAGCGAATGGAGGACCACCAATGAGAGGGTCCTTCGCGCTAGGGAACTCAATGCAGATCAAGTTACCTTTGAAGGCAAGTAGCTGTGCCATGCGGAGTGCCCAATCAGGACGGAAACTTGGTGGGAGAGCCGAGAGAAACTGTCAAATTTTCGTCAGTCGCTGGGCCTCACGATTGTCGCCTCAAACAGATTGTTCAACTGCCGAGGCCCTCAAGAAGAACTTTTTTACCGTATAGTCATAAATCAGATCGACTTTGCCGTCGCCTTCGATATTGATCATCCAATCGGTGCCGAAGAAGTCGCCATGCATGAATTTGACCGCTCCGGCTCCAGAACTGTCATCTCTTATAGGATACTTATGTCCGTTGGCTTTCTGCTCCTCATAGCATCTGTTGACGGCCGTTTCACTGACTTCAAGTCCAAAGGCATCATATCCGAAACCAGCCAGCAGCAAGACATCATATCCCTTTCCACATCCTGGCACCAGAGCTCTCTTCCTTCGCTTGTTCCCAAAACCATCCTCCACGAAGCATGTGCCTAGCAGATCTCGTTGATCGGTGAGGGTATCGACGAGAGCTGGATTAGGCACGCCGCGATCCCACGGCAAGAAATCACCTTTGTCCCACAGATCCGACCATTTGTTTTGATGCTTTGAGATATCACCAGCGAAGTGGGCCATCAAGCGTGCTCGATCTTCTTGCAATGCCATGACTGCTGGATTCCGTTATCATTCGGTCCACAGGACAGTGCAAATTGATGTGAATATATGCCACGGACGAGTGAGGATGCAAGGAAGGGTTCTCAGAAGAGGATGAAATGTAGCAGCGGTCCATCTACCCAACCCACCTCCAGATCCATCCAAGTGTTTCCGTGTGGTTTCTGATTTTGGATTTTGGAAAAGGGAAGTCACGAGACGGAGCCACCAGGGCTTAAGCACTACCTTATTCCCGAAATGAGACGGACAGTCTTAGCAACATACCCTTAGGTAGGTTGACCAGATGACGTCCTTCCCGTTAGCTCCTTGGCACACTAAGGTACCTTAGGTTACCCGCAGAAGGATCCTCGGATGCAAGAAGCCTCGCGAAACGACATCTCTCGTGGCCCATCCTTCAACTTTCTGGCCAGTGCAGCTAGCCTATTACCAAAAGGTCGAGCGACGGTACGATGCGCTTGGATGAGGGAGCGAGTATTCTACGTGTTCAACGCAGTGTTGCAGTAATTGTAAGGAAACCTGAGGTAAGGTACCTAAGGTAAGACGAGCCGGTGCACTACTTGTAGTCCACAAATGGGATGGATAGAAAGCTTAGCGATCTTAGCAGAAGACACAAGACCCGGACCCTTTGCGGATGACGTTCTTCCGTTAGCTCTTTCTGCGGCGATTGACAACGGCTCTCCGGCACCATAATGCTTTGACTTTCCTCACGCTAATTCAGCATCATTCAGCATTTATTGGACAATATGAAAGATTAGAAACATGTCAAAATGTGTTACCCCCCCCCACACTTTATAATTGCCGGTGTCGGCCCTCTTCGAACAGCTCTCAACCTTTCTTACAATCAATCTTGTGCTGTCCGTCATGTATCTTATATCATCCCTTTAATCCTACTTCCCCACATTCATTGCCTCATGACGAGACCTTGAGAAAAGCCCATACGGCTGGTAAGGATTATATGTTGCCTACATACCTTTTCAATTCTTGTACACAATCTTCCCAGGGATGACTTTCGGCCACTCTTTCTTTGTTGTAGACCACGAGCAAGATATACGACCTCAAACATGGACAACGACACTGGCAAGATCGCTGCCCAAGAGATAGACCGCGAGTCTCCCAAGGAACATGTTGGGCCTGACTTGGAGGAGAAGATCGAGAATGGATCTAGTCCGGACGGGTCATTGCATAAAACCGAGCATGGAGCAGAGGTCTCGGGTACCAAAGAGAAAGACGTGGAGATGGTAGAGACCGAGATCCAAGACCCAGAGCCGGTAAAAGTACCTAGATCGCAGCGGCGAGGCCTCTTCGGACGCTTTTCAATTCTGGCAGAAGTCGAGGAACCGAAGCACTACCCTCGAAGAACCAAATGGTACATAACCTTTGTTGTTGCACTGGCGGCCGTGGCAGCTCCAATGGGGAGCGCTATTATATTCCGTAGGATTCCCGACGAAAGCATAGCAATTCTGGCTAACGATCCCTAGCTTCACTTCTTCAAATTTCAGACGACCTACACACCTCTCCCACAATCACGAATCTCTCAGCCGCCTTGTATATGCTTTCCATGTCGATATTCCCACTTTGGTGGTCTTCATTCTCAGAGACCCTAGGGCGACGGACCATATACCTCACATCATTCACGCTGTTTTTACTATTCAACATCCTTTCGGCGGTGTCAAAGGACATTGCCATGCTGATCATCATGCGTGTACTGGGCGGCGGAGCAGCGGCCAGCGTGCAGGCAGTAGGGGCTGGTACGATAGCTGATGTTTGGGAAGTCAGAGAACGGGGAAGAGCAATGGGCATATTCTATCTTGGGCCATTGTGCGGACCTCTATTCGCGCCAATCATTGGTGGCGCTTTGGCTGAGAAGTTCGGTTGGAGGAGCACTCAATGGTTTCTTGCGATCTACGGAGGAGCGGTGCTGGTCTTCCTCTTCTTCGCCTTACCAGAAGTGAGTCTTCTGTACTCACTCTATCCTACATCTTCCTAATGGTACCTCTTCAGACGCTTAAAGCCACCAAATCGCCCTCTTCAGAGACCGAAAAAGACCTCGCCTCCGACGGCCCTAACCTAGCCCGCACCACATCCCGCCAAAGCGTCCAGCGCAAAACAGCAAAGCATATCAAGACGGCCAAACGCATCTTCCTCGACCCCCTGAAGATCATTCTCTACCTCCGCTTCCCTGCCGTCCTCATCACCGTCTACTACGCTAGCATCACCTTTGGGTCGCTGTATCTCCTCAACGTCTCGCTCCAAACCACCTTCTCCAAGCCGCCCTACAACTTCTCCACCACCCTCGTCGGCCTGACCTACATCCCCAACTCCATTGGCTACGTCCTCGCTTCCCTCTTTGGCGGGAAATGGACGGACAAGATCATGGCACGAGAAGCCAAGCGTGCTGGCCGCTACGATGAAAAGGGCAAATTGATGTACAGACCCGAAGATCGAATGCGCGAGAACGCCTGGATCGCTGCGTTCCTCTATCCGTCAGCACTCGTTTGGTACGGCTGGACCGCCGAAAAGGGGATCTTCTGGCTGGTCCCCCTGGTCGCGAATTTCTTCTTCGGCATCGGCTCCATGCTCATATTTGCCATGGCGACGACGATGCTCACCGAGTTCATGCCCAAAAAGGCGTCCAACGGCGTCGCGGTGAACAACTTTGTGCGGAACATCTTCTCATGCGTGGGAGCCATCGTCGCGCAGCCGTTGATCAGTGCCATCGGCAACGGGTGGCTGTTCACGGGGGTCGGTGTCATTGCTACGGCGAGTAGCGCCGTCATTTGGGCCATGAGGAGATTCGGGCCGAGATGGAGGCAGGTGATGGACAGGGAGCTGAATCAGGCCGGTTGAAGTGGACTAATACACGAGATTGCAGCAAAAGAATAAGGTTGGCAAGATGCATACATAGGACGAGGTCGATCAAGTGATGAATGATGATTGCATTAGCGAGGCGTTGCGGAGCTTGAGCGATATCTCAGGGGGGGGCATTTTTGCTGATCATGTGGTGCATCTTGAAGGGCAAGACGCGGTGCTTCCACCGGCGTATGCTCTAATGCTGTATACCTCCGAGGCCTGAATCTCCCTCGTTTGAACATACCCGAACATCTTATAGACACGGCTTTCACGTGATTGGGAACCTGGCTTTCACGCATGTAGCTTCAATAGTACGGATTTCTCATGCACTGGAACGTTCGCGGCACGTCGTGAGCCAGGGTCATTCGATGAGAATTTTGATTGAAAACTTTCTGTCTGAATCTACGTAGCTAGCCAAGGTCCGTGAGACCATCGTGAACCAAGATTTCAGGTCCCCTGTATTCGCGCCTCATCGCTGGCGAGGAAGAGGGCAGCGTGAGCGACATCCTCAATGCAACGCCCTTATCAACCTGTCAGCCTTCGACTTCATCGCTTCAATAAGACTGTGCGGATCGACGGATCGACTCACATCTCGACCCCGGGAGCATGTGCATCTCTCCTCCGATAGAACTCCTCATCGTCGCCCCCAGCATACCCGCCAGCCAGCATCTGCAAAAGCGGGTTATTGATCAAGCTCGGATACCACGGTGTTCAAGCGGGCCCTCTTCTTCGCGATTTACGGCAGTGGTATTCCTGGTGAATGGTACGAAAGATTGATACCGAGGCCATTCAGATGTTCAGCTTCAACCCACCGAGTTGACGAGCATCCCGAGCATTCCTTCTGTTTGCCAAGCTTGCTGTGACCTCTCCACTTCCGCGCGAACCACTTTATGTAGTCGTGCCATGAGTCGATCTATCTCAGGAGACTCCCCCATGTGTGATGAGTAGAGGTCGAGGATGAGCATGCCTACATCGACGCACAGGTTGACATATCGAGGGTTTGTGATGTGCTTGCATACCCATTTGAAGATGGGCTGGAGGGATACATCGTCTCGACCGGATAATGCGGTCCTTGTTGCAGAACGGTGACGGAGGGCGGTCAGGAGGGTTGTTGTTGCAGTGAGGTTTTGGCCTTGTAGCACTTCGTCTAGAGCTGCTGCGTATTTCCCTTTTCGTAGTTGAGCTTCCCACGGTTTGGGTTTGTAATTGCCCTTGGTTCGTCCCTCGATGATGATGTCTGCGCCTTCGCCAGTGAAGTCCTGACCTCTGAAGCGTTTCTCCAATCCCTTCGGCCTCTTCTTTGCTCTCTTCCTATCAAGTTCTTCAATATTGCCTTCGATCAATGCTTGCATCTCCTTTTGCCGTTCCCTTTCCTTGACCTTCTGCTGTCCAGACAGCCGTGTCTTGATTGAGAGATTTCCATTTTGCATACCCACTGCCAAATGACGATCTTCCCGCGCATTACCAGCGCTAATGACACATAATGAGAGTATAGGCGATGAGTATTTCGACCCGGCCACCACATTCCAAGCAGTAGTCTCGAACACCTTCAAGTGACCGTCCAATCCTCCACTCACAAGCCTTGTGTTGTTCGAGGCTAAGCATAAGGATGTGACGGTCTTCTGGTGGTTCTTCAATATTTGTAGAGGCCGTGCTGCAACCAAATCGAGCACTGATATCTGGTTGTCTGCAGCCGCAAGTATGGTGGTTCCAGATGGCATGGGCAACACGTCCTCAACAGGAGCTCCATGTTTGAACGTCATGATTGCGTTTGACGGAGCTCTAGGATCCCACAGCTTAACTGTCTGATCATAACTTCCAGAAACCAGAAGCCCAGACCCTTGTCCTGGCATGAACGCCCCACTTCTGATATAATCCTGGTGACCAACGAATGTCGTTGTGCTATCCTGACTCGGGAGATCCCACAATCGGATAGTGCGGTCGTCGCTCGCGCTCATCAAAGTTGTTGGCTCTGTAGGCGAAAACTTGGTGGTCCACACCGGCTGCTTGTGCTCTTTCCAAGTTTTGAGAATAGCCCTTGAATTGACATCGAAGACCTGTATTGTGCCGCCCTCATCTCCAGCAACCATGACACGGCCATCACGTCTGACCTCGGCGCCATGGGCAATGTCGTCGAAGCGAGATATAGTCTTCACAAGTTTGCGGCTCCGGACAGAGAAGATCTGTACACGAGTTCCGGTTGTGACTGCGAAGTGGTCTGACGCTTGAGCGAGGGCATTTGATGGAGGTAGGGGGCTGGAGATGTGAGTGATTGGGTTGTTTGAGGGCGAGGGCACGAGCTGCTGTGATTTGAAAGTGCGCCAGTATGTTTGCTCTGGGGTCAAAGGCGACGGTCCGGGAGGCAGCTTGACAGGCTGGAGGGGAAGTACTGGCGCTGACATATTTACTTTTGCCCCGTGTCAGGGGGTTCATAGAAGTAAAAATTCCATGAAGGCGAAACAGCAGAACCAATTCTTCCGAGTAGAAAGCCCAGTACTCACTGTCGAAATAAATTCTTTGGCGTACTCGGGCATACGAGTACGGTGGCCGAGTACGACAAGTCTACTCGTACTATGCGTGGTAGTACACTCGTACCATATGGCAGTTATCAACTTCTATCGATACGGAAACTCTTTCTATTTAAGGCCCATCCTCTCATCGGCCGCTTCAACATCACCAGTGCAGATTGCCAAGTGTATGGAAACAGCAGCGTCTACAGTGAGGAGCAGTACAGTTGACTGAAGACACATTCAGAGGTGCGCAGTCTCGTCTCCAATGACCTCAACCAAGCCAGAATTGCCAACTTTGCAGACGTTGAGCAAACAGACTCTTTTAAGCAACCGTCGGCTGGTAAGGCGGCCACATGTTTAACGGGAGAGGCCTTCTTGCGTAATAAAGCCCTGGGCCCGCTCAAATCATGCTTATAACAGTTTCCGTCGGTGTTGCTGAGATTGGCAAGCAACTAAGCAAGCTGTCCGGGAAGAGTTGCAGCCCCGTACGCTGTCCTCCTGTTTCTGAGTCGAATTCGGATATCTTCCTTATTAAATCGGTCGTTCAAGAACGCAACCGCCCCAGGCTGAAAAGCAAACAGCGGTATTCTTAACGGTGTTGATATCGTCGATGTCTGGGAATCTGAGCACTTCAACAGTCAACTGCCTATTTTCGACATGTTGCCTGCTGGCCCTGTCCTGCAGACGGAACACATGGAGTCTATCGTCAATTATTCAGGCTTGCGGCTATTATTGTGGAAGAGAAGTAAAGCATTCTAGCAAAGCCAAGGCAGATTTGAGCAAATGCAATGAAAGTTCGAAGGCGCTTGGTCAATAGACTATCTGACAAAGAAATCCCATTAGACCTGGTGCTCGTTTTGTCCATTAACTAGATTCTGAGACCCGACGACGCTTTCTCACAATCTGAAGTTGGATGATAAGGGTACTAATCGTCTTACACTCGGCAAAGAATTTCCCCATGAGTCAAAGTGTACCAACCATCGTCGTCGGTCTCCCATTCCCGCCAACCCTGGACAAAGCAATTGATGTCCTCTTGAGTGGCAAAGCCACCGTCAATCACATTCTTGGCAAGCGACGAGTTTAGTAGGCGATCGGCCCACATTTTACTCCAGTAGCCTCTTTCCTCTGGGCTGGAAAAACACCAGACACTTGCACTAGCAGTAATGCAAGAACGGTCAATGCCTGATTCGCGAGCCCATGCAATCATATGGCGTCCCGCGTTCGGTTCACCACCACGGGATCTGACCGTTTTGATATATACGTCCTTGAAGTCGGCGATCCCCTTGATCTCAGGGTAGTGGGTAGCAGAATCAAAATCTGATTCGCGGCAAGCCACGAGGCCACCTGGCTTTGTAATTCGACGCCATTCGCGCAGTGCATTGGCAGGGCCAGCGATGTGGTTTAGAACTTGATGACAATGGACAACATCAAAAGTGTGATCTGGAAAGTCCAAAGCATGTGCATCTCCAACTTGAAACCTGACATTCTTGATACCGCGCTCAGCAGCCATTGAGCGAGCCTTGCCGACTACGTCTTGTCCCATATCGATGCCGACAACTTGACCATTAGGTACCAATGCAGCAAGGTCAGTCGTGATGGATCCTGGACCACAACCTATGTCACAGATTTGCATATTTGGGAGAATGGAATTCAGGAGGTATGCAGCTGAATTGGCAGCCGTACGTAAATTGTGAGACTTCAAGACCGACTCCGAGTGGTCGGAAACGTATACATTCGACGCCTGTGCCATGTCGAGTATGCACGGTTCTAGCATGCTCTGGTCAACATTCACAGAATGACAGCTTGCCTGTACGCCGCGACGCCGCCAAGAGATCTAGCTTAAGCTTAGTCAGCGGACAGAGTCTCGCCAAGTGCTAAGCTACAGATCTCAAGTCTAAAAAACAGAGAGTAGCGTTCCGAATGCTCAAGGCGCCAGGCTCGTCCCTTCTTATTCCTTTGTGTACTCACACATTCGCTGTCCCTATACACTGCCTCTAGCGATCTGCCCAGAAAGCCGACCCAAAGTGTGGACAGGCTTGGAAATCTCGAAAGAAAAAAAGCCCCTCGAACAGCCTGAGGTACCTCTCAACCCACAACCTGCAGCTTCGGAGACAGACGAGATCACTTGGCACTGGGCGAGCCCGATCATGGCAACCCCACAGCCGGGCTACCCTCCCAATGGTCAACCAGGCCACGAGCAATACCAGCAAGAGCAATATGACTCCAACCAGCAAGAGGCCCCAGAGAATGTGCCTCACGCACAAGGCGGCCTACCAGCATCCACTGCTGGAGGTCGAAGAAAACGCAACTATGCTGGGCAAGCGTATGACTTTGGGGGAGGTGCAAACTCGGCGCTAGGCGGGCAGCAACAAGGTGGGGGAGCGTATCCCGGACCACCTAGCATGCAACCACAACCGCAGCCAGGATATCCAGGACCAGTCTATGGATCGAATCCGGCCTCGCCTGGCATGGGAGGAGCCCCTGGCTACGGACAGCCGTCTCCTGCTGTTGGTGGCTACCAGCCTCCCGACCCAGCTTACCCTACACATGGAGTACCCCCTGCGCAACCTGGTATGGCAGGGGTCACTCAGGGTATGAGCAATCTTGCTATGGGCGGCCAAGGGCAAAATGTACCTGTGCCGATGCAGGGACAGGTGCAAGGACGTCCTGCGATGAATCAGCTCATACCAACTGATCTCCTGAACCAACATTTGGATGTCTCTGAACTTAGCCGCCCTCCACCACAGATAAATCTGCCACCCAATGTGAGTACACGATAATCTCAAATTAAGCCATTCACCGCTGACATTAGTAGTCCAGCGTCACTCCTTCTCCAGATGCTAATTGCTCCCCGAAATACGTTCGCTCTACACTCAACGCTGTCCCAACAACGCACTCATTGCTCAAGAAGTCTAAACTACCCTTCGCACTGGTCATACAACCTTATAGCTCATTGCACGATCATGAAGACCCAGTTCCGGTTGTCCCTGACCAGGTTATCGCTCGATGTAGACGTTGCCGATCATACATCAACCCGTTCGCGACCTTTCTAGACCAAGGCCATCGATGGCGGTGTAATATGTGCAATCTCACAAATGAGGTTCCACAAGCCTTTGATTGGGATGCAGCCGCGCAAAAGCAGTTAGACAGATGGTCAAGGCCCGAACTCAACCACTCTGTTGTGGAATTTGTAGCACCTCAAGAATACATGGTCCGCCCACCTCAGCCATTAGTCTACCTGTTCCTTTTCGATGTCAGCTATAATTCCGTAACCAACGGTCTGCTAGCCACAGGAGCTCGCTGCATTCTTGAGAGCTTGGACCGCATCCCCAATGCTGATCGACGAACGAGGCTTGGATTCATGGCCGTAGACTCGAGCCTGCACTACTTCTCCATCCCTCGCGATGACAGCGAGAATGGTGAGCCAAGCATGATGGTCGTCAGCGATCTTGATGAGCCCTTCTTGCCAACACCTGTCGATCTACTGGTCACACTAACTGAGTGTCGAGAGAACATCGAAAACTTCTTGGGAAAGCTCCAAGAGATGTTCCAAAATACTCAGAACACTGGCTCCTGCATGGGATCCGCACTGCGAGCTGGTCATAAGCTCATATCTCCCGTGGGCGGAAAGCTTACCGTTCTAACTGCAAGCCTTCCGAACCTTGGGCAAGGGAAACTTGAGATGAGAGAAGACAAGAAAATTCTTGGAACCAGCAAGGAGAGTAGTCTTTTACAGACTGCAAACAGTTTCTACAAGAGCTTTGCGGTTGAATGCTCGAAGAATCAAGTATCTATCGATATGTTCCTTTTCTCATCTCAGTACCAAGACGTTGCGTCTTTGAGCAACCTACCAAGATACACGGGAGGTCAAACATACTTTTACCCAGGATGGAATGCGGCAAGAAGCGAAGATGCAATCAAATTTGCGCGGGAGTTCTCTGACTACTTGTCAGCCGAGATTGGCCTCGAAGCTGTGCTCCGTGTTAGAGCTACTACTGGCTTGCGGATGAGTACCTTCTACGGCAATTTCTTTAATCGCAGTTCGGATCTCTGTGCATTCCCTGCATTCCCTCGAGACCAGGGCTACGTAGTTGAAGTTGCTATCGACGAGTCATTGACAAAGGGCGTTGTCTGCTTACAAAGTGCTGTACTGCACACGACATGCAATGGTGAAAGAAGAATCAGAGTTATGACCCTTGCCCTGCCCACCACTCAGTCACTTGCGGATGTTTACGCCTCTGCAGACCAAGCAGCGATTGCTACAGTCTTCAGTCACAAAGCCGTTGAGCGTGCTCTGGGCAGCGGACTAGAACCTGCACGAGATGCGCTACGAGCTAAGCTTATTGAGCTTCTACAGACATACCGGAAAGAATTAGCTGGTGGCAATATGGGAGGTGGTGGCCTGCAATTCCCCACGAATTTGAGATGCTTGCCCGTTCTTTTCCTGGGATTAATCAAAAATGTGCGTTCAAGCCCACATGACCCTGAGAGAGGGAGTCAAATGCTCATTGTGTACAGATTGGCCTTCGACAATCTGCGCAAATACCAAGCGATATGCGCTCCGCTGCCTTGTGTCAGCTTTCGACCTTGCCGTTACCACTCCTTATTCAGTTTATATACCCTAGAATGTATTCATTGCACGACATGCCCGACAGTGCTGGCCTGCCCGACGAAGAAAATGGTGACATCGTTCTACCGCCCGCGATCAACCTCTCTTCCCAGAGTCTCGTTCCATATGGGCTTTACCTAATTGATGATGGTCAAACGCAATTTCTTTGGGTGGGCCGCGAAGCTGTCCCTCAGCTGGTGGCAGATGTCTTCGAAGTGCTAGATCGGACACAACTGAAAGTAGGCAAGACGACATTGCCGGTGCTCGACAACGACTTCAATGAGCGGGTCAGAGCCATCGTCGAGAAGAGTCGGGACCACAGGAGCAAGGGGGTTGGGAGCATCGTCGTACCGAGTCTGTATGTGGTACGAGAAGATGGCGAGCCGGGAATGAGACTGTGGGCCCAATCCATGCTCGTGGAGGACAGGGCGGACCAAGGCGTCAGTCTGGCCCAATGGTTGGGCACTATGAGGGAAAAGGTTAGTACCCACGATCTCAAACTTCCCGCGACACTCACTGACGATAGATCTCTCAATGATAGATGAATGAACCAGAAGGATTTTTGAGTTCATTCCAATGAAAGCTGGCCTGACATGATTTAAGCAGCGCTTGTTGCTCCCTCAATCTTGGGCATTAGTGCCAATCCTATGGTTTCTCAGCCATATGGGACTGCCGGCTCGTCTAAGACGTCAACTTGATGCACATTGTCTACATATCGAACATGCATGCTAAATCTAATAAAGGCGAGTTCGACCTCGTGGCAATACAAGGTTCGCCTTGTTTCGCAAGCTCGGTACCAGAAAACAAGCAACGGTCCAGCGTGCGAGATCTGTCCCTTGGCAGGTTTCAGGATCAACCAAATTATCTATTATTATGTAAGCCGTAGGATGATCTCTCTCTTGAACAGCTTAGCCAATAGCATGTCCCCCAATTTTAGAAAGATTCTAGAAATAGAATAAAGTAACGCAAGGTAAGTTTAAGCCAGTGGTGCCTGGTGGTGCCAATACTGTCCGGCAATGCGGCGCTCGGCGCTTAACCCCGTGCAGCTGTTTTTGGACATTCCCCACCACTAGCGCCATGCGTAGACGCTGCCCTTTTGTGTACCTGACTCAGTCAGCAGCACCACCACTGCAACAACTCTGAAACAACGAGGCACTGTTATAGAGTCAGAGTCTTACTGCAGTAGCTCTGCGCGTCTGTGGCTGCTCCAAGCACCTCAACGGTTTCAGGTCCGGAGACACAGGCCGAATCTGATTGGAGGGGTTCACGCTGAAGGCAGCACAAAGAAAGGTACCAGAATCCTTCCTTTCAGCCTCACTTCTCGTCACGACGCATCAGTGCATACCACGATAGCGAAGGAAACAAACTCTAAAAGTACCGACAGACGCAGTGCATATAGCCTCGGATCCTTTGCCGTTCCCCAAACTTCAGCCCCAGAGGCTCAGCCTTCCCAGCTACCGCAGACAACCACGACTTCCGATACCCTTTTAGCAAGCCGAAGCATTGATCTACCGTCAAAGACAGCGACTCACATTTCATTGTCAAGAATTGAAACACCGCCCACCTTCCATGCAGCTTCGTCAGAGAGCCTAATATAGAAAGACCCCGCACCGAAGACGACCGAGCACCTGCCCAAAAGCACAAGCGAGCAACTCCAGTCTACCAGAACACTCAGAGCTTACAGTGGCCGTGTTTAGAAGAAGATCATCGGTTATAAGCTTCATATTCGCTACGCTAGGTGAGCTGCACAGCAAATGATCCCGCGTGACTCGCTTTCTTCGACCGCGACTGCTGCCGATCTAGTTCATTGCTCCTGCCCGCTTGTTGGAGAAATGGCGCCGACATCTGTTGCAAGATATGTTTGGTCTCCCGTACTCTACATAACATTTGCGCATCCTGAAACTTTGGCCCTGAATCTCTTAATGCTTCAAAGCAACGCTTCATAGCTGTTTATGACTCTACATCTTACAGGTTGCTAAGAAAACACAGAACCTTCTCACTTTACCAAGATCTTTTGAAAGGTGATTTGACTGACTCTTCTACTCGTACAGCGGCCATTCGTACCTCTCAACGGCGCCTTCTAGAATTACATCTTCACCCAACACTCATCCTCGTCGCAATCATCTTTTGTGAAGCCTGACTTCGCAACGCACAATGTCACGTCAGCAACCAGCGCCACCAGGCGGGTCTAGAAAGATCTCCTTCAATGTCTCTGATCAATATGACATTCAAGATGTCGTGGGAGAGGGTGCCTACGGCGTTGTGTGGTAAGCCACCGTACGGCGAGAACGCTCTGGGACAGCATGTACTGAGACTCAGAAGTTCTGCGCTCCACAAACCTTCAGGCCAGAAGGTAGCAATCAAGAAGATCACTCCTTTCGACCACTCCATGTTTTGCCTCCGTACATTACGAGAGATGAAGCTGCTACGCTATTTCAACCACGAAAACATCATCTCTATCCTTGATATTCAGAAGCCAAGGAACTACGATACATTTTCAGAAGTCTACCTAATTCAGGTAAGCATGACTGCCCACGAAGGGTCAGCACTGTGCTAATGTCCTCCAAGGAACTTATGGAGACAGATATGCACCGTGTCATTCGCACTCAAGACTTGTCCGATGATCATTGCCAGTACTTTATCTATCAGACGCTACGTGCTTTGAAGGCCATGCATTCAGCGAACGTCCTCCACCGCGATCTCAAGCCTTCCAATCTTTTGCTCAATGCCAACTGCGATTTGAAGGTCTGTGACTTTGGACTTGCCAGATCTGCAGCATCTACCGAAGACAACTCAGGATTCATGACTGAATACGTCGCAACGAGATGGTACCGCGCGCCCGAGATCATGCTTACGTTCAAAGAATACACGAAAGCCATTGATGTATGGAGTGTGGGATGCATTTTGGCGGAGATGTTGAATGGCAAGCCTCTGTTCCCCGGAAAGGATTGTAAGTATCTACCGCGTGCCTTTCCTTCAGCACTACTGATAAGTGCCAGACCACCACCAGTTGACACTCATTCTCGACGTTCTCGGCACCCCAACCATGGAGGACTACTATGGGATCAAGTCTCGGCGTGCGCGGGAATACATCCGCTCTCTGCCATTCAAGAAGAAGATCCCAATGAAAGCGATGTTCCCCAAGACCTCCGATCTTGCCTTGGATCTGTTAGAGAAGCTTCTCGCATTCAATCCTGTGAAGAGAATCACCGTCGAAGAGGCGTTGCGGCACCCTTACTTGGAGCCATATCACGATCCAGAAGATGAGCCAACCGCAGAAGCCATCCCCGAGGAGTTCTTCGACTTCGACAAGAACAAAGATACGCTAACCAAGGAGGAATTGAAACGTAGGCTGTCTATCATCCGTGCACTGCCTCGTTGCTGACTGTAATGCAGAGTTGATCTTTGCAGAAATCATGAGATAGGATCCTTTAATGATGATGCGATTTGGACGACGTGATTTGGACAGTTGAAGACAAAATCATGTCTAGGTGTCATATCTCGGCTGGTGACGATAGATGTTGCTCTCCCGATCTCATTCGGTGCTAAAGAATCGGCCTAGGCGATGTGTCTTTTAGCATCCGCGTGCATATGTGGACTTTCCTTACCCTTTTGAATCTCGGCTTGAGTGGCTGTGTGTGCTTGTATACGTGGGGTTTGTATACGTGGGTATGTCAAAAGAAGGATAGCGAATTAACTTCAGCATTCGATTATTCATTTTTCATCGATTGGATCTAGATGCAGCGGAGAGATGCTCATGGCGCCCTCTCCTTCATGAAGCTTTCAATCCCCTCCTTCACACCTTGCGGACTCGGCTTTTGAGCAATCACATCAGGTTCAAACCCAAACTCCTGGACCAGATAGTTCCTCGTCGTCGGTCCGATACAGGCCACGAACGTCCTCCTGCCCGGGTCCCCTATACAGGCCTTGACCCTCTCACTCGCCTTGTCAAGCCATCCGAGACCTCTCAACATGCCTTCCCCGGCCGTGGGCGAGAACACCACGACCCACCTGACCGTCTCGGGTTCCGTTCGGGTTAGCGTTTGCGTGAAATGGAACTCGAATTCTTCCAGTTCGCCGGTTTTATAAACCTCCATCTCGTCAACCTGTATCCTTTCCCCTTCTGGCAGTTTCGGATCCATAAGCATGCGCGGTATGATATCCCTCCTCTTCTCCCCCACCAGGAACAGTGCCGGTTTCATGCTTTGCCCTTCCCTCTCTCGCAAACTATACGCCCCTTTCCCCTCCCCTTCCCCCAACATAATTCTAGCAAGCACCTCCCCGCTCCCCGCCTCCTCACCCCCATGAATCCCACACCCAGCACACCTCTCATCCCGCACCGCCCTCAACGCCCTCCCCGTCGCCGGCCCCACCACATACAATCGTACTCCACCGCCACCCAGCCCGTCCGCCACCTCCTCCCTAATCTTCACCACCTGCGGCGCATTCAGCGCGGAAGCGAACGCAGCGACGGAGCGCTGGGATGTGAATATCAAAGCACCGTAGGGGAACGGGTTGGGATCTGGTAGGTGGTCGGGGGAGGGGTTGGGAGTGAAGTGCGTGAGGAGGAGTTTGATGAGGGGGTCGGGGAGGAGGGTGTGGGATAGGACGGGGACGAAGGTTGGGTGGAAGGGCGGGGTTAGGTGGAGGGTGTAGGCGTCGGAGGCGGGGGGTGGGGGAGGGGGATTTGAGGAGGAGGATCGGTATTGGTGGATTGGGAGAGTTGGCAGTCGTGGACATTGTTGTGTCTGGCGCGCAAATAGTTGGGAATTATCTAGCTATATGGAAAGGGCCAGGCCGATTGAAGCTTCGAGGTCATGGCATTCTCTTTTTCTTTGCGGAGACAAGGCGCCGAGATTTAGCCGTTGAATACTCGTTACTGTTTCCTACGCGCTCTCTCTCTCTCTCTCTCTCTCTCTCTCTCTCCTTTGTGCGCCTATCCTCGCCATGGACAAATTCTTCAACGGTATACAGAAGACGAATCAGAAGCCCACAGCGGACCCCGAAGACCCCACAGCGCCGGAAAAGAAAGCCATCCCCAAGGGCGTAGTGCTGGGTAAAGATGGCAAACCGTGAGTCCAGCCGCTCCCCGCAAACAGCGACCGCATCAACCAGATGATCCCGACCGAGCTAACCACCACCCCAGCTGCCGCTCCTGCACCTCCTTCTCCTCCTGGGCCGCCATGACCAGAAAAGACACCCCCGCCCCCGCCCCGCCCCCGCCACCGACCCCCCCCCCCCCCCCCCCCCGCCCCCCGACTGCCCCCCAGACGTCGACGCCCTCGGCCGCTCCACCTGGACCTTCCTGCACGCGCTCTCGGCCGCCTACCCGCCCGCCGCCACGGCGGCCCAGCAGGCGGAGATGCGGCAGTTCCTGTCCCTCTTCGCGCGCCTGTACCCGTGCTGGCCGTGCGCCGAGGACTTCCGGGCCTGGATGGCGCGGGGGGGGCAACGCGCCGCGGGTGGAGGGGCGGGAGGGGCTGGGGCGCTGGATGTGCGAGGCGCACAACGAGGTCAATCGGAAGTTGGGGAAGGGGGAGTTTGAGTGCGCGAGGTGGGAGGAGAGGTGGAGGACGGGGGGGGGATGGGAGGTGTGGTTGAATGAGGAAGGGGGGGGGGGGTGGGCTTTCTGTTTGGATGCGTACTACTAGAGTGGGTTGCTGGAGGGGTTTGGCTGTTTGGCATTTGCGTGGGATAGAGCATCGAGCGTGGGCGTTTTTATGTACGATTTGTATTAGGTACTGGGCTATCTATCCACTCCTCCACTCTTCTGTACAAAATTTGGTTCAAGCAGGAGCTTTTCTGTACCATACACGCAGCTTAGACCTTCATTTCTTCACCTTCCCATACATGAGGTCCGTTCGCAAAGTTAGCTTGGTGCCGCCTGTAACATCTGCGCCTGAGTGCAGCAGGTCTCGGTGTTGGAAGATGAGCACCCTGCCTACCTTTGGGTCTACATCTAACGAGCGTTGCATGTTATATGAGTGGAACGTCGTCGCTCCGCCTTGGAGCTTGTTGGTGGGGGTTGACTCATTGAGATAGAGATGGAGGGTGTAGAACGAGATCTCCTTGCCGTCCGGAGTCACATAGCAGCCGTCGTTGTGTGCTGAAGGAGTTAGTGCATATATGGTTGACGAGGATAGATAAGACTTACGCTTGAAGTACTGGCCCGCGCCATACTTCAGGAATCTCATGCGCTCATTGAGTCGGGTCATCTTCCACGTCTCGCCCCGCATGGCAGGTCCATTCCCTGTCACTCTAGCCATGCCCTTCAGAGACTCAATCTCCGGAACCAAACCCTTGACCCTCGACCAGATCCTCTCGACCACCTCTGTGTCATCCCAGATTATACGGCCGCAGTCTCGGGTATCTGTCATCAATGCTTGCGCGCCTCCTCCGATGTTGATCATGGCTTGTTCCCAGGTGCCATTACTCTGGGCTTCAGCAGCCCGAACGAGGGTATCGCATTCGTCTTTTGTGAAGACGTTGTCAAGGACTGTAGCATAGCGGCCTTCATATTCTGGTAATTCGGTATACCTGAAGTCCACGTCGCTCTTTTGGACCTGTGGACCTGGGCCTGACAGGAAGTCTTGGGGAATAGTGAAGGTAGTCATGGTACCGTAGATGTATACCAAGCAAAGGACCAGTGCTTTAAGCGAACAAATAGAATGGGAGAAGTGTGGAGAAAGAGTGTTGAATGGATATAAAAGTAAGGCTGTGCAAAAAGATGACTCACGTGATCATCGCTGCCTGGCAGGGCAAGGCTGCCAGATCGATGAACAACAAATGACTCAGACTTTTTGCAATTAAGGAGGGACCCCAATGTTCTTGACACGGTGTGTACCCTCTGTCACCTCAGCTTCGGGCTGAAGAGACCTTTCTCGCACGTATTGGACCCTTGACGTCGCCTAAGTCAATACCCTGAGGCACCAACGATCCTTTCTGGAGTATTTCTACTTCTCCCTTCTCTCGCATATTCCAGAGTATGTCGCGAACGGCGGGCATGAGACTTCGCCAGTCGGAAGCACCGCAGGCTCTGAGCTCTGCGGCCGTCAAGGCTCTTGGGACTTCCGATGGACAAATGGTCTTTGGGTAATCTCGAGAGGACAGCAAGCGATCGAGGTGGGGCCTGAGGACGTCTCTATGGTGGAATTCTGCCTCGGCCATTGATACTAGGTCTTTCTAGTATCATACGCCGTCGCGAGGGTCTTGGGTGATTGGCATCGATGCTGTGGCTATCATGTGCCCTTGATTGATCCTGCTCGTCTCTGAATTTGATGCCTACTAATTGTCACCGGAACGGCATGCAAAGGATTTTGCAATCAGCCAGCGAGAAAGTGAGGAGTAATTATGCTGTGGGAGATTGAAAATGTCCAGGGAGATAAAGAGTGTAGTCCAAAGATCGAGGGCATGCATGTTGGATAGGGCCCATGGGCTCCAAGAAGTTCCAAGTTTACGGTGTTAGGCGCTAAATGCGGGCTTCCGGGTGGCAGCAGCGCTGCAAGGTTTTACGGCTGGGCCCGAAGTCACTCTCTTCCCAGTTCCCCTTTGCTCGCCCTGAATTTAGACAGCCTTGAAAGTTTGAATCAGCCTCACTTTTCACACTTTTATCTACAATCTATTTCTCTCTCGCTTTCATATTTGCGTAATCTCTGTCGTCCGTGCAGCTGTCGAAACGTGAGGCTTACGATCATGTATTCTCCTGCTTTTCCACCATGCAGACTTGTGCCTCTAGTGCATACTCGAATCACGGGCGTTGGGCAGCAAAGCCGGCCACCAACCTGCAGCGAACCCCACGGGGGAAGCGGTTCCATATGCTGAAGAGCCATAGAGGAAGCATACCGACATGCAGAACTTGAGCAGACGCTAATTGGATCTATCGAGAGATTACTAGCTCGCCGCCTGTGTGCCGGCCGTTTACCTACTGTTATGTTGAGGAATTACTTGTCGACGTGGCTCCAATTGGTCGCCCAACTTGCATCACCTGGACATGATGCAAGACTTTGCGTGATCACTTTCTCTCTTTTTCAAATCTTGGTGCATGGCATTCTTTTCTGTCTCGTTCATTCTTTATACAAGACTCTGAAGGATTCAAGACGTTTATGCCCTCCGCTTCTTTTGGTAGTCCGGCTCGTCGTCTTGCTTTGCACGTCAACTTGACATAGATTCAATTTGCTCAGTCATGATCCTTCTCCCGTCTTACCCTAGATCCGGTGCTTATTCGTTCATGGCCCACCCTTCCGTAAAGCACCCAATTGGATGGTAGGACCATCTTTTACAAGACAGAGAAGAATATATGAGCAATCGAACACATCCTCCTCCTCCTGATTTCAACTACGCCGGCGTAGAAAAGGCAGTCCAACATGCCTCTTTACGCCAATCCTCCTCCATATGTCTGGCATAAAATTGAGACTCTTCACTTGAGCTACTCAGCGATGCCGACATTCGTTCCACCTACACCACCAGTACTTGTACCACCGTCAAATCCGTTCGGTTCTCCACCGGAACCAGAGCCGGAGCCAAAAGCTCCCGCTGATGAAAAGCAAGGCGTTCCGGCCGACGCCGAAGCGCATGCCTCAGAAGAGGCTCCTCCAGCTGAGCCTGGTATGTACCTTGACAGCTTGTAGATGCACCATGGCTGATGCTCATGTGGTAGAGGCGGATGCAGGCGAAGCCGCACCTCATCAATCCGACGCTCCAGCCGAGGGAGCTCCTGAAGGTGACGAGGGAGCAGTCGATAGCACTGAGCCCAAAGCAGACGAAGTAGCGGCCGACCCTGCTCCGACCGAAGAGACAGCAACACCTCCTGAGAACCCAGAAGGTTCTGCCGCCGCTGCTGAAGAAGCTGCTCCAGAAGAATCCAAGGAGGCTCCAGCAGCCGAGCCGGAAGCTTCAGCTCCAGCTCCAGTTCCAGCTCCAGAAGAGTCTCCTCCCGAAGCTGCTGGAGATACCTCGGCATCTGATCCACCACCAGAGGTGCCAGCTGAGGAAACAATTTCTGAAGAGCCGCCACCTCCTGCGCCGGAAGTACCTGTAGAAGATAAGCCAGAAGATAAGCCAAAAGAAAAAAAACCAAAGAAAGCCAAGTCGTCGAAGAACACTTCGGTAAGAGAGAAAGATGGTTCAAAGAAACCCAAGTCTTCGAATTATACTGTGGGCGGTGACAAAGATGAGGACAAGAAGTTCAAGCCTTCTAAAAACGGTCTCGTCCGCAAGAGGGCGCAAGAACAAGAAGTCAAAATCTGCGCCAGTCGAGGCACCATTTGCAGATACAACCTCAGCAGACGCACCTGCAGAAGCTATTTCAGAAGAATCCCCACCGGTAGACCCTGCGCCGTCAGACCCTGCACCAGTCGAATCTGTACCAGCTGAGCCAGCTTCCGAAGAACCTACACTACCTGAGCCTGCGCCAACAGAGGCTGCGCCAGCAGAATCTCCACCGTCAGACCCTGCACCGTCAGACCCTGCATTGTCCGACCCTGCATCAGTCGAATCTGTACCAGCTGAACCAGCTTCCGAAGAACCTACACCACCTGAGCATGCGCCAACAGAGGCTACGTCAGCAGAATCCCCACAGTCAGATCCTGCGCCGTCAGACCCTGCACCAGCCGAGTCTGTACCAGCTGAGCCAGCTTCCGAAGAATCTACGCCAGCTGAGCCAGCGCCAGTAGATGCTGCTCCCACTGATACTGCAGTAGAAGAAGCTCCTCTAACAGACACTCCAGCAGACACTCCAGCTGAAGACGCCGCAGCCAAAGAAGAACCATCAGCAGAAGTTCCAGCTAACGAAACCGCCCAAGCGGAGGCAGCTTCAGCAGAAGCAGCGACAGACGCACCTACGACTGAAGAGGTTCCTGCCGAATCATCGCCTAGCGAGGACAAGCCGACAGCAGACGAACGCTCTGAGGGGCAGCCAGATGAGCCTGAACCAAAGCCTGATAGTACACCTGCTGAGGCTACATCTGAAGAGCCAAAGTCTGCGGCCGCCGCTGAGCCCGTAAATGAGGCACAACCAGTCGAAGAAGCTGCTAAGGAAGCTGAGCCGTCTGCTGCTGAAGCACCAGCAGAGGAAGCACCAGCAGAGGAAGCACAAGTAGAGGAAGCTGCCGCAGTTACTGAACCATCACCAGCTGAGGCAGAGCAAATTGCGCCGGATGACCATGAAAGAAATGAGCTTGAGCCAGCTGCTGCCGAAGAACCCGCACCAGCAGAGCCCGTACCTCCAGCTGAAGGAGGAGCCGAAGCAGCTGAGGGTGTTGCTGAGCCAGAAGCCGCTCCTGCCGCCGAAGAGACTCCTAAAGACCCACTAACAGAGCCAGAACCGGCACCGTCAACAACGGAAGAGCCTATAGCCACAGAACCACCGGCAGAGGAAGCTCCGCCGGTCGCTGAAGAGCCAGCTCCGGAGGCACCAACGGAGGAAGGCCAAGCAACGACCGAAGAGCCAGCACCTGACCCACCTGCAGAAGCAGCCCCAGTAATCGTCGACGCTGCTCCGGAACCCGCAGTAGAATCAAACCCCGAGGTCATCGAAATAGCCCCCGACCCACCCGCAGAAGCAGCTCCGGTAATCGTCGAGGCCGCTCCAGAAGCCCCAGCAGAAGCGCCCCCCGAGGTCATCGGAATAGCACCCAACCCAGCTCCAGCAGCAACGGACAGTGCCATTCTCGAAGAAGAGGAAGCTGCCGCCGATGTCGTCGAAATCGCCCCACCCTCCCCATCATCCTCAAAACGCCGCCACCGCTCAGGCTGGGAGCGCGAGCGCCGGCACAGCAAATCTTCCTCCAAAGGCAGCATGGAAATGCCCCTTTTCAACTCCTCGCACAAACGTCGCGAAAGTGACGTCACGAACAGCACCTCCAAGTCTGCGGAAGTTGAAGAACTGCTCAAGCAAGCGAAGGAGAAGCGGTTGAGCAAACATCATTCATCACCACGAAAGCACGGTGAAGGCAGTCTGGCGTCTTCAAGCCGCCCTACAGCGGAGAGGAGATCCAGTAATCGGGATAAAGAGCCCGAAGATAAAGGCAAAACCGCGGCATTCCGCCCAAGACTCCTCGACATGCTCCCCCGCGCCGAATCCAACACCAGCATGCTCATCCGCGTCAACGACGAAAAGAAGGTGTCATCTAAAAGCTCTTCCGGCTCCACCCCCCGACCCCGTCGTTCGACCACCGCGTCCTCCCCGTCCCGCCGCGAGCGCCAGTCCAAAGCCCGCTCCGCGGACCGCAGACCCAGAGCTAGTACTGACGTTGATGAAGAGGCGGGGAGGAAAGAGCGGAGGAGGAAGAGGGAGGAGCTGGACAGGGCGGAGGCGGAGACGAAGAGGGAGTTGAGGAAGAAGAGGCGGGAGTTGGAGGAGGCGCAGGAAGCGGCGAGGAGGGCGAGGGAGGGGAGGAGGGAGAGGGAGAGGGAGGAGGATAGAAGGAGGGTTAGGCCGAGGGAGGGGGTGGCAAGGGGGTTGCTGAGAAGGCTTTTCAGTTGACGATGGGGAGAGGTTTGAGGGGTGGAAGGCAGATCACGATGTGAAGTTTTCATGCTGTAGTAATGAGTCAGGAGTCGGTCGTGGAGCTATGTACATCGACTTTCCTTCTTGCGTGTATCTCTATGGGCGGGGTGCATCTGTACTACTAACGGCCCCTTTTCATAGGTAGAACTACGTAGCAACGCATGCAAGAATCTATTTACACAATGATTGAATCGAATTGTTCGTTCGCGGACCAAGCAAGCAAGCGCCTGTCAGTCGATGGATTTCGACCTGAAAGCTTGACAAGTCGGACTCGTACTTTGTAAAAACCGACCAACCTGCAAGAATCATGCAGCGTGGATGACAGAGTAGGTGCCCAGCCCTTCCAAGCCTGATCTGAATGACCCACACCTGATCTGTGGCGTTGATCGAATCCCTCATCCCTCATCCCTGAGCCGTAGTCTCGCCCGGCCGGCCGAAGGACGCAAGAACCTCGAGATTAGACCTCCCCTCCGAATCCTCCACTCTGCGCAAAACTAGCCTGGTACCCTCTCAACGTCGCCCAAAGCTGGGGCACCTCGTCCTCGTCGGTCAGCCAATCACCAGTCGGACTGGCCAGGTCCAATTTTTCCAGCACAGCCAGAGACGCCCTCACATAGGTTTCGCTTCCCTGCGCCAGGTTTCCTTTGCGAACAAGTGGCGCGTCAAGCAACACCCGCGCGATTCGGTTGATTTCGCTGATGAACGAATTGCCTAGTGCTTCCGTGTTGATTTCGTTGATTTGGCCGAGGAGGATGAGAAAGGTCTTGACAATATCCTCACGCTCAGCCGCGAGATCTTGTTCCGTAGTGCTGAAATGGGTGGACGGGTCGTATTTGTCTAGAATGGGGGCGATCATCCCTGGAGATGATGCTCTATCTGAACTGCCACCACCAGATTTTTTGAGGTTGTAGGCGTCGTAGAGATTCCAGTATTTCTCGACGAGATGCAAGCGTGTGGCTAGCTGGGTAGTATAAATGTTGGCCTTTTGGATCTCATATTGGATTCGTCGACGCTCTTCAGGTCGGTTGAAGTCAATACGTGTGTTATCAAAGCCGTTCGTTGCGTACTGAGCCAGTTCCTGGCCGACGGTGGATTCAGGGTTTGGGGAAGGATACTTTGGCTCTCGCGACCGAGGTGATGGAGCCCGGAAACTGAGGACAAGCTCGCCAGGAAGACCGTCAAGCATGCGCTTGACGGATTGCAGAGATTCCTCCAAGGCTCTCTTTTGCCGCTCCCAGTCTACGACGTTGTCAACACCACGGACTAGCTCCATTGCTGCTAAGTCATTGTAGGTAGATAGAACTCGGATATTGGCGTTAAAACCGGTTATTACGGGAACGAGGCCTGGAGGCTGGAGATCGAGATGGACATGCTCTGGTGTAATGTAGCCATCATCGACTTCAACGGGTAACGGAGGATATGGGTGTGATGGCGTTGCTGGTGGCATTAGCAGGTCCCATTGCGAGACGCCAGCCTGCTGGAATAATTTCACCCCCGCGAATAAAGCCCAAAATGTTCTTACTCCCAACTCTCGCATCAATTGATCGACACCGACATGATGTGGTCCCTCGAGAGCATGGCCATTCGCTGTCATCCTAGGTGTTGGTAAGGCATGACCGTTCGTGTGTGTAGTACTTGTGACATTGACCTTGTGAAGACCGACGGTTGCAGATATAGTCATACATTGCTTGAAGTAGTGGATGGCGGATTGCCGATTGAATGTTTGGACACATGTCAACCCCTGCAGGTAGCTAATCACAGCATCATGGACCGACATTTTGCGGTCCAAATATGCAGGACCCAGAGCCTCCATCGCTACCTTATGGCATCGATCCACCAGATCCATCGGGTTCGAATACAAGGAATCCATCTGTTGCTGGTGTTCCATTGGCACACCTTCGCGGATGTGTTGTCGAGGTCTTCGAGGGAAGCAAGCCACCAGATAGCCAAGCATCGAAGCGACCAAAGCTACAAAAGTCGGATTGGTCAGGTCTTGGCGCCGGTTAAAGGCATCCCGAAAGGATGGTTCGTGAGGAAGTGGGACAAGAGGATGTATGAATGTGAAGTAGTCATCGACCAGCCGCTCAAGCATGGAAAGGGGACATATCGTTTCTGCAGAGAGCACCTGCTGCTGGGAGAAGTAGGCGAGAGTGTGGGCAGCGTGTGTGGGCGAGGACGGTTGCGGTTGAGACATTGCTGGACCTGCGGGCGAGTCGTATTTTCTCTTGAGACTCTCGGCGTGTTTATTAGGAGGACCTCGGCGCTTGCTTGGTCGTTCAAAGGTACATGGAATTTGGAGACCCTCACAAGCCTTGCAGGGTTGTTGTTCGTCGCATTTCACTTTTCGCACAGAGCATGAGTCACAAGCCTTACGTAGCCTGGCTTTTGTCTCGCCTGCATGACCTTGAATCTTACTCGTATTGTTGTTTGACGGTGTTTGCGCCTGGGTGGGAGGCGCAAGTTGAGGGTCGACGTCAGGAAAGATGGGATTCGACGCGTTCGGAGGAAGATTGGGCAAGGGCGGGTAGGGGATGTAGTTGTTGGAAAGGGAAGGACCTTGCTGCGGTAGCATAGGTGCACTTGGAGCGGCGCCATATGCAGACATATTGCGCTCACTTTTGTGATGAACTGGACCGTCCATGGCAATCCGGTGTTTCTTCGGATATACCTCGGGGGCGGCGGGATGTAATGTTGTCAAGAGTCAAATGCACATGAGAAATTCAATAAATTTGTGCCGTACCGTTGATATATGTCAAACGAAGTCTGTGACCGATTGGTTGTAGTGGTGTTGGAGCATATGTGCGACAGTGAAGCTCAACAACATCTCGACACTACGTGACTAGCCCAGCTAGCGTGCCAAGACCGAAGAGTCTTACCGAAGTCCTGGCGATACCTCGGAATTTCATTGTCAGCGGTCGAGGGGGTCACGCGGGTGACAGAAAACCTGCACACCTGAAATTAGAAATTTGATGATGATTTCACAACGAAGAGCCCTAGCAAAGGTTTTGCGTTGTGATTCAAAATTTCGATAACACTAATATATCGTTCCGCAAAATCTAATTCATAAAGAGGGTATTCGTTGAGTTATTCCAGCTGACAAGGCGAAGGGATTTCTTGGTGTGTGCAGGTTTTTTGTCACCGCGTGGGGGTGTCTGCGAGTCTACTCGCTCCTTTCTCTCTTCTGGTTAAACATACTGATAATTCGTACACTTCTAGGCTCAACCTTTGTAGATCTCCAAAGTCTCTTGAGGATTAAGTCACTACAAGACCCTCAATTTTCTATCTGCGCCTTTTGTCAAACATCCATCATGCCTACAAACCCACACCTCAAGCAGCTGCTGCCAAAGCATTCAACCATGCCCCCAGCCTGTACCCACCTTTGCTGATCTGCAGCTCGATGTACGGCACGGCGCCAGTATAATACGTCCCGTCGAGCTCCATGCCCGACTCGTCGTTTTGAAGCACGTACTGACAGTTCAGCCCGTTCGCGTCCTGCGCCCATTCGAGAGCACAGTCAGTAGCCGTCGTGATATCCACACAACTAACCCAATCCTCCTTCTGACTCGCATACGTTCCATTATCAATCTGCGCAATCAACGTCGCCGCAAACGAGTCCACAGTCGCTGTGCTGTTCTCCCCACCGGCAATCTTCTCGACCATCTGTGTGTCCCAGCAGGCGTGGAGATTTGTGTCTTCGCCATCCCAGGTGACGGAGATGTCGTTGCCGCCTACTTCTTCCGCTTCGTCATGTAGAGGCTGCGTGATGTCGCCTAGGAAGTGAATCAGAAATTCCATGGCCTCCATACGGTTTGTGGCTGAGAGACTGGTGTCTTGGACGCGGGCGGTGTAGTTTGCGATGGCGGAGATGCTGCAGCCCTTTGTGGTGCAGTCGCGAGAGAAGTTGACGGCGCAGGAGGTTGGAGGCGAGTCTTCGGCGTCGATGAAGCTGGCGCGCTTATTGTTAGTGGTTTTCCAGGGGGAAGTGCCTGGGTGGGGGCTCACTGATAGGGCGCGCTGAACTTTCCTGCCGTAGTATAGCGGTAATCGTCCGCCCAACTGGCAATCGAAGCCATGGAGACATCGTTCCCTAATATGCCTGCCACGTACGTCTTTGCCGTGGAGGTCAGGTAGTTGTTGGCTATCGTAGCCACAGTTGCATGGCCGACGACGCCCCATGCATGAGCGCATGGCAGCGCGAAGAGGAGTGAGACCGCGAATGCAGTAGATGGATGCATAACTGCTGGGTAGATTATATATCGAGAAGATAGTAAATAAACTCAGTTTGGGCGGAAATAGAGCGAGCAAGCCCCCTTCTTAAGGGGATCTCATGCGCAAAATCTCCTGCTAGATTCAGGTACAATACATGATAGTGTACCTGCATGCCTCATATGGGCAGCCCGAACGTCATTCTTTGTCGATGTAGAACCCTCTGGCTCAGTCATGTGCCTGGATGAGAGGTAGAGGGTGACCGTGACGAGGATCGTCCTTTGTTCCTTGCCATCCCTCGGTCCACCCCGTGCCCGAGACAAGACAAGGTTGAAAGGTGATTGGTCCTCATCAAGACATTGACCGAGGAGGAATTCTTGGCAGGTCCGACGGCAAGTTGATTGCAACGGTCGCACGCAAGGCCGGTCGAGGTTGTCGTTGGTCGAAGGTTTTGGCGCGTAGGTGGCGTTGCTAATTTGGGAACGTTTTGCCTCGGAGCGATTGGCTGCAATTGGAAGGAGCTGAATCGCGAAGGATCAGGGCCACGTCCTGTCAATTCAGCTCTGAACACACATCATAGAGACAATGCTGAAATTAATTATTTAAATATTGAATGAGATAATTACAAGAAGTCTGTATCTAACGAGTGGCAAGGACCGATGTCCAATCTAGGGATCTACGCATTGACTGGGTATTGTGGACTCCTCCAAGACGCCAAAACGCATGCCGCTAAAAAGCAATCATGAAGCATTTATGGTAACAGGAGAAGGCTTCTCAGTAGTCGTGACCGTCACTGTGACTGTTACCGTAGCTTGGCCATTTCCTACCGCAAGTTTTTCATTCGCCGGCACTGCCATCGGAGCAGACGTGATGCCGGCACTATCAGCGCTTGATGTCGATGTACTTGTGACACTTGCTTCTGTGAGTTGGAGACTGTCAGGGCTAGCCTGTGGAGACATTGCAGATGACTGTACGGCAGGTGTTGAAACCCCTGGGTAGGGTTGCGACATTTGAGAGGTAGGAATTGAGGCTTGCGCGCTGCTTTCGCTAGGTGAGACTTGGCCGTTCTCGGGCGCGGTGACAACAGCAAACAATGCCTGTGGAATTGAGACAACAGCTGCTGTAGTGGATGGTGGTGCTGGCGTAGCCTCTGACTTAGGAGAAGTGTTCAAGGAATCGGAGTCCTGGACTGGTTGAGCTGTAGCCGTCACACCAAGCACCGAAGGGTTAGGTGCCTGGGATTGGCTCTGGATGCTCGCCTGGGCTGGGGGAGAGGACGTGACGGGCTGCACAGGGTTCTGCGCGCTCACGCTTTGTGTGGCTTGACTGAAGTCCCCCTCGGCCTGCAACATTGGGGCCGGCTGCGAAGTAACGGCCAGAGGGACTGCAGTGGAAGACGATAGACCAGCAAGCATACTATAGGCATCGCTTGGAACAGCGCATTGCACCACAACCCCACTCAAACCTGAGGGTTTTGGAAGCGCGTAGCACGATTGGCCTTGAGGGCAGCTCTTTAATACGTAAGTCTCATCGGACTGACATTCAGCGATCTCCCCATCAACACAAGCATATGCCTGGCTTGGGTCCCCAGGATTGCAAGGGGTGTCTTCGTTCAATGTCTTGTAAACATTGTTGAAGCCAGCGGCCATTGCCGTATTTCCGCCCTCAGCGGTAGGGTATTTCGCAGTTCCGGTGGGCGCTGGTGAGCTTTGGTCGAGCGTGACTGGTGCGAATTCGTCCGCTGCGTCGCCACCCGGGCCTGATACTTGAACTAGACCTGAAGATATAGGTATAGGCACAACGACTGGAGACGGAGCTTGACTGGCAGCAGCTGTCGAAGAGGTGGGTATGGATGTTGTAGAAGAAGACTTGACTTGACTAGCAGCAGCTGTCGAAAAGGTAGGTAGGGGGGCTTCAGAAGGAAATGGCGCTTGAATCGCAGTAGAAGATGATGATGGCATAGCCGCCACTGTTCGCATGTTGGCTGTGGATTGGACGTCGGAAATAGTCGACGTGCTTGCGCTAAGTTTGGGTGACGGCGTAGATGAGAACGATAGTGCATCAGTTGAGGACTGCAGGTCATTGGGAGGGTTTCCACCAATGTTGAACAATCTTGACATAGTCTCCGCAGGCTGCACAGCGGCGGCCTCATGAGTCTCGCTGTTCAACTTTCCACCATCAACAAGTGCTGATGTACTCACAGGAGTTGCTCCACTACCCACGTCGGAGTGCTCTGACGGACTTGTTGTAGATGAGGTTGACGGGAGAGTCGCTGACGTTGATAGAACTTGGCTTAGCGCATCTACAGTGAGAGCATCTGTAGTAGGGCTACTGCTGGACGCTACATTAGGTGTCAATGGCGTCGCTATAGATTTTGTTGAGGAAGTGACAACGAAAGCTGAGGTTTCTGGGCTGGCGGCGATCGAAGGTACTATTGATGAGGAAGATATCGGTATTGGCGTCGAGGTTTGAATGTCGGCAGGAATCGAAGGTATCTCTGTATGATTGAGGAATCGGGCGAAGTTATGAGGCCTTGGGTTCTGTCAGCGCAAGATTACGAGCACAGCTCGAGCATGTCTGTACTTACTGCACGCGAGCCCCATTGTGTCGGAGAGGTCCAGTCGCAGCAAAATTAGCACATACTGCCAGCAGTACTATTATTCGGATGTGCATAATGGAATCCAAGGAATGTGAGAGCAGATGAGCAGAAGTCTGTTCAACCCAGAGCTATTAAGATAGGAGTACAAAGGGCTCGCTGTTGTATTAAATGAAAGTGGCAATTCTAGATGTGAGAAACCCAGGAAATGCAGAGCAGACAGAGACGACACAAGGAAATCTAGAAATCGCAAGGCAGACCGTAGATGAGACCAGAAAGAAGGCGAAGGTTCCTGCAACATTCAGTAGGAATGCGCAGCACAAGAGCCATATAATGAGAGGCCATGAGATTGCGATACTCTTGAAACACTGAATGCCAGGGTAGACAGCGTGTATGAGAGGATACGAGAGCGTCTCAGCAATGGAAGGGTTTTAGTCAGCGGCTGCTGTGACGTGGACAAGAATGGCAGGGCTATCTTCATCTCGAAGCAGCTTAATTTAGCCAGTCTGAGGTTTCGTATGTTGTTGAAGGAGGTAGGTCTGCTGACTGGTAGTTGATGTTTTGAAAAGGCTGGGCGGCTGTTGTTTGATGTCGAGGCTGTCCAAGACGCGTTTCATTGATGTGATTGGCTGTTACTTCTATACCACGAATAGACTTCCTTTAAACGTTTAAACTCGGCACTTTCAGCGGACGCTCCCGTGGGTCTTGGCATTGAGAGCATCGAACAGCGCCACATATAGCCTCCAGCCACTGAAACTTCAAACTCTGGGGTAGCTTGAGCCGTTGTGCAGGACCGTCATTCGATATTTCCAAAGAATTGTATGAGGAGTACTCGTCATTGGATTTTCGCATCTTGCCAAGAGGTACTCTAAGGGCTGAAGACCCCAAAATTCTGCCATGTAATGAAGTATCTAAAAACCAATTGAATAGTGTCCGGACCTCCACGCAGACCTGTTTGGCATTTAAAGCGTTGGCCACTCAAGAGCGCTGGCCCATAGATGGACCCTCCTCATCGTGCTCGAGAAGAATAACCCCCATGCCCTCGACGTTCGCTTCCACATCTTCACCCTCATCCTCTCCGAGAAGAGGTTCGCTTGCTTCACCCGCCACTCTTCCCGTCCGACGGTGCCGGTTGCGTTTACGGTCCCGGCAGACAGCATGAGGCCCAAGCAGACTCGGAAGCTTGTTGAGAGTCAAGGAGCGAAGGTTTCTTCGCAAGACAACGACGAGGTGGATGGTACTGTACGTGCCCTGTTAGCTTGCTGCCGATCAGAGTAAGATATGCAGTCCTTGTCGAACAATTACGCGCACCCGATCTAGGGAAAGGTATTAAAGGTCAAGAGAATCAATCTGCCGTTATGGACGTAGGTGTTCAGATCGCCGAGAATGATTTCGTTCGTGACGAGAAGGGCAAAGAAGCTTGGGAAGCCGATGCCTTCTAAGACTTTATACGATCGATAACCAATGTATTGGACATAATAGCGACCTAGTAGCTTAGAACATGAACCTTATCAGAGGTGATGCGGCTTCCCAGCCTTCCACGATCTTTTCCACACACCCGTCCCTTCGTCTTATTGAACCCAAGCCGTAGCTAACTTGACTTCAGACCGCTTCCACCGTATGCATGTTGAAGCTCACAAATCTTCATCAGGCACTTCCGGTGCCCTTTCCTTGCCAACAGCCAACCATGCCCCTACCCAGCGCTCAATCCATCCGGGCTGTATTTCTCCAGTAACCCTCATCTTCGAACTAGCCTCCTCGGTCTTCGATGTCTCAAACTCCAGGTTCTTGCCTTCCTCAGCAAGCTTCTCATAGAACACCAGCAGCTTAGCCGCTGGGTTAACTTTGAGCATCGCCTCAATGTCTGCGCTGCCGACCGCTTCAGCATCTGCGCGAACTTTCTGGAGCCAAGCTTGGAATGGCACTGTGTTGATCTTATTTGTTCTGGCATTTGAATGACTGAGGGTATTGACAATGGCTGGAAGGAGGGATTCCCAAGCTACAGGATGTGGATTCAACGGATGAAAGACACGTGCTTTGCCGGGTTCCTCAGGTTGTATTAGCGTCGGAGCCTCCTGCACTTCAGCATTGACAGACAAATCCACAAGCACCTCGGCAAGAAGATCAATAGGAACCGAGTCGATCTTGTCTTGGCTTACCCCTAGCGAATCAGGCACAGCGCCGACATGAAGCGAGCTAAGAACGAGGCTAGGCAGCCACTCCACTCGTTCCAGATGCCTTGGCCTTTTACTGGCCCTGCGATTTGCCCGACCCGCGCGATGCGAGCATCGATGGAGAGTCTCTTGGAGGCATAGTCGAGAAGGAGCTCCGCGAGATATTTACTTTCTCCGTATCCCATGGGTGATGGGGCTTTGTTGTCTGAGATGATCTCCTCGCGGATCGAAGGGTACTGCCGTGGTAGCCAAGGACGGAGCTTATGGAAGAGACGAAGAAGACAACTGGAAAGTGAGCTGCTGAGACAGCGAACTCGGCAAGCCGAGTTATTCCAAGAAGTTGCGGCCCGAACGCAGACAATGGGAGGTTGAATTTGACGGGCCACGCACTGTGGATGACCGCAGTGGCTTGAGTCAACAAAGCCTCGTACGTCTTACGCTCGAGGCCGAAATTCTGTTGCGACATGTCTGCAGTCAAGAAGGTCACTCGATTTGAGGATAATCACTCGTGGTCCTGCGGATCCTGTTTCGCTGTGATCGAGTAGATGAAGAATCCAACGCTCTATCTAGACAGTAGACATGCGATACAGATGGGGAATTGGAGAGCACCTGGAGCAGATATGAACCCAATGCACCTGTTGACCCAGTCAAAATCACGGTATGCTTCTTGTGTCCCGCAATCCGAGCGGCACTTGACTTAGTTGGTTTTGTCTGCAAGTTGTTAACGAGGTTGTCGATCGAATTTTTGTGCTCCTGAAAGGTCGCATCAATCACTTGCTGACGTGCCTGCTGATAAAAAACCTGTGATTGCCGACTCATGGCCGAGAGCTCTGATATTGCACTGACGAGCGAAGATACTGTAGGGTTAGTGTACACTGTGCTGACAGCAATCTCCGAATCGGCCAAAACTTGATTCAGATCACGTGTGATGAGGAGTGCTTGCAGGGAGTCCATGCCTAGCAGGAACAAATTGTCTCCATCTCCGAATTGAGTCCAACCGGTGCGTTTAGTGATCGTCTCGCGTATGAAGGAAGAGGTATTTTCAGGGTCGTGTACATCGATAACCTGTTTGGCATCTGTTGAAGGGGGAACAGTGACTTTCTCCGCGTCAGCATATAAAGCTTGTAGCTCTTCTGCGTATAGGCTTAGAGTTGGCCTTCGTTGCACAGTGCCTTTCCCTGCTCTCAACATAGGCTTGTTGGGATTCACGAAAAGAATGTGTGATTTGTCTATCATAGCATGAGTAGGGCAGTCTTTGTTTGCTTCTTGGATCGTTGGCCATATGCGCTCAAGGGTCTCTGCACGTTCGGCAGCTGAAAGAGCCTTCTCAGCCGCGAGTTCGATGAGGAGGGCAGCTTGAAACCTTTGAGCACCAGCGACTAACGCTGCGCGAACTTCAAGATGGCTGTTAATGCGCTCTTCCATAGAGGTGGGATTGGTCTTCTCCCCTGTTAGGAAGATTATAATGTCGTCGGACCTGCCTTGATGTTTCCAAAGCCCGGGCTTGGATGGATGAGGTGAGAAGAGATCTCCGCTAGGGAATCTCTGGAGGTCAGGGTACAATTTGAAAACAGGTTGCCAGGATTCGAACTTTGGATTTCTGACTATGCACAGTTCGTGTAGATCATCCGAATGGTGCTCGAACTCGACTCCAGTATCTGGATGGATAACCACGTATTTCCAGTCTTCGCGTGGCCACGCACCCTCTGGTCGAATCGAGGGAGGAGCTCCCATCTCTGAAGCCCCGTATATGTTCACTAGCTGCATCCTGCATGCAACAGGATGACCAAAAGCTTGAGGTACATCTCCGCCAGCGTAGAGTAGGGTTTCTAGTCTTTCGGCGACGAAGTCCAACATGGCACTGTCCTTGCCAATTTCTGCTATAATAGTTGGAGGAACAACAGCAACGTCCGCCGTTGTGTGTTTGAGTGCGTCCACCATGACCTGTGCCGTCGGGATCGCTGCTGCAAGCGGATAGATTATGGTTGTTCGATTGATAATCGCGTTGCATAAGGTTGTGCAGTGATTTGCAGCATGGAAAGGAGGCAGCATGAACAACAGTCTGTTTGCTTGGAAGAGTCTGTCCTGAGACTTGTATCCAGATGGCGGATCCAGATGTGTCATCTTGATGTATGCCGCCGCAAAGGCATGGGACCAGACAATCGGCTTCGGAAGACCAGTAGATCCTGAATTATGGAAGGCAAGGAGAGGTTCATGGCTGGCTTCGTCGAAAGTTTTTGTGTAGGGATAATGAGGATGTCTCTTGCTGATCAGTTCATCAAGGTTTGAAACTCCAGCGACACGAAGCTTGTGAGCAGCCGTAAGCGCGGAGATCGTCGGTGGCTGCGGATTCGGTACAAGCAAGACGGTACAGTCAAGAAGGGTGAACAGGTTGATATGAGCTGGAACGCTATTGCGAGGTGAAGTAAGGAGCATCTGATACTCAAACCAGGGTTAGCACCCCCCTGCTATATCTTTCGCTTCAAGCTTCAACTAACCTTGTATCCGGCCTTGACAGCTCCTAATATTAGAACATTGTACCTCAGATCATTCGGACCTATGTAGGCCAAGGTGTCAAAATTCTTTGATCGACCAAGTGTCTTCTCCAACCACTATGCGGCGCCGTTAACGGCATTGGCCAAGTCTTCATAGGTGATCTTTCTGTACCCTTCCTCATAACCAGTGGTCGAAACAGGAAATTCTGCGTACAAGGCTCGAGGGTGTCTGCTCAGCTCTGGAATCGACGATGTTGTTCAAAATTTCTGGTTTTCCGAACGGGATAGTCAGGAGCAGTCTCTCCACCTTCAATTTCGCGGATAGTCATGATTTTCAGTTGTTTGGTCCGCTGTTCGTCTGTCAATCGCGAAGACGCTGAGTGCGAACTCTAAACTGTCACCGAGCAAGATGCAGAGGCGCCCGGGGTCGTGCAAGCAAGGTTGGCCAATACCTAGAACAGAGGGTCCTACGATTGACTGTGATAGAGGTCCACTCGAAGCATGTGTTGTCGAGGAGATGGGTTTTTTCGTGGCTGAACCTGAACCTTCTGATCTTGAGAAAGCGTACCGAATCATATTCCTATCCTTGCAGCAGACATGGAGGAATCACTTGAAGACGGAGACTGGTTTAGACTTCGGAAGCAAACGCGGTAACGTAAAGCGCCATTCGGTATTCGTGACAAGCGCTCCTAGGCAAGACTACAAGGCTGATACTCAGCCAATCTAAGGTACTTGCACATTGCTCAGACACGCAATCGGATGGTGTTCTTGAACCATGTGTGTTGCACTCTATTAGTGTGGGCGGGATTCCCAGTAAGACAGAGGAACGCAGAGTCCATAAGAATTGTTGTACTTCAAGAATGCCTCACATCCTGGTTCATACGAGTACATCATGTCTGCGCATGCAATCGACCTAGTTCTCAAGTGGCAAACCCTTGCGAACACGCCCACGCTGACGCAAGCAATGATGCGGACCCTCGGGGAGTAAAAGTGCATATGTATGTATAGTCCCTTCTTTATGTTACCGAACGTAAAATTATACCAACGAGTGATCCCAGATACTCGTGCGGCCGAGAAGTCAAGACTGGCGGTCCGGCTTGGGTCAACGTCCCTTTCCTTTTTGGTTCCCGGAATTTAATCCCCATCAGAGTAAGCAAAAGGAAGGGACCCGAAAAAATTAAAAAATATCCCAGCCCCCCCCAATTTCTTCGGGCGAAAAAAAAAAAAAAAACCTTGCCGCCCTTAAAAACTCCCATTAATATTTAATTAAAGAAAAAAAAATAAAATTGGTTGGTTGGTTATAAACTTTCCCCCCAAAAAAAATAAAAATTTTACAAAAAAAAAAAAAAAAAAAAAAATTAATTAAAATTTTTTTCCAAAAAAATTTGTGTTTTACAAATCCTCCGGAGCACAGTCCTAGCCCATGCATGATCAGTGCTTGTGGAAGAAGGCAGCAAGGCTTTGAAGGAACGCATGATGAGGACAAAAAAATAAAGCATGATGCAGGTACCTTAAAAAAGATTAATGTACCCTATCAATGCGTATACCAATCACAACGTCAAGCAATGGTGAAAGAGGGAAGGGGACCGCAAATCACACCAATGTACCACACACCTTCCAAATCTTGTCCTCGTTAGTTCGTGTCGCAGTGATGATATTATACGCATCTCACGGATCCTTTCTTTTCTGGTAAAAGCTATTGCTCCCTCTTCTCGACTTTCCCTACACATACTATCTTATACTTACCTTTACATATGCATGTGATTTGTGGGTGGCTCTTCCGCTCCTCTCTATTCCAAACTAGCGAGCACTCCGCTACTTTAATGCAGTTAAGATTCAGGAGACCACCCGCCTTTGCCGTCATTCTGTGGGGCAGGAACCTTTTTTCGAGGTCTGATGGATCTGGTCATATGTCACCTGTCCGTTTCAATCTTCTCCGGTGTGATCATCTAGTGAACTGCGAATTGAGCCTCCATTCTACCCTGGTCTCTCCCACCGTGTCTCTTGTTTGTTCCATCGTTTTTCGACTTCACGAGACTACTATCTTCGAAAACAGAATGCCGACTTTACCACCACATCCGACTTACTCCGACTTACCTCCATCATATCTCTATGAATATAGGGGAATTATAGTTAGGGGGGAAATAAAAAATGTTTCATTCGTCCAGACATCCTCTTTGGTGGTTTGCGCTACTATTCGCGATGTTTGCACAAGACCAGTATAGGGTTAGACGATATCCATCGTTGCAAACGCCCTGATATTCTGTCTCACTCACTTTGGATGTTCTGGCAATAGGTTAGTCAAGTATCCTTACGTATAGATTGCGAAAACTCGCAGACTGACGCATATCTAATTAGCCATGACAAAATGACAAAACTCGGTGGTGTAGGAAGGCATCTCCTGGCGCTCGAAGCTACAGACCCTAAAGAAGTCGTGAATTGGGCCAAGCTCCTTATGGCTGTCGAATGGATCTATCTCGTGGCGGTGACCTTGCCAAAACTCTCCATCTTGAGCATGTACCTCGGAATATTCACCACAAAATCGTATCGAAGGATTATACATGTCCTAGCTGTTACTTTGATCAATAAGGCCTCACTGAATCGCTCGGATGTCAGCCACTGGCTTTTTTCTGGGATCCCACCATACCTGGCGGTCATTGCATCGACATCAACGCATTTTTCAGGTGGATCAGTCTACCCAACATCCTCACGGATGTAGCGATGCTCGTTCCACCTCAACCACTCGTATGGACACTCAAAGTCATAAGACACCAGAAAATAGGACTGACATTGGCATTCTTGACTGGTTCTGTCGGATTGATAGCCTCAATATTTCGCTTTGCGACCTTCTTTCGGAACGATGCTATAACTGATGGTACTTTCTCGTTTGTGGGACTCATGTCATGGACCATTATCGAACTAGGCATCTACCTCGTTGCAGCTTGCCTACCAGCGCTACGTCCGCTCGCTCAACGCATCTTCAAAGACAGCCTTCTCACCCGTCTCAGCACGAAATGGATGCCTAAGTACGGTGACAGATGTTACGAGCGCAGCACGGTGAATATCAAGCTCGAGGGACACAGAAGCGTTAGGTCTGAAGTCCATCGCCCTCAGCAATGCTTTCATCGTCTAACCGATGGCAGGGAGAGCATTGGTAAAAGCAGTGCGGATGAGAGAAGTCTGGTGGACAATTACTGGAGCGCGAGGGACAATGTCAGTCAATTCGCTCGGAATGACTGCGGTTCCGATCTAAAGGCGCAGCACATTCGTGTTGAGAACAACATTGTGATCACCACATCCGATTCTCTTGCTTAAAGACGCCAAGAAATCAAGAGGAAGATTTGATTTCTAGGTCGCTTTGGATGGACTGTCACACACAAGACTACGCCCAAATATCACATGATTTGTACAGCCCAGGACAAATAGGCAACATCATTACGAGGATCTGGTTTGGCAGCAGAGAGTGGCTGACAGCCCATTGGGCTAGCCTTGTGACCTTACAGGCCTACAAACACGATTCTAAGATGGGGAGTGCACAGCTCGCTGAGGACGACACTTGTACTTTTGGCTAACTCATCGTTTGAGCCCCGGATGTGTGCCGTGGGTACTTGGATTAGCTTTCCCTCTGTTGCCCCTCTTTTCCGTATTGCACCTTGTGGCCGCAGGGCCGAAAGGTACCCCACCAGAAAGGAAAATGGCATACTTGAAAGGTGGATCAGGGTTGGGTCGTTGCGGTAAAGCATCCAGGCGAGCATGGTAACAAGAGCTAGTCAACTCCCATTTCCTGTCTCCCAAGTAGGATGCTTTCGCAGATATGTCCTACGAAGACTGGAGAGCAGGTACTGACTCAAAGATGCATTGTTCATGGAACCTTCACATGCTCCTGCCAAAGAACATAGCAGGACAGCGAGGACAAGCCGAGTACGCAGCCGGGAACACATACAAAGACGCCCTTGCACACTACCGCATCACACAAAGGGGAAAAGCAGTCTCTATAGACCTCCGCGTCATGGTTTCCGAGGGTTTCCTGAGTGAGAACGAATTCCCTCTACACCGTATGCTAGACTCAAGTCTCTACGTTCCACTGAAGCAAATCGAACTTTTCGGCCTTCTCGACTATCTTTGCGACCCAGAACTAGACACCCTGACGACGCAAACGTGCCAAACCGTCGTGGGTATCGAGACCCCTGCGAGCCTGCGCTCAAAAGGGGTTGAAGAGGCGCTTTGGATGCGCACACCTTTACTTCGCCATATGTATCAGGTCAATAGCGATCAGAAGCTCTCGGTGGGAAACTCCAAAGACTTCATCGATTATAGAGGTCTGTTTGCAAGCGCCGGCTCTCTTTCTAAGGCCGGTTCCATCGTTCTGCAGGCTCTGATCAAGAGATTGTCACGAAGTCTTTCGACATCAAAAGAAGGAATCGACACGAACAAGTCACTACACTCCTATGGGGTGGATTCGTTGTTAGCGATCGAGCTGAAGACATGGATCGCAGAGGGGTTTGCGGCGGAAATACCTATTTTTGAGATTTTGGGGAGAGCGACGGCCGCAGCAACGGCGATGACAACTGCAAGGAACAGTCGGTTGATGCAGGGGTTCAGTAAATAGTTGCCTACTGGGAGCGCAATATCGGCCCAACGGACTTCTTCTTGCACCTACACGTACTGCAAGTTAAATTTGGAATGAGAATGTGGGTTCAATGGCAGGAGGCTGTGCGGCTATTTTTGGTGCGATGATGCGTCACAATGTGTATCGAATGGATGATCAAAATATACAAAAATACATGTATACGTAGTACATGGTGGTCCTTGAAGGACCAGCTGCCTTGGCCTTCTTTTCAGATGGACCGGCTAATTTAAAGGCCAATTCCGACCTCGGTTGCCTCATGTGACTGCCCGCAAAGGGGGCGGCCGCTCGGCGCTAAGATTAAGGGCAAAAGATCTTCTTCGACTGGGCCCCACGCTGCTGCACTTGATCATGGTATTGGCCATTAAAGTGCCGAATGCTTCACTCTTGACTACCACATATGTGTCTTCAAAGTCCTTGAGATAAGTGGGACAAAACGATTGGGTATTCTCAAGTCAACTTTTGACAGATGAGGCAGCTGCATGATGCTGTCATTGCCACATTCCAGGAATCAAAATAACCCCAAGCCACCACGCCTGCACGTGTTGAGAGCTCACTATGAAAGAGTGGCTCTCTTGTCCGAGCCTGGACCGTTGCGCTTGCGCAGGAGGTGGCATACTGCTCTTTTTCTCTCTTACGCCGCCTCTACCGAAGAGCCTTGAATGCCTAATTGAGTTAAGCAATACCTCCCCTTAAGAGTCCGAAATATACCTTCAATCTCACGACCGCCTTTCTTCTTCAATTTCTCAATATCCTACACATCCACGATGCCTCTCTTACCTTCCCTTATTCTCGCCTTTGGCATTTCTTCCTCCGTACAAGCAGCGCTATCTGGATATGCTCCTGTACCAGCAACCTGCCCCAGTACCCCCTTGGTTCGCTCTGCAACAGGCATCTCCGCCTCTGAGTCATCATACATTTCATCTCGCGCCCCAGTTGCGTCTGCAGCGCTTGGTGCATGGCTCACAAAGGTGAACTCGGCTTTCAGTACAGCAAATCTGCCAGCAGTAGCCCTCACCACCAGCGGAGGTGGACTGCGCTCTCTCCTCACGGGTGCCGGCGTTATCCAAGCTTTGGACTCACGGGATAGTAATGCTGGCACAAGTGGTCTCTACCAGGGGCTTACCTACCAGGCCGGTCTTTCCGGAGGAGGGTGGCTCCTGTCATCTTTCGCTGGTAACAATTACCCTACCATCTCGAACCTAGAAACTACCCTTTGGACGACTGCGTTTGCCGACAGCCTTCTCGTGCCAGAGAACTTGGAGGCTGGAGGTGCTTATGCCCAGATCTCAGACGACGTTGTTGCCAAGAACGCAGCTGGCTACCCGCCTACTATTGTCGATGTGTACGGAAGACTCTTGGCATACCAACTTCTGAAGGGTACCGATGGAGGCGTTGCCATTGAACTGTCGTCCATCACTGGCTTCTCCAACTTTACCGGCCACAATGTGCCATTCCCAATCATCACCAGCTTGAATGTCGAGACTGCCACTGGAGTCTGCACTCCTCCAAACAACACAGTCATCTACGAGTTCTCGCCATACGAGTTTGGAAGCTTCGATTCCGGCGTCAATGCTTTTACGCAGACGAAGTATCTCGGAACATCCCTCTCGAATGGCTCTCCCACCAAAACAACCTGCGAGACCAACTACGACAACCTTGGTACCATACCGTCCTCTTGTCCCATCCCGAACAAATAGCTAACGTTCCCAGGATACATCCTCGGCACCTCCTCCGACATCTTCAACGAACTCTGCACCACATTCCCACTTGTCGCCGACGTCCCCGGCATCCTCGCCAACATTTCCGCCATCGTAGCACAGACCCACGCCCTGACATTTATGGATGAATACGCGACCTACCCCAACCCCTTTTATAAGTACACCCACTCCACCCTCGTGCAGGCCCAACCCGAACTTACCCTCGTCGACGGCGGCGAATCCCACCAAAACAACCCCTCTTCCCCCTCCTCGAGCCCGCCCGCAGCGTCGGCGTCATTCTGGTAAACGACAACTCCCGCGGACACCAGCGGCAATTTCCCGGACGGTAGCGAACTCTACCAAACGTACATGCAAGCGCAACTCGCGGGCCTGACCAAGATGCCCGTCATACCACCCGCGGCCACGTTCCTCGGCGAAGGCTTGAACCAAAAGCCCACGTTCTTCGGATGCAACGACGCGAGCAAGGTCACAATTGTGTATCTGCCCAACTACAATTACACCTTCCCCAGCGGCGAAAGTACGGCGAAGCTGGAGTATTCTCCTTCCGAGACGAGTGGCATGATCGCGAAT